GTAAATATAAATGTGTCGTTAAACCCGCCACAGCCAATTCGTATGGTTTGTCACGTAAACAGAACATGCCAATTCGTTACTAGTACAGCAAACCGGTGTGTTGGACAGCAAATCCACAACATTTACAATCTGAGTACAACGTTTCGCCAGTAATTACAACTAGCATCCTCAGATTTGTGGATAAATCCTCCTGTTTCATTCCTTAAACAGAGGGATAGATGTGATTGTCACTTGTGAGCTCTTCATGTGCAAAGGGGAGGGGAGGGTTAATGAATGCATATACATTACAATGGGTATCCATTACAGGTTGGGTTATTCATATGGTAAGCAACGTACATTATGCATGCATATTGTTCTTGTACCTCCTGTCGTTTATGTGCAATAAAATAGCAGTACATGGTTATTGTCAGCCCACAGGTAATGCCCATTGACATATGGTGACCTGTATAGGCATGCATTTAAAGAATGCATTATTTGCCTCCAAGCAGCACCAAGCCTGTAGCTATCCGAACCGTTAAAATAATTTTTACTTCTCTAAAATTCGATATATTCTCTAATTAGCCTTGGCCAGCAGTAACTAGTTTTGCACAGAACTTTAATATTAACAAAATAAATTGAGTGCCCTTGTTGGCACGCGTGTTCTGCCACTGCCAACAATTGTATTTGGGAGTATTTCATATATACCTTTGGTGTTATTTTAGTCTCTTTCTGCCCAACATAGCATTTGCCACAAGAGCAATTAATCTGGTATACACCTTATGTTGATAGCTTCTGTAATACATCTTTAGTACCAGATAATAGTTTAAAAATTAAACGAATTTTTCACTTTTTCCCCCAATTTATTCCAATTGTGCTATTAGCGTCATGTCTTATAGAAAAGCATAATAAATGTGTTAGAGAATACAGGTGACATGAATTAAATAGTAAAATTAAATAAAAGCATTGCTGCTGTAGACATGTTATGACGATGGCATTGGTTAAAACTTAATTAATATAAAAATATTACCACTAAAATAATACACAATGTTGTTAAAATGCTGTGTGAAACTGAACATTTATATTAAATGAAAAAAAATATTTTCATTTTTTTCCTGAACATCAATACAAGAACTTTTCAATATGGATTATAAGCCTCCACTATCTGTGAATAATTATAGTTTCAAATTAACCGATTGCCCCTTTTAAACTGTATCTGGCTTATTGACCAAAGAACCCTACTACAATGTACAATATTCCCTATTTTTAAACAAAGACATTGTGTTGAAATGACCCTCTTAGCAACCACAAAGAGCCAGTGGGAAGGACTTGTGCAGCCAAGCAATATCGCAACTTGACATCATTCGGTTGGTTGTATGGCCCATTAAAAAAATCCCCACAGGCCACCACTGTATGGAGATCCATTGTTCCTCAGAAATTTAAAATTAAGTCGAAAACACCAAGTGAGAGCACTCCCTCTCCTCCACTCAATGTGCCTGACCTTTCTCTTAGCGAATACAGAGAAATTGGAAAAAGATGAATGCCTTTGCAGATTGTGCACAGAGTCAGTAAAAATCCCCAAAGGCAGAAAAGCGACATTATAAATCTGAAAGTGCATTTTGTGCAACGTAACATGATATCCGAGATCACCGAGGGGTATCTTTTCCTTTTACGTCCGCAAAAGTGCCAACCTGTTAAAGACGAAGTAAGGAGAATACCAACCCTTGCCTTTAAATGGTATTGAACGACATAAGGTCATCAATAATTACATGAGGAACAATAATGGCAGGATAACCATTTTGCTATGAATCCCTAAACCCCATTTATTGAACGGCATGTTTATTTTTAATGATTCCTAATCCTAATCCACAAGGCAATTATCACTTCATAATAGACCAGAGCGACAGTCAATAACAATGCGATATTAATACCCTTTTTGCATAAACATGGGCTAGCTAAAATAAGAGGAACAATGGTTAAATATTGAATTCATTATAAAAGTGTAGTGACATCGCGGATGTCACTGTGTGGTGCGGTGCCAGCCCTAGAGGAGCACGACGTGCGATGTACTCACATCGTGGATATCACCTATGTAGCGACAACGTGAATGTCACTGTGTAATGCCGGCTCTAGCAAGACACGGCGTACGATGCATTGTCATCGCGGACACCCCGTAGGTGGGTGTAGTACCAGCCCTAGAGGGGGCTCGATGAGCGCTGGGGATAGCGCTTAGTGACACCACGCGTGGCATGCAGTGCTGACTCCGACAGGAGGGAGTGTGGGAGTGTCAGCCTTGGGATGAGGTTACCCTAGGCCATGGCACTCTGGTTAACCCTGGAAGGCACGTGACCAGTAAGATCTACAAAGGGGCCCCAGGTGGGGACTAGGGGGTGGTGACGTGTCAGGGTGCGATCCTACGGGAAGGGTCGAGAAACGACAAGAGGTTTCTCGACGGTGGTCGTGGCCAAGAGCGGGGCCAGCCACGACCCGGGAGCATACAAACCGGGGTCCCCACAGGGACCGGGGTTCAGCGTTGCTGTCGTCACCTGAAGATCTCCGATCTACGTCCAAGAAGAAGTCACCAACACGTGGACGAGGACCCAAGCTAGGGTCCTATCCATTGTAGCTACTCCCAGTAACTAGCGTAGTTAGCTTGGTGGTCCACCACCATAGGATATCTGGTGAAGGGGCAGTAACCCCTTTGTGTTATGTGTTGGTGTTCATAAATGTGTTGCCTCCAAGAAGTATGTCTGCAACTCAGTAGAATCCACTACAAAAGTTATAATGAATTTAATATTTCAAGACCTTTAATGTTCCCCTTGTATGATGCTGTCAGTACAATTAGCAATGCATTTATTTTACTTCGCTATAATGTGCGAAAGGTAAATTATTTATTCCTAAATGCTTTTAGAGATATCTAAAGCAGAAAAAATTAAGGGGCTTTTAGTTCATTATCATTAAATCTTGACATAGAGCTTTCAATGACTGCAGAAATTCATATTCTTTGGGTCTTTCGGTAAAGCGACGTAGATAGAAAAAAAATATCACGACATTTGGATCGCAACACAAGCAATCGTCATCAGGTGAAAAAATATAGCGGCAGAGCTGCTGAGGCAGGAAAAAATATAGCGGGAAAGCTGCTGAAGCAGGATGTTATATAGGTGTGAGATGGGTGTAGCCCAAGGGTAAGTGGGCGGGGCTAGAGATGGGTATAGCCCAAAGGTAAGTGGGCGGGGCTAGAGAGGGAATTTGCATGTCAATGTAAGATCGGAGAGCTGCTGAAGCAGGATGTTATATAGGTTTGAGATGGGTGCAGGCCAAGGGTAAGTGGGCGGGGCTAGAGATGTAAATGTAAGATCGGAGGGCTGATATACCTCCATGACTACGAAGCTGTGGAGGTGGCCATTGTATTGAGAGATTAGCATGTCAATCTGTTCATGTAAGATTAGCATGCCAATGTAAGAAAACCACTGCAACGGTGGCTGTGTTAGTGAGACATTTAGCCTGTTAATGTAAAGACATTCAACCTGGTAATGTAACTCAGAGAGTCTGAAATAACTGCTAACATCGGCAAGAAGGATGGAAACATCACAGCCACTTATAACTTAAACTGGTTAATAACGTCCTTCCAATGATTGCTCAGTTTGTACTCATCTTCTCGGTTGAAATTGTGTCTGTGTTTATATATCTGGATGGCTTCATGAACGAATCTTTGTTGATAGCCAGTGGGGTTTGCAGGGTACCTTCGTCTTGGAATAATCTATTTTGTGTGTGCTCACAGCATTAAAACAATGATCAGCCACGGCTGAGGTATTGGTCCTACCGTGTTTCAGATCTGCCTTATGTTCACGGACACAGTCCGAGACATGTCGTTAAGTTTCCTCAATATAACTGCTGCTGCAGACGCAGCTGAGTTTGTAGACACTGGGGTATTGCATGTCAGGGATTACATCCTTCACAGATAGGGTCGGATCACGAATTTTACGTACAATATTCCGTACAATATCATTCTTTAACCTTTTTTTAATTCACAGATCGTTTTTTTAAATATGATTTTACTCATAAGCTTTCATTAAAACCTCAAAAAGGTATGTACTACCAATGCCGAAAAGCAATGTTATTGGGGTGCATCTATGTAAAGTTTGGTTTTCTAGGAAAACAACAATGCCAATGAACATATTGCAGGACACTAAAAAAAACAATGAATAATAACTGGAGCTTAATATTTTAAATGTGGTAAATAAAAAAAATACAATACAAAGCTGCTTATTTAAGATCAGAGGCTTAAAATAAAGTTTTTGAAGGTTGCTTTATGGCTGAATAGGAGATTAATTTTAGAACAGAAACATTTGCCTAACATGTCAAAGCTGATGAAAAAATCTACTGGCAGTGTGATGTGATCACTGCCATTGTGCATGGAATGTTTAAGATGTGCAAAAAACTGTATTTGAATCTTACAATGAAGATAAGATTTCACGGGGAGATTTTGGGCATATAAAAGAAGAATTTGATGACTTTTAAGTGACCGAGAAAACACATTTTTTTTTTATTTACTCGTTAAAACGATGCCACAAGTCTCCTCTTGAGGCCATAAAGCTCAGGCACGCAACCTCGTTTTCTGAAACTTTCAAACCACAATATGAAAATGGAGCTAATACGAGTGCATTAATGTCACATGGACTTGTTTTTAAGGGGATTCAAAACAGGCTTATAACAGTTTCAATTCAACCATGGATGCTTTTATATACACCTGATAACTGCAGCATTCAAGTACAGGCTAAACATGACAAACACCACAATACTGGGCGACTTTAAACATCATTTAGAAATACATGACTGCCATCTAGTGCCCAAGTTATAAAATGTTGAATCACTGGAGCTCATAGCAGACAGACTGCAATAAAAGACATGATGAATCATGTTTGAACAAGCTCTCATATACGCATTAATTGATTTCCTTTTGTGTACAAGGTAGATGCACTGAACCACACGCAGTACATTTCCCATGAAGCTCCATTACTTGCCTGGTTACTCTCCGACATGAGAAACTCCATCTTTTCCCCAGGAAGTCCTTGTTCAATATAGGTCTTCACCAAGCGGAGGTCCGCATAGTTGCCTGGTCGAGAATAAAAACAAAGATTAAAAGAACACAATGTTAACCACAGGAGCGGTACACTGTCAAAATTCATTGATGATTTCCTATCAATGACATTATTTTAAAACATCAAGGATATTAGGTCCAAAACTCTAACATGAGGGTCAAGCAAGTGCCTCATGGAAGAAAAGAAGTAACTTTTAAAACAACACACATTATTCATAAACCAGTTTATGCCCTTCTGAAGAAATACCTATATTGACACCAGTACCTCCAGTTTTTGGTAGCTAAAGTCCACATTAATGCTTTAACATATCTACTACTGACACCAATGGAAAAAATACTCTTTTGTGCATTACATTTGGAGCAGTGTTTGCAAAGAGCAACACAATGAATGGGGTGATGACCCATATTTACTTATGACCAAAACATGCTCGTTATGTGTTATATGCTCAACAAACCATGGACATTGTGGTTATGATTGATGGTTAATGATAATCCAAAGGATGCTAAACATAATTGTAAATACAAAATGTTTCCAACCATAGACACGTAAAAAGAGTAAATGTGTTTCACCCACTCAAAAGAACATGGAGAAATGATCACCAATTCGACACTAATCCAGTGGTGTAAATTCCATACTCCGATGACAGGGCCAACTACGCACATAGTGTACAACACATACTGTAAACATTATTGGCAGAGCTGATGTGCAAAGCTTATGATTATCATCACACCTGCTGACCCAGTGTCAATTTTTAGGAGGGCCCTGCTAAATTATCAATGGTGGGGGGGGGGGGGGGGAGAACTTGCGATGTGCAATCAGAATTGTGTAAATTTAAAATAAAATTTCGGCACTGGGATGTTTGGCCAAATACCACTTTCAGTGTGTGGTATTTTTTTAACTATGGAAGGATACCAGTCAACCTGCCAGTGGGTCTGAGACTGACCGTCGAGGCCATGCACGCACACGATGAGGTGGATGCCACCTCCCGGGCTCTCCAGCTCATCTGGCGAGAAGTAGGGCACAGAGGAGGCCAGCTCCGGAAGATCACTGTACCAGCGGCCAGTGAAATTCATTGTTTTCTTCAGCTCCTGTTTGGCATGAAAAAAGCTGCGCGGACAACAATATAATGCCATCAGCCAACTTGGGTAAAGACCAAAACACTTAAAAGTCGTATCGCCTCTTGAGGAATGTGCTGTTAGTGAACATCTATTAATGCTGGTATTGGCACGTGAGGGTTGTTTGGCCCAAACAATGCCTGTCCATCTTTGTATCTTTACCACTGACGGTCAAACATAATACTCATATATATTAGTTGCTCCCAATAATGTGCTTGGTCAGGAATTGAACCCAGGTCTTTAAAGGAAAGAGTTAAAACCAGTGCATCATCATGTTCCAGACACAAACTACTCTGTCTATATCAACCATCTGCTCTAAATGCATAGCTACTGACCTTGGCTGATTTGCAAAAAAAAACTGTGTATGGAGATATTTTTTCTTGCTCTACTCCTACATTGATTAACTTTAAAAAGACTTTAAAATAAAGCGGAGAGGCTAAAGAAAACATTGGTAGGTTAATGGAACAAAAAGTGGGTGTTTTAATTATTTTTTATATACATTCACACTTACATAAAATCTACAACAGATAATGGCAGTGGAATTTTTTTTAAGTGCATTAAAAATACATAAATAATGAAAACTGCCTCATCTTTTGATTTAAAGCTTTCGTGACTGCAGGGATTCATATTCTTGGTTCTTTCGGTAAAGTCACGTAGAAGGGAAACAATCAAATAATAAAAATATAAAACAATAAAATTATCATGACGTTTCGACTGCAACACAAGCAATCATCATCAGCTGGTGGTTGCTGTTGTGGTTTTCACACCTGATGATGATTGCTTGTGTTGCAGTCGAAACGTCTTGAGAATTTTGTTTTATATTTTTATTATTTTATTGTTTTCCTTCTATGTGACTTTACCGAAAGAACCAAGAATATGCCTCATCTTTCATAATACAGGTGTTTTGGGTTAGATCGCGATCTAACACAAAAAAACCTGTATTATGGAAATTGGTCGCGAAAACCTACGTGTTAAACTGCCTCATCTTTATTTTCATCAGAAGTGGGAATTATTTTGAAATGAGCAATGCATCAAGTTTGTGCACCCAGATGATCGGGTGTTAGCCAATCCCGTGGCATATGGCACCGAAGCAGCACATCACAATAGCAAGGCCCAGTGTACCCCCCCTGCTAAATTTACCTTAACAGCTGGTGGTTGCTGGGGAAATTGTCGTAGCAGGGTGTGTGCTGCAAGGCTGATGCAGAGCCACCACCAGAATTCCGGCTAATCGGTGGCGACTGCACACCTCCAATCGGGGAGTCCCGGGAAGAGGAAAACGGGAGGCAGGTTGTCGTACATGACAAATCAACAACATCCATCGCTTTCATCTTCTCCGAGCATGCTGGTATGTGAGACTTTGTCGGCTCATTCTCTAGGTGTGGAAATAGTGAGCCATCACTGTCAGCCCGATGCTGGTTCAGTTTGTCCTCCCCTGTATCCCTGTCACCTTTGCCAATGACATCGGCTTCCTTGAAAAATCCATTCTCTATGCCTTCTGGAATGAGCTTTCGACTCTTTGATATGTGCACAGGCAACAACGTGTGGGCTGTATCTTGAGCAGCATTAATGTCTTCTTTGCTGCTATCCTCTCCTGTATTCATCAGATTGCTGTGTTTTGGTAACGAGAAGTAGTTCTCCACCAGCCCTGTTTCCACTTCATCACATACTTTAAGGGACGTGGCATCATCGCTTTCCACCTCTGGACTTGGTTTTGAAATAACAGCAGTTTCATTACTTATGAGGTCTAGTGTTGGTCGGGCTTCTGCATCTACCAGGGCATGGTGTGGAAGAATACTTGGAAGTGTGTCTTCTTCAACAACACAAGAGGTCAAATCGACAATATCCTCCTCACTGAACACCTCCACATCGCTGTGTGCATCTGTTGTGGTGAGGGGTTCCGGGCAAGTGAGCAAGTCAGTTTCGTCATCGCTACCTTCACTTATGTGCAAGGGAAAACACAGTTTTTTTGAATGACTGGGAGGTAAGGAACACTCTTGAGAGCCTGAAAGTTTGTTTCTATTTCCCTGCAAATGAACAGTGTCAATTTCTTCATCATATAAATCTTCATCTACATCAGATTTCCCATCCATCACAGATTTCCCATCCATCACAGAGGGGTGTTGACAGTTGGCTTCGAGAGTCTGGATTTGGTTATTATCATGTGGTTTTATGACAATTTCATTCCCCCGGTTTTCCATTTCTGTGCTCTTTTCAACATCGGATTCTACTGCAGCTAAGTCTAGACAGTGTGTATTACTGTTATGATTGTTAGGTCCGCAGAGTGCAAGATCAATGATTTCAACATTAGTATCATCATCTGAAGCAATTGAGTTGATGGAAGATAGAGATGAATGTAGGTGTTTAGATTTTTCTACCATTTGATTGTCATCAACATGCCCATATTTAACATCTGCATTTGACTGACCATGTAAATTGTCAAAGGTGTTTTGCTGAGCAGGATTACCACTGCAAACTCTGTCTAAGTCATTGTTGTTGGACAGCAATACTGAGCTACATTCACTGTCAAGTCCAGAATCAGAAAAAGCTGAAAGTGTTCTAATGTGTGGGTCAGTGGGCTTCAGTCCCTGAGCCTTTCCGTTTGCCGCAGCTCTTCCAGCCTTAATGGGTGTGTTCGACACAGATAATTGTTGCCCATTTTCAGACTCAAGGTTATTTTTAAATGTTCTTTCTTGTAGTGGTGACATACCTCTTTCAACTACCAATATAGCTTCTGTTCTCGGATTTTCATCTGCAATGTTCCAGACATCTGTCATGCAGCACGCATTCTGCTCATCGGCTGGCTTTGCACTTTGAACTATTATGGCTTTTGTGCCACGATAAGGGTCTATGTCGCTAGGTTTGACATCAATGTGCCTCACACCAGAGGTGGGCCTTTGTAGGGGCTCTGAATCAACAGAATGCTCCCCATCGTCCCTCCTGTCTCTGACTAATGGCAGGGAGAGAGTTTCAATCAAAGTAGCTTTTTCACTTTTCAAGCTGCCTCCTACACACAGCTCATGATCTTTTAAGGTGGTGCCATGCTCTTGTTTAGTATCACAATTAGCTGGTATTTGCAGTCCATCTGCTAAGAAATCCCTGGGTGGCTTTGAAGCGATTAGAAACCCATCCCAATTAGCTTCAGGATTGCAAGGACTCTGAATGCATTCCCTGGCAAACCCATCCCGAACATCTTCCTTAATCTCGCTCACTTGTTTTGGGCTCGCACTACTGCCCTGTTCGATGTTCAACTCTGTCAGGCTAAAGGGAAGGAACGAGGCACTGCTTCCCTCCTCGGGTGAGCTTGTGTCCGACGCTGGAATCCCACCGATGTTCTCCCCGCATATGTTCAAGTGCTCCGAGTGCCGAGATGCGGGCCTGGCCGGAGTGCCATCCGTGCAGTCTCTATCAGTGTAGCGGTCTTCAAATATGATGGGCAGCGTGCTGGGATCCCCATCCGTTTCCACGCACTCCACGGGCAGGGGCGGCAAGTTGGTGAGGTAGGGCGAGGCCTTCACTATGGAAGCAATCACTGCATGGTTCTGAGCGCTGGGAATAAGAATGAAATGTAGAGTCCATGTTATGTACAAAATGTACTTTCCTAATCTAGGAAGTCTTACAAAGTCTCAAGATTGTTTTGGGAGTTTTGCTCGGTATCTGTACTGGGGTGTGAGGAATCAAAATTTGTATTAAGGCAACTATCTATAGCTACAGGACTTATTCTTGGTTCTTTCGGTAAAGTCACGTAGAAGGGAAACAATAAAATAATAAAAAAATAAAACAATAAAATTATCACGACGTTTCGACTGCAACACAAGCAATCATCATCAGGTGTGAAAACCACAAGAAAATTTGAAAAAAGTGGCGTTTTTTTACGTTAGCACCACGGATAGCGATTTGACAGTTTGTTCAGATGGACGAGTCCATCTATGTTCGGAAAAGAGGAGGGGGGAGACGAAAAATAATGGATGCTGTCTGAAAGCCACCTTAAGTGTGATCAATCAATTAAGACCCGAAATGGTTTATCAAATCCTTCCAATGATTGACTCGTCAATCTGAACAAACTGTCAAATCGCTCTCCGTGGTGCTAACGTTAAAAAAAACTGCCACTTTTTTCTAATTTTCTTGTTGTGGTTTTCACACCTGGTGATGATTGCTTGTGTTGCAGTCGAAACGTCGTGAGCATTTTATTGTTTTATATTTTTATTATTTTATTGTTTCCCTTCTACGTGACTTTACCGAAAGAACCAAGAATATGAATCTCTGCAGTCATGAAAGCTTTAAATCAAAAAGCTACAGGACTGTCTAATAGATCACCAATATAGGGTAGTACCACCCTGACCATTTGGGTAGGAAGACAATTTTGACCTTTTATCTGTTTGAATTTGTTGGCCAATTCCATATTAAATAACACGGAACCAATATAAACATTCAGTGCATAACATATACGCTCAACATAAAATAAACAAGCTCAATGATTACTTACTGTGTTTCCTGAAATGCCAGTGCTGCTTGCTTATTGTGATCTTGATAAAAGAATGCTTCTGAGAATCTCCTTACCTGCAAAAAAGAGAATACATAAAAAAAGAGGATTCTCCATTCAGTTTCAAAGTGGCACTAATACATTGCATGTAAAAAAGCTCTCCACTTTATTCAGATCAACTAAAAATAACAGATTTTTGTGTCATTTTATTGTTTGGACCAACTCAAAGAGTTGATAAAATGTGATAATCCCACCAGGCAGGTTTAAAACTTCCCATGCTTAGATATCTTCCCATGCTTAGATATATCTCCATCTATAGGGAGAAGCAAAAATAAGTGGTTGGGATGGGAAGTGTTTAGTAGTTGGTTCATATTAATATATTGCATCTACATAGCAGTTTTTCGGTTCTATAATTTTGCATCCAAATTGTTTTACAGTGATGAGAAACATTGATTACAGTTGACTCCGTTTATAACATTATCAAATAAAATACTCGGCTTATAATAGCAGATTTTTTCCAATATATTTTATAGTGCAAATCCAGTCTGTATTATTAGAAATGTAGTAATACTATACAGCAATACATTAAAGTAAAAATGCTGTTTATTATACATGTATATTATAAAAATGGCATGTATCTAAAATTCCAAGAACACTCACTCAAGCACAGATACAGTACCCAAGCGAGCTGTCATTTTCACTCGCTATCTCCTTGTAGCTACAACTGCGGTTTGATATCTGGTAAAGTTACGGTGTCAATTATTGTTGCATTACTGTAATTTATATTTGAATCACCATTCTTTTACGTACAAGTACAGTTAACGGTTTTCTTCAAGGCATTTTTACACGATTAAATGTAACTGTCTACAAGTGGAATTGTACTGTAATGTTAGTTGTGCTGTTTTTTGGAGGATAATTACGTTACTGCCTTATGTTAGTAATGTATGACAAATGCGACTGTCTTTCAATTGTTAAAGGGAGCATGCCACGTCAAACAAAAAAAACTCCCAAATATTACAATTCTTTGTTGTATTCTCCAAGTTATCACTATACGGAGTCAACTGTACTCTTCTTTGGTTCTTTCGGTAAAGTCACGTAGAATGAGAATAAAACAATAAATTGATAAAATAAAATAACACAATATTCTCACGACGTTTCGGCCACAACACAAGCGGCCTTCATCAGGTGAAGGGACGAGACTGTCTGGAGGACAGCACTGTCCTCCAGACAGTCTCGTCCAATCAATCTTATCGCATTAATATACAAAAGTCATAGCTTTGTCAAAACGAGGAAAGGCCAGGCTCAAACTCGAAGGCGTGAGCTGCCAAGTGATGCTGGGGGATAATGGCTGTGGTTATGGCTGAATTATAGTACTTATCTAACACTGTTAAGATGCCATGTTCTAATGTGCCACGTAAGATGTCAAGGTTCTCAAGTGAAGTGAGTTGTTGGCTTTAACGTGATAACCAACAATTGCACACAACTATTTCACTACCAATGTTTCACAAAATTCTGCACACTCATGTGCTGAACAGGATGAAAAACGTACAGCTTGTCACCAAGAAAATATCCTTTACTCCGCATAAAGGTGAAACCTCAATTGCCAAATGCGAGGGTGGCCTGAACCTTATCGTTGGAAGACATCACCTTCTCGGGGCCATTCGCAGAAAACATTGTGATGCTGTGCTGACGTGGCAGTCATTAGGAGGTCACCTCTTAAAACATGACCAAACTCGACTACATAACCCAACCAGTGGATAACATGCATATTTTAAAACGTAGAGGTGCTGGTAAAATCACATACCCTCATGCAATGGTGCTCCAGAGCAAGACCAGAGGTGACCTCGGGCTGCAGGTTGACAGTTTCGAGAAACTGGCCCCACAGGGACATGAGCAGTGAGCACAGGTGTGCAAGATCCATGTTGATTACCTCGACGAGCTCATCAGGGCTCCGCACCTTCTGCAAACATTCACAGGGGTGATGTGCACAACACCCTGATTGTCACAACCCATAAATAATGGGCAGGTGCGCAGGGCGCCACTTGCACACCCTAGTATGAAGTGGTGTTAAATTGGCTTGGACTTTCCAGAAAGCGGTCTCACATGTGTACTATGCACTTGAGGGAGCAATTCATTGCTTCTTTTCTACTCGCATATAATGTATTGGCTGTATTACACATCGGTTTTCTTGACAGGCCAGGAACACTCATTTTCCCCCTGCAAGTTTTAGATTAAAAAAAAAATTCAATTCCTGCGTCAATTAGTGAAATGTTACTCTTATGAATATATATTATATATCAACAGCGAAGAAATTATAGAGCATATTTGATCATAATTTTGTTAAGTAAAATGCATAACTCCACCAGCTATAAAACAATGATGAAAGGCCCGATGTATTTCTATTTTCGTTTAACGCAGAATCACCGTCACCTAGTGGATGAACTGTAAAGAAGACATTTACCAAAAAAGGAAGAGAATCTGGTATCATAAAAAAGGCAAGGGAAATGTTCAGGTCTGTTAGTTTAACACGTAGGCTTTCGCGACCAATATCATCCATAATACAGGAAACGTCGTACTCAGATTGTAAATGTTGTGGCTTGGCTCTCCAACACACCGGTGTGCTGTACTAGTAACGAATTGGCATGTTCTGTTTACATGACAAACCTTACTAATTGGCTGTGTCGGGTGGTGGCGAATTTAACGACACATTTATATATTTATGCGATCTAACCCAAAAAACCTGCATAAGGTCTCTCTTAGTAAGAGGATATTTGACCCGAACAAAAATTTATTGGATTTATCGAGATGCAGTTAGACTTAAAATTGTAAGTCCTTTAAACTTTATATCCTTACTTTGTCTAATGTGCTTATATTAAAAACCATGGTAAAACATTTTATAAAATGAGAATCTTAAGAAAATGTATAAAATGAATCCAGTGTATCACACTTCCAATTTAAACACTGAAATTACTTTTGCTCAAAATAACATGTTTCTTAAGGCGGTCGTCGACAGGCCTAATGCAAGGGTATAAATGTGTGTTCTGCCCCCACCCAGAAATATGAAAAATAAAAAAACAGACATGGGATATGCCAGAGCATCATATTATGCAATAGCCCTGTCACTTGACATCAGAGCTACCATGTTCAGTGATATGTCTAGGCTGTGCCCATATCTCTAGGTTGTGCCCATATCTCTTTTGAAGGGCTAGTGCACCAGCAAAGTGAATAAAGAAGCTTATGGACTTTGCCGTCTTGAAAAGCATGGCTACCCATGTGGGAGATGTGCAGGGAGTAACGGGGTCACTCGGAGAGACAGTCTCAGAAGTGGGAACGCCATGCAGGAGTGGGTCCCACTGTAGCACACTGCCTGCACATGAGCAGAACGACCAAGCTGACAATTTGAATAGCATTCACTGATTTGGGCCCTTCTGTTGTTTTTTGGGGGGGGGGCTATTGATTTTGTTTCCAGTGCATGAGTCTGCATGACCCTGGTGTTTGGTTGATGGGATAGTGATGGCAATGAGGATGGTGACTGGTGCCATGTGCTGGTCCTTGGGAAGCCTGTGTGTTTAGGTTTCGTCTTTAGATTTCTAGGTTCAAGCACCAAATGACACCCGAATCTTTACGCGGAGTATGTTGACGGTCGCCAACAAAAAAACGGTGCTCAATGAAAGTCACTAAAGCCAAGTTTTTCCATGCAATGCATTAAACAATGCATGTTATAAGATAGGCCCAATTGCAATCCAGAGCACAATTTAATTGAAAATAAACGTTTTATTTATATAAAACAGTAACCATGATAAACGTATTTCAGCACATTCTAGTGATAATTATAGTGATAATTATAATGAAATGCTGTGTGCGATTTATTTATCAATTATTAACAACATTACTTTAGTGGAAATTATGACTTCTAATTATGTATACTCAATTATGAAAATGCTACAGACATCTAATGCATGAATTTGCACAATAACATGCATACATATGCCTGAAACAAAACATTGTGTAATACTTGTTGAATTCTTCTAACAGATCCATATATGATTTTATGCTTGAATGTATATGTGGATGAAGAGTGCAGGTAAGAAATCACAATCCTGAAGAGCAATAATAAAATAATATTAATCTGTAAATTATTCATGTATCTTTACTTAACCGCAAGGCCATGTGTAATGTAAAACCATTTCAGAAAACCAAAAATTGGTTTTAAAACGCTGGAGTAGTGAGTTGAATCCCAACAGCTTTCAGGACGCCCACACAACAAACCTGTATCTCTGATGTGAGCTGCGCCATTCGTGCCCTGATATCAAGGTCATCTGCAGTAAATCAAATAGCGAAGACACGGTATGACGGTAAAACATTTTCATGAAGCAGATATGAAGTACAGTAATCTTCTTTTGTCATGGAATGTTATATGCGGGTTTCCAGGTCTATGACTAGGATTCATAATCGTGAAATGCAATTAACATAGTATATTTACAAATTATTATATATTATAATTGAGTGGAGTACATATTAGTCATGCAAACACCTGACCAATACATCATATAAGTAAAGCTACATAAACATTATGACCAAAAAAGTGATGACATTTCAAATGAATGGACTGTTATCAGAATGACTGCAGTTTAACTTGACTAAATACCACTATGTTAAAGAAAAATGAAGGTGACCTTGTAATGTGTCGACATTTTTATTATAATTTGTCAGTTGAATTGGACTTCAAAACAACACATTTTAGCTGGTGATTTCAGCAAAATGTGGTTTACTGTATGAAGATGAGGATATGGCAAAGGCACTAACACCGCATACATACACAAAATCCATGAAACAATAGGCATTTATCCACATTGAAAATTACCAACATAGTGAACACAGCAGCCCACACGACTTGAAAATAACACATCTAAGCTCAAAAAAGCATCAGTAGTTTGCATTTTAAAAAATGGCATTCAAAACTAATTCACAAAAAGCCAAAATGTACACGTAAGTAAAAGCACCACATGCATTACCAAGAATATGCCATTCACATCGACATAATACAGTGAGGGAAAAAGGTATTTGATCCCCTGCTGATTTTGTACGTTTGCCCACTGACAAAGAAATGATCAGGCTATAATTAATAGTAGGATTATTTGAACAGTGAGAGACAGAATAACAACAAAAACATCCAGAAAATCGCATGTCAAAAATGTTATGAATTGATTTGCATTTTAATGAGAGAAATAAGTATTTGACCCCTCTGCAAAACATGACTAAGTACTTGGTGGCAAAACCCTTGATGGAAATCGCAGAGGTCAGACGTTTCTTGTAGTTGGCCACCAGGTTTGCACACATCTCAGGAGGGATTTTGTCCCACTCCTCTTTACAGATCTTCTCCAAGTCATTAAGGTTTCGAGGCTGACATGGGGCAACTCGAAACTTCAGCTCCCTCCACAGATTTTCTTTGGGATTAAGGTCTGGAGACTGGCTAGGCCATTATAGGACCTTAATGTGCTTCTTGTTGAGCCACTCCTTTGTTGCCTTGGCCGTGTGTTTTGGGTCATTGTCATGCTGGAATACCCATCCACGACCCATTTTCAATGCCCTGGCTGAGGGAAGGAGGTTCTCACCCAAGTTTTGACGGTACATGGCCCCGTCCATCGTCCCTTTGATGCGGTGAAGTTGTCCTGTCCCCTTAGCAGAAAAACACCCCCAAAGCATAATGTTCCACCTCCATGTTTAACGGTGGGGATGGTGCTCCTGGGGTCATAGGCAGCATTCCTCCTCCTCCAAATACGGCGAGTTGAGTTGATGCCAAAGAGCTCCATTTTGGTCTCATCTGACCACAACACTTTCACCCAGTTGTCCTCTGAATCATTCAGATGTTCATTGGCAAACTTCAGACGGGCATGTATATGTGCTTTCTTCAGCAGGGGGAACTTGCGGGCGCTGCAGGATTTCAGTCCTTCACGACGTAGTGTTACCAATTGTTTTCTTGGTGACTATGGTCCCAGCTGCCTTGAGATCATTGACAAGATCCTCCCGTGTAGTTCTGGGCTGATTCCTCACCGTTCTCATGATCATTGCAACTCCACGAGGTGAGATCTTGCATGGAGCCCCAGGCCGAGGGAGATTGACAGTTCTTTTGTGTTTCTTCCATTTGCAAATAATCACACCAACTCTTGTCACCTTCTCACCAAACTGCTTGGCAATGGTCTTGTAGCCCATTCCAGCCTTGTATCGGTCTACAATCTTGTTCCTGACATCGTTGGAGAGCTCTTTGGTCTTGGCCATGGTGGAGAGTTTGGAATCTGATTGATTTCTTCTGTGGACAGGTGTCTTTTATACAGGTAACAAGCTGAGATTAGGAGCACTCACTTTAAGAGTGTGCTCCTAATCTCAGCTCGTTACCTGTATAAAAGACACTTGGGAGCCAGATATCTTTCTGATTGAGAGGGGGTCAAATACTTATTTCCCTCATTAAAATGCAAATCAATTCATAACATTTTTGACATGCGTTTTTAATGGATTTTTTTGTTGTTATTCTGTCTCTCACTGTTCAAATAAACCTACCATTAAAATTATAGACTGATCATTTCTTTGTCAGTGGGCAAACGTACAAAATCAGCAGGGGATCAAATACTTTTTTCCCTCACTGTATATACTGCTGGTACATTTGTTTAATCTCTCCTTGGTCAAAAATCGTCCACATGGATAATTACCATGCATTGATAATCACTGTGAGCCACCAACATACGGAAATAAATAATTTGTCCATTTTGTAATGAAAAGGGGCCGTACAATGGAAATTGGCTGTGTATGTTTAAGCCAGGTAATTGTACGCTGGCAACCGTACCTATGGTGATGTCCGCCTGGGGATGAGGACATTTTCTCCGAAGCAAGCGTTCATAGAGAGCCCGCATGTTGTTGAGCGCTAGTCACGCATTGTAGACACGCAACAGTTAACTTTTTTGCATTTCATCGATCACATATTAACCAGGGTAAGTGTGAACCTGAGACAGCAGTGCACTCAAGGATGTATTAACCTTAAAGTAAAATCCAAGTGCTCACCAAAACCTAATGTGACTTCATGGTCACTGGTGTTTGGCATTTCAGTAAAGAAAAAAAATGTTTTATGGTTAACATTTCCACTTATTAAATTATTTGCTGAAATGCAAAAAAAAAACCTTACTTGATTCCAGATTGTTTGTAGAAATGTCCTTCAAAAATGTAGGTAATGCAGAGTTTAAAGCATCTATGGATTTCTGCCAGCCTCGATTCCTCTACATTTTCTGTAAGCTACAAATGCTCGAAATATTAATGGTTTGGTCCTATTTTTAAAAGATCATTGTCATCTTTGTATGACAATAACATTAATTAATGTGGGAATTGTTGTAAAGACAAGTTATTAGTCAATGGTAATATTCCTTGTATTAATGACAACGGCAATTATATATGCACCAACATTTATGATATGCCCAAGCAAACAAAAATGAGGCCATGCTATAAAGAGGCTTCCTAGGATTATTATTTTTATTTGGATATTCAGAGACTGTATAGCTTTCAACTGTTGAGTGCTATGCTAAATGAGTATCTACATTGAGTGTAATGGAAAATGCTATAAATTTGCATTATTACGTGAAAATGATGCAAACAGATCAACAATGCCATATCAGAAGGCTGTGAATATTTACAAGTGAGACTAAGAATATTGAGCAGATCATCAAGGCTTAATTTTGCAAATACTTCCTTTGCAATTAAACCTGCATTGGACAGCTATATGAATGGTATTTAGGGATGCAAGGGTCAACAGTCATATCCCCTATATTATTTAGTGAAGGCATTAACATGGAGCAACACTAAATCCTAGTAAGCCTTATAGAAGCTAACCAAGCTTGCCAAGACAAAATAATAAATTCAACATTAAGCAAACTAATAACTGAGAGTGAAAAAAAAAACCTCATAAAAAACAATACGAATTTCAACGATCTTTCCTGTTATGAGTCATGTTTTGTCAAACACTATTGCAATTATTATTTTAAAGTAAACTTTATTCAGTCTATAAATTATTAAAATTGATACAGATATGATCAACTATATATTTTCAAAATAGGACCACATCACAGGAGAGAAACTGTAAAATGCTAATTGTAAGGCATGCATTGATGAATACGGTGCGCATCGATCTTACCTAACTGTGCCCTTTGGGTCTCAGGTATGACTTTCATGATGCAGGCATAGTAGTTGAACAGGTTTTTGTAAGCGGACAGGATGGTCCTGCACATTGTGCGGTGCCAATTGTAGGCATGTTGCAGTGCAGTCTCTGACACCAGGAAAGAACAACCCTGCGCAACACAAATGTGAAAATTAATGATGTGGCGCTGATTTAACATGCCCAACTCACTCGGCCAAAACGAAATGTTCACATTTTCTGTAGCCTTAAGGTGTTGGTAAATACCAAAGAACCTAATAAAGTGTTACATTCACTGCACGCACAACAGTACAAATCACCTCCATAAATCAGTATTTTCAATGCATTTAAGTAATGGGGAAGTATATTTTTCTTGTGCAGCAGACCAGTAAATGTCATCTACACTTACTGTAATGCAATTGAAATCCTCGCAGCATTGACATTAAATTAATTAGAACACATAACCTAAAGGCAACAACATAGGAATTCATTTCAATCCTCTATGTGACAGCTAATGTTATTAAATAATAACACGAGAACAAAATAATGTTTTATGTTCTGAAAGCAAAGGCTATAATATACCTAAGCATTTTAAGGTTACAAGTATGTTTAATAACAGTTCTCAATTAATTTCAAGTCTATTATTTCAGGAAGGCCTTATAAAAGGATGTTTGGCCAAATCCATTTTTATAATAATGCTGACAACACTGTGTAACAATTTTTTGTTTGTTCCTGGGTAGTAAGTGTTATTTCCTAATTGCTTATGCCTCAAAAGTACAGAAAATGGCTATTATTTCCCACAAACGTTGCTTTTGTGACCAGGGCAGTGATATTTTGAAATTGACTATTTTCAATGAAAAAACGGGCAAATGTGTCTTTTCATTCACATAAAGTCATAAAACATATGAATCAAATTAACATGTATTTATACTAAATACAAAAATAACTACTAAAGATTTAGACACCAAGGCACACTACCACAGGCGGGACTGGCCACAGTGGACCGAGTTCTCTGTGGGGAGGAACAACGTCAAGTGGTAGCCACTGGTGGACCCCCGGAAGGTGCTGATGCCACCACTGCACATCAAATTGGGCCTTATGAAACAATTTGTCAGAGCTGTAGATAAGGAGTCGGCAGCCTTCAAGTACCTTCAAGACTTCTTCCCTAAGCTGTCTGAGGCAAAGGTCAAAGCCGGTGTCTTCGTCGGACCACAGATAAAGAAGATCCTGGAGTGCAATGAATTCCCCAAGAAGCTCACTAGTAAGGCGAAAGCGGCTTGAAACAGCTTTGTCGCTGTGGTTTGTGGCTTCCTGGGCAATCACAAGGTCGAAAACAATGTGGAGCTGGTTGAAATTCTGGTGAAGAACTACGGCACAATGGGCTGCAGGATGTCCTTCCAAGTCCATATCCTTGATGCTCCTTTTGATAAATTCAAGGAGAACATGGGAGCGTACTCGGAGGTGTAAGGAGAGCGCTTCCACCAGGATATACTGGACTTTGAACGCCACTACTAAGGACAGTATAATGGAAACATGATGGGAGACTACATTTGGGGGCTGATTCGTGAAAGTGATTTGCAGTATTATCATAAATCTCGAAAAACTACTCACTTATAAATCTTTTGTAGTCATTAAAAACATCACTGTCCTGGTCACAAAAGCAAAGTTTGTGGGGAACAATAGCCATTTTCTATACTTTTTATGCATAAGCAATTACGAAATAACACTTATTACCCAGGAAGAAAATTGCGCTACATAGTGCAATGATTATATTGTCAATGAATACCCCATGGCACTTCACAATAGAGAACCGAGCTGTTACTTCCACACTACAAAATAGGTCAACTAAATTGCTGGTCTGCTCCAATCCCATGTTACAAAAAAACAGCTTTGCCTTTATACATGAAGCATGCATGTATATGTGATAAATGCATATTTGCACTATGTGTAATTGTTTTATCCATCAGTTCAAGTGATAAGGACAGCCACAGATATGTATAGTGTTTTTTTGGACCAAAAACTTCCATTGTGTCAACACTGTATAAAAAGTGCTCCAAATAATTTGTTTTCATCTATAGCCTAGAAAATGTTGGTTTGCCTTTGGTTTAGCCCTGAAGTTATTTTTCTCATCTTTGAATGTTAACTTTCTGAGTGTGTAGTTTCTTATATATAAAAACCTTATCAAATTAGCAGGTGAAAAAGCCATGCAGGGATTTAACCACTGACAGGCACTGCCAAGTTGGTGGGAATCCAAACACAATTGTAAATTTCATCTTTTCTGGCAGAAGGCAGACTTACGTCAGCTGCAAGCTGCTTCACATAGCCGGGGCCAAAGAGAATCATCTCCAATGATGGGTTTGTGACTTCTCGATTTGTTGGCTGGCTGCTTTTGTTCAGCCACGTGCTTTTGGGTGGACGTTGGAAGCTGAAAAATCAGATATCAATTTCACAATAATACACATCACTGTGATTAACACTTGGCCACTGCATCATGTAGTATTGTGAAGACCAGCAGTTATCTGGGTGAAAGGTAGGCACGTCTTTACACAAACCTGGCGAGCTGGCTAAAAACGTAATAAATAATAACAATAGCGTGACCTTTAATTCAAATACAACTTTTCAAAAATGGTAAATTGTCACTTCATTTACACATGCGTTATTCTGCTTCTAAAGAGCTCTGTGAAAATACTAAATAGATACGATTGGAGGCTCATGGGGACGTAATATTTCAAGTCAGTTTTACCACTATTCATGAAGAAACAAATGACTGAAACATCATTCCAGAATTGAAATATTTATTTCATCTATAAACATTTAATCAACAGGTCCCATAATTTGGTTCACCAACTGGTCCTGCTGCTATGGATGATGTCCTCAATTATACCAAATCAATCCAGGAACTTTCCCTTTTCATAATTTGAATGACAGTGTTTACTTCGTAAAGTATGATACAGGTTTCCCTCTGCTTTTGTGTATATGTGGCAAACCTATTTCTACACAAATTTCACTTTTTGCAGCTTGAATTCAGTCATATGTGGCTATGCAGATGAACGCAGGACAACATTGTGTGCGTGTGTGTTACTTGGCAAGCAGCCGTCCGTGCGGCTTTGCTTAGTGCGCCCTTTTGTGGAACGCATCTCTGGCATAGAGCGAGGGAAACCAGATATAAATAACTTCCTTTTTGTCCAAAGGAATATGTAATTCCTGGGATGTATACATTCTTTGCAATACAAATCTGAAATAAAAACCTCCACTCACTTATATCACGTGTTACAGGTCCGTCTAAGGGTTACCTATAGTGCCTAAAGAAAGTTTTCAATCAGTATAAAATAGCTGTTAAATAACAGCGATTGCAAACACGGTCAATAAACGAAATTAAACACAAGCTGAGAAGTGTGCAAAGAAGCATGGTGAGGTGCATGCTTTGCATTACACTGATACATTATAAGTATACAAATGGATCTGACAGCAAATACAATTTATATACATCATATTAACTGCTTAGGAATGCAAGTGGGCTTGGGGCAGGACATATTACGAGAAGGGATGATAGCCGGCAAGTCGAGAGTAAAATGAGAACGAGACCCAAAGGAGGGAGGATACAAGCTAAGGAGGTAACACAATGAGATCAGCTTGTGGTCAGGAGCTATTTGGATGAAGGCATTGCTTAACCATGCGGAATATTGAGGGCTTGAGAGGCCTTTAACCAGCAGTGGATAGATCACAATTGATTATTGTAAAATCTAATATTCATTATGCAATGGAAGTGATGTAAAATGTGAAGTAACACAGCATATAAAGAGGGATTAGGTTTAATTTTCTGAAAGTGGAGAAAAACACTGGACCCATCATGCCGAACAAGCGGCACTACCCAAAGACACATCGAGGAGCTATACAGCAAAAACAGTGAAAACCTATGCATGAGTAAGGACTGATTGATGCACACACTATTTAGCATTTTACTCAGAGGTAATTTATCAAATGCAGCGAATGGAAATGTCGATGAATAGTATTACCATGTCAGCGGCTGATGCAGCGCAACGAGCGATGCATGCACGCTCATCGACACCACCGACAAGTGGAAATAGTCGAACATGAGCGGCAGGTGGTGGTGCAGCCCTTGTGGCGGGGAGAAGTTCATCTTGAGTGTGCGGCTGCTGATTAGCTGCATGGCTGACAGGTCATCTTGCCTGCAACAGCGCACATGGACAAAATGACACCGAGAAAAAAAGAGGAACGATAAAAACAAACCACCACAAAAGTTGTGTATATATATACATACACAAACACATGCATTCCCACGTGATTTATTTATATCCGTGGGGCCCTTTTAAAGCATTCCTGTACAGGCCTGCATCTCCTGCCTTCAGTCAAATTTAATGAATGGGTGAAGGAATTAAGGATGAAAGCTAACTTGAATTCCAAATCAATAAATGAGTGGAGGAAAAAAAAGCAATTCATTTGCTTATATTTAAAAGTATAATGAACAAGTATACATCGAGAAGGCTAAACATTGATTAACCTTACGTGCAAATCTATATACGTTTTACAAACGGATTAAACTATAAACAATATTGGACACAAATAACACCATGTCATGGAAGATAATACAAACACCACAAAGCTACATTCATATTTAGAGAAAATATTATGAAAATCTCCTTTAAATAAAAAAGTCAGGAAAGTTTATATTGCCCCTGCATACTTGAGGCAAAAAAACCTCACAGCAACACGGCCAAGGCAACAAAGGAGTGGCTCAAGAAGAAGCACATTAAGGTCCTGGAGATGCCTAGCCAGTCTCCAGACCTTAATCCCATAGAAAATCTGTGGAGGGAGCTGAAGGTTCGAGTTGCCAAACGTCAGCCTCGAAACCTTAATGACTTTGAGAAGATCTGCAAAGAGGAGTGGGACAAAGTCCCACCTGAGATGTGTGCAAACCTGGTGGCCAACTACAAGAAACGTCTGACCTCTGTGATTGCCAACAAGGGTTTTGCCCCCAAGTACTAAGTCATGTTTTGCAGAGGGGTGAAATACTTATTTCCCTCAATAAATGCAAATCAATTTATAACATTTTTGACATGCGTTTTTCTGAATTTTTTTTGTTGTTATTCTGTCTCTCACTGTTCAAATAAACCTACCATTAAAATTATAGACTGATCATTTCTTTGTCAGTGGGCAAACGTACAAAATCAGCAGGGGATCAAATACTTTTTTCCCTCACTGTAGCTTACTGAATGCAGTAATAGCAGACCACTTTTTTGTTACTAGATTATACTTTGGCCGAGCACAGGCCCAAAGGTTCAAACACCAAGCGGCCAGCAACAAAGAACACTCTTAAGGTTGTAATAGATAACAGTTAACATATTTCTTGAATTTACCACGGCCATAAGAGCATGGGCAAAGAGATGGGAAAGAATTCCGAAGTTGAGCATTGCGTGGGAAGAAGCAGATAGAGAAGATTTAAATTCAGTGCAGTGGTTGAAACAAGTACTGTATAGATGAGAACAAACAGTGAGTCTGGTAGAGGAGTAAGCAATGAGTGAAGTTCATGGGTGCAGTAACCAGGGTAGTCGCGATAGAAGAGTAACAAGTGACCGAACACTGGTAAGCGAGTGACTAGAGCAACTTAGTGAGGACTGGATCATCAATTTACCCGAGTGCTTTAGGTTGAATTACATCAAATACAGTGAGGTGAGGAAGCGAGTAATTCACCACAAAATTGCAAGCAGAATTCCAACTTCTGGGCGAATTTGTGCTTTGTATAATTGTAACAATTGTTCAGAGTTAAAGAAGATGTTGCCTCCTTAGCCGGATTCATAATAAAGCCATTCCATGAGCCATTCCATGACAAGTCAGATGAGATTGGTGTGCCAAGCAGAATCATATTTTTACAAAGCTCCTTATTTGTGATTAAGGCTGACAAATATTTATGTTCTAACAAAAAAATGAATGTAATTTAATTAGATTATGCACGAATACACACATGCACACATTTGACAAATATTACACATTTGCAAGAATTTTGATTTAAAGCTTTCGTGACTGCAGGGATTCATATTCTTGGTTCTTTCGGTACAGTCACGTAGAAGGGAAACAATAAAATAATAAAAATATAAAACAATAAAATTATCACGACGTTTCGACTGCAACACAAGCAATCATCATCAGGTGTGAAAACCACAGCAAGAAAATTTGAAATAAACCGCCACTTTTTTCAAATTTTCTTGCTGCGAAGGGAGGAAACGCCACCAACTACACAGCCACCTCTAACGCCAATTAATCCTGTGAACAGTCCCTGACATGTGTCAATATTACAACACTAAAACAGAAAAACAAATGTTGCCTGTCCCTGCAAGAGCCTGGCCAGCGACACCTGAATATTTGCACTGTACCTGCATATGAGCACTCACTGACAATAACTTAAAGGAGTGTCCTTTACAGTATTTATGCCCTGCAGGGAGAATGCTAAAATGGATGGTAAGGAGGTGGGAGTGTTAGCATTTTTGCAAGAATGGTGAGAAACCAAAAATAAGAATGCAATGAAATTACTGGGTTGACCACAGTGGGTGGGCACTAATGTTGTTCTTGCAAAGTACTGCGTGTGTACACGTTGTCACATTACCACAAGTGTACACGTTACCACCAGTGTTCGTTTCTCGTTTGTTTTGTTGTCAGCTATTGTGGGCTATAAAAGTCATCACCAAAGAAGATAATTCAGTACAAGTTTCAAAATAGTTTAAAGCACCATAGAGCGCTAGGACGAAACTGCTGAATACTTACGCAAAGTCTCCATCCGTGAAATGAAGATCGACCACAATCTGGAAACACACATCATTCAAAGATTCTTGGACCTGAAAATGAAGCAAAGTAGGGCCAACCGTGTGAATATCAAATTGTGTTTAAATTGCATCAGCATTCTTCAAATACAATACATTAACGAATATCAAATGAAGCTGGGTGATCTAGGGTAATGGAATGTCAATATTCAAAAAGCCATTAAAGGTTATACCTGAAATTGGCCCGAAGATAAACTTGGTCGAATTCACTACATGGGTTGATAAAAAATGTGCTTTTCTAAATTAAATTTTACACATCATTAAATAATACATGTTAACTTTTGGAAAAGTAAAATCTTTGTAAGTGGCCTGCAAAGAACCTGAGCTTTCAGTGAATGCATTCATACTTTGTTGCTTATGTATTGCCGTTTCCCTTTATGAATTATTCATTAGTAATGAGTAAAATTGTATTTTACATTTTCAGCAGGTGCAGCGGATCATGCTCATAATCCAGCTATTTCGAAGCAGGGCCATGGGTGCGAGACACACACACCTGCCAGGCAATGAGATGTTTGGGGGGTGGGGGGGGGCAGTATAGCAAGTTGGATGCCGACAGCTTGGGACTGCAATTAAGAAACCAACACGCCTGGGTATTCTCCAGATATTGCTGGTTTCTACCCAAATAAATAATCCAGAAAAAAATGGCCAAACATCTAAGTTAGAACCGTATTCAAAATGTGTACTGGGACTTAGAGGACGTCCTGTGTAAAGACAGACATTGCTAAGTTATTATAGGCCTTTCAATGATTTTAAAATGTTTTAAATTACACATAGCAAACCATTCTACTCTCGATTATGGAGAAGAGTTATTGTCCTTTTAACACTTTTTCAACCTTTTTGCTGTCCACGAGGAGCAGGGCTTTAAGGAGAATGACTTCATTGAGGACGACTTCTTCATTTTTATAGAGGATTAAAAATGTCTTGCTGCAGACCAAGTTATCATGCACCGAGGCAGGAAAGATGAGTTCATTACCTGCAGAAAAAGAAAACCTACATGTTACACGATGCAACTGTACAGTACTTCAAACATCCCATGCATACATGTGTAGTGAGTCCAACTGAGACGCAGACGTTATTCTTTAGAGGCAACACATTTATTGTAACACATATATACTAAGGGGTAACTGCCCCTTTACCAGATACAGCCTGGGGTGGTGACCAGCCAGCTAACTACACTATACGTACGAGTTACAGCTACGAAGAGTCGGACCCTCACTCAGGTCCCCGGCCATGTGTTGATGCCTCGTAGGACGTAGAACTTCCAGCTTGTAGACGTAAAGCTTCCAGCTTGTAGAACGAAGCGACCCCGGTCCCTCTCAGGGACCCACCTTATATCCTCCCAGGTCGGGGCCGGCTCCGCCCTCGGCCCCGCCCGCCTTCTCGAGCGTTCTAGCTCCCTCTAGATCCCTCTCTAGAGAGCTCTCCCTGGACACGTGATCACCCCCTAGCCCCCCACCTGGGGCCTTCTCTGTGGACACTCCAGATCACGTGTCTACAGGGTCAACCAGAGTGCCATGGTCCAGGGAAACCCTGTCCCTGGGCTGACACTCTCCCGCTCCCCCTTGTGGGAGCCCACACTACACGCTATGCGTGGTGGCCGCGCTATCCCAGCGCTCACCAAGCCCCGCTAGGGCTGGTTCTACACCCACCTACGGCGTATACGCGATGACGGTGCATCGCACGCTGTGCTGTGCTAGCACCGGCTTCACACAGCAATCCACACGATGCTGTCCGCGATGTAAGTACATCGAACGCCACGGCCCTCAAGGGCCGGCACCATACAGTGACATCCCCGATGTCACTACACATACAAAAAATAATAACGTCACAACATTGCGTTCAATGCACTTCTAAATGAATGCATGATTAGATCAATATATTTAAACATACTGGCGTTATAAATAAAAAGAACCACAAAGGGCCGAAGCGTATTGATGTATGCGAGCTTGTGAATTTGACACCCACCTACATGGCATGAATATGTCTGTTGCAGGCAGTACAGCAAGTAATTTTCTGGATGTGCACATTTTGAGCATTATCCACTAAGAGTAGAGAAAAGAGGTTCCCCCCCCCGAGGATATCTAGTTTATAATATTAAACAAATTATCAAAACTGAAATTATCCAGAAATTGCACAAATTATTGAACTGAAATTGAGACTTAGGCTTCGGTGGGAAAACAAGCACTGTAATTATCGTGACCAAAATATATTTTAAATAATGCTGTAATGAGCATGACCTAATTTCCCTGCTGAATTTTTCTGACACCAAAAGCACAAATTTATCAACCATTCTCACCTTCAATGTTAAGGTTTTCCATAATCCATATTGAAAATGGAAAGCAGTAAATATCAGTTCCTTCAGTGACCTTTTCAATTAACTGCCAGAACATAAAATTCACACTTGGTAATGGCCAAAAGGATAACTTATAAATATTTCTGAATATTTTTTCCTGAAGCTATAAAAACTTACACTTATAATTTGAACCATGGCTTTAAACAGAAATCGACATGTTAAACACAGCAATAATTACAGTAAATTCGAGCTGTGTGAAAAAAGCAGACAGCCTTCAACCTATCACGTATTTTTTCTAACAGAACAATAAACATGTATGTTTTATAGCGTGCACAGAATGTCAGAGGCGCAAAAAGGCATGCTTGAATCTCAGCGACTAATTGGGATGCCTGGCAAGACAGACTTTCGGTTCATGTTAAAAGCCTATACCCAGGTGATTTCATGCATATATTGTGAAAACAATAAAATGGAATGGAAAATTCTTGAAAAAAGATAAGAGCACTCACAATACCGAAGATTTAATATATATTAGAATAGGTTTAATTCATTCAATCTTAACGTATATAACATCAGTAATGCTGCTATATTATTTAATGCATTTGGCATTTTAATAACTACAATGTTAATGTTACCTCTGACGTGTTAGTAAATTATGAACAAGGAGTTCCAGCTTAAATAAGTAAAGCACAACATACGCAAAGACCCATCTCGACTTTCAAATAACACTTATTCCATGCAAAAACTGTAAACCGGTGATGTAAGTCACCATATATAGGTCCAACCTTAAAGTTAATCGTATAAACACTACCTGCATTTAATACGAGAAAAAAACTACGAAAGGATTAAACAATAAAACTACAGTTAAGAAGGTAAGATCACCAAGACTAATGAATACATAATTAGCCCAAGTAAAGAAGGTGAGTAACACTGAGAGATGATGAATGGCACTCATTTGGCTTCAAAGAGTGACTGGCAGTGAACAAAGAAGAGGCATGGGACAGTCACTAATATAGAGTTCACATTACACGCACAGTGCAGCACACACTAAGCCATAGCCATGATTAAACAATGTCTGCTTATTTTAATTAGTATAACAATTATTCCTATGTATAGACTGGCTCCCCCTCCATTTGAAAATGTTATTTATTCTACAAGTTCAGGACCACTAATAGAGATAAGTACCATGACTACATGGGGTAGAAATACACTTGGTGAAAACATTCAATATCCGACAAAATATATTTTAAATTAATATTAAAAGTTTAGTATTATGTGGAGGTGTTACACTGCATGCAATCAGTATATTGTAAAACATAACTGCTATTTCGATTTAAAGCTTTCGTGACTGCAATGATTTATCTTCTTTGGTTCTTTCGGTAAAGTCACGTAGAATGAGAATAAAATAATAAAATAAAACAGTAAAATTCTCACGAATTTTATTTTACGTGACTTTACCGAAAGAACCAAAGAAGATAACTGATATTACATGTAAAAACATCACACATGCTATCATGTCGATGAGATATAAAGACATGACTATATAATCATAGTGATGGCAGCTAATTACTTCCTGGGCATGTCAAGAGGCATGGCTTTCACAAGTACAAGGTTGACAGATGGATACGCAGCACTGAGGCTGCACTGTTCTGAAATGAACACAAAACTACTGTCTGCCCAGGAAAAATAAAAAAAATTCTGTATCTGAACACAATGTTTACAATACACTGCCACTGTGTGCTAATGTCATGGTCAAACACCATCAACAATATCATTCCACCAAAAGAAGGTGCAATTCATACTGGAATCCAAATGCCCTTGTGTGCCTTATCTATATAAAACCCATATAAAATGCTACCAAGCACAATGCCATTTTTAGCCTGGCTTCCCTCGACGTGCAGCGTGAATGTCCCCTAGGCGCCACTACGCCTGTTTTTGAAATTCAAGACTTTCTGCACATTGCGTCCTATATTATGGCAAAAAGTCTAAGTGTAAAAAAAAATACTAGGCCAATTTTGTTCCGTCTTTTGTTACATTTTCAATTACTTTTATTAGAATGCAATGGCAAAAAAGTGCAAGCATTTCATTAAATATGTATACTAAGTAATCTTGCAACATAAGGAGAGAAAACTTTGAATTTTTACTTAAAACTTTCGTGATTACAGGAATTCATATTATTTGTTTTTATCTACATGACTTTACCGAAAGAACCAAAGAATACTTTAAAACCAACTATTTAGAAATCAATACCCATCTGCAGATCCGTCTTGGAAGGGCTCTCAATCTGCTAAGGCAAAAAGTGAAATTCTTAACCCTTTAATCATTATGACCCAGCAAAGGTACTAGCTGTACCAGCTGAAAGCCCTGCTCATAATACTCTATCTAGTTCGTGCAACATAACTGACCTACATGCTTAATATGGCACCAGGGAGAGATAAAATGTGGTGCTGTTCAACAAATCAAGTATGCTGGAAATGACCGTTATACCAGAAACATTGTAATACAGTAAAAGCACTGTTCCCCTGCAGTTTACCATCCGGAATGATTTATTCACCAGCATCTGCCATAGATGGCAATACAAATCTTCCTTCACGTGTCCGGAAAAAATTGGCAGCCATCCACCAGCATCTTGCCGTGCTCTTCTCATAGATCTGTTGTTCAGAGGAGCTTCAGGACTGTCGAGTGGTGTCGCTAGCAGCACTCAATTGTAAACATCTGCCATTGTGATCGCGTTGTGCTTGTCCGATATTGTGACTTAGTATGCTGTATTGTAAACGGCCCCACATCTTCTCTACAACCAATTTATAATGCTCTACAACTGAATGGCGAGTACCTCTGTTAAGAGATGGTATTATCTTTAATATCAGTTGAAATGTAGGCTTATAACTCAAATAACCAGCATATTTGATTAACTGGCACCCTCCATTCCCTATGGATGCCGGATAACACAGATTTTCCTGCAATTCAAAATTGCATTGTTAAAAATACATTTCTGGCAGCCACAGCATTTTATGGTGCTTAGACATTCAGTGACAGTATTGTTTTGCCAACAATTATCAATTTAAAGAAGCCAGAAGGGATTTGACTTGAGAATGTTTCCTTGGAACTGCATCAAGTTAAATAGGAAGCTAAACATCCACAAACTGAAATTTTACTGGAACGGTTTGATAAAGGCGTTATTTAAAATGTTTGGTTATCCAGTTGTTTCTGGCATCCTTCAATTGTCACACTGTGTTCAGTGCATGCTTTGTATTCGGTAATTCCATGCCTCAATCTTTGTACGTATGGGGGGGGGGGGGGTTCAATGTGAGTCATCTGAACTTCCCTAAGCAATCGCAGCCAACGCTTTAAACAACACACACATTTCACAGCACATATTTCATTCAATAAACTTCAATGGTTTTGATTGAAAAACACATTCTGAAAGGAAAGTTCACTTGCTTTGCTATCGCTCATTAAATATTAAACATTTATGCCAGCACTGTCGCCGGCGCATAACCCTTTCAAGTATTTTCAGCCACAAAGGCCACTGCCGATCAAGTTTATGCTGCTGTAAAAACCCCACCACGCCACATTGCTGCTTTGATTTTTTTTCTATTGAGATAATTTTTTTACATAATTCTGCCAATCTTAACAAGGCATGATACGTTTCATTGTGTGCTATATGTGGTTGCCTTCAAATGACAATTGTTTCATTTGAATTGCATCAATGCAAACACTGCTTGTGTGTTGAACAATATTTATTAACCATGGTTTGTATTAATTATAAGGTATAATGTTAATGTTTAAAGTATACACATGGATAGCTTTTGAATATGTGTTTTATTCTGATCATTGTTCACTGAAAATGTATGGTGCATTGAAAATCATTAATCATATTAAACACATTCATCCAGGCCACACACATAAATTTCAGTGCATCACTTCACAAGCATTATAAGCCTCTTCATTATACATATTAAATGGGCCATCACTGATAGAAATAACAAGGTGTACCTTTAAGGTTTATGTTACACATATAAGCGTACTACTGCAAAACCTATGATAGACCCCATAGGAATTATGGGCCGAGTCAATCCGCAGCCAAGTGGATGAGTGATAAGAGTGAGCAGCTCCCAATCACAAGGCTGCAAGTTGAAATTCTGGACGGGGGTTGATTCAACCCATCATCTCTAAAGAGTAAATAAAATAAGTAATAATAAAACCACTTTTTTTTTTAAACACGCTTTAATGAAATGTACCCTACTAGTAATGGAAGAACTCCACGACTCCAAGAAGTGGCCCCGAAGCTTGCCATAACGTAAGGGACCGTGGTGATTGACAGCCAACGTCAGTTGACCGTGGACAATAAGACCCACGTCGAAATATAACAAATAAAAAAGATTGTAAAAAAATGTATGATAGAATATAGTATTGTCATCAGTATGACATAAGTATACCAAGTTTGCAGTCGATATCATATTGGGAAGTGGGTTAAAATTGAGTTACAAGATTTGAGGATACAACGACAACAGACAGTGAGTTTTGATTTAAAGCTTTCGTGACTGCAGTAATTCATATTCTTAGCCCTTTCGGTAAGGTCACGTTAAAGGGAAAAAATAAAATAATAAAATATATATAAAACAATACAAATTCTCACGACGTTTGTGTTATGGTCGAAACGTCGTGGGAATTTTTATTGTTTTATATATATTTTATTGTTTCCTCTTTAACGTGACTTTACCGAAAGAGCTAAGAATATAGGACAGTGAGTTAATAGAAAGCGTGTAATAGGTGCCACTTTGTGGGCAAGTCAACAGTGGTTGTTCTGTGGATAAATTCACGCCTTGCCATTGGAATGTGTAAATTGTGCGACTGGTACACGGCTTTAAAAACAGGAGACGAACACCTCTTCAATGCTCATTTGAGCAGGAAATCATTGATTCTTTTTACTATTTATTCGAGGACAGTGTCCCAATTGGTGTGGTGCAGCACAAGGGTGTGCGGAATACTTTTCTCAAGTCACCTCCAGTAAAATCTTGACTTAAAGCTTTCGTGACCGCAGGAATTCATCATATTCTTTGGGCCTTTCGGTAAAGCCACGTAGATAGAAAAATAATACTAAAAAATTATAAAATATCACGACGTTTCGATCGCAACACAAGCAATCGTCATCGGGTGAAAAAAAATTGCAGGAGAGCTACTGAGGCAGGAAAAAAATTATAGCGGGAGCGCTGCTGAGGCAGGGTGTTCTATATCATCTCCAGTTGTTTCAAGTGCACTTGTTTGATGGTCCAATACCACCATCGAGTGAATAAAAAACTACGTAAGTACAAATTTCACACTGGATGCAGGCACGTTTAGCTCTATGAAATACATTTAATAGCTACAGGTGCAGGGCAGGTGTATAACTGGTGCAGTTTAAGGGTACATTGTGTATTTAGTTGAGGTCCATTAAACAGACATTCTAAGACTGTACGTCACACTATTTGCTAATGGGCAAGAGGTGGTCATTAGTAACGTATGGTCAGTCGTTTTCAAGTGTAAAAGGTTAATTACCAACAATGTTGTTAAATCATTAGGAGTAATACTGGAAACAATCCAAAAATAATGTTCTATATAAAGAATTAACAGGACCAAAGTAGAGTGTCTCTCTGAAGGGATTAATAAGCTTTGCATGTATATCCTCAAAGTGTTCGAAATATTTATACAAATATAAGGAAACACGCCATACATTACATAGTGCAATCACCACCTGCTTGTATATGAGCAATATCTACAGTGCTTGCATGAACTACTGACATACAAGTGAATGTAATTTGTGAATATGAGAATAAGATACATTTGTCAAAGCAAGATAATGATAGTGATGCAGAGGGATTTGTACAACATCATGCATTGATTACATCGAACATTAAAATGTTTAAATTGTTAAACAATATGCAAATGCCAGTACGAAGATGCGTATGGTTAAAATATTGAATTCCATCAATAAATCAGAAGTAGAGCTATTTAAGGTCATTCCTAGAAGATAAGACTAACCTTTAGTGACTGCTTTATTTATGATAATAGGTTTTCCCCTTTTTTCTGGCAACAAAACAGGTGTTAACATGTTAAAACACCAAACTGAAACCTTTTGCAAGGAATCATGTCTGCATGAACCACAATGCTTGTGGTCAGAATGCAAACAAAAAATATACTCTGATAATATATGCATTGCCCTTAGAGTATCTTTTTGTTTGCATTCTGATCACAAGCATTGTGGTTAATGCAGACATGATTCCTTGTAAAAGGTTTCAGTTTGGTGTTTTAACATCTTAACACTTGTTTTGTTGCCAGAAAAAGGGGAAAAACCTATTATCATATTTTGGTACTGGCAAAGGAGGTCCCATGATGTAGATACTTTATTTCATTGTATAACTACATAACGATACATCGGTTAAACAGCACAAACTAGTGTATTAAACGTATTTAGACTAGACTACCACCGACAAAACAGCAGCATGATTTAAAATATTAGCCTCTGGAGTTCTAGCATAGTGAGAACCCACCAGGTTTTCATTAAAAGCCAAATTAACCTAAGGAGAGGTCAAAGCCAAAGGTGTTGTGCTGTATGCGATGACACCAACAGCCCACAAATTAGCCAAATTTTTTTAAAAATATGAATACTAATAAGCGCATTCATTCTACCAGCACCATATTTCAGAGACAATGTCATGAGACCAAGGGCTGTGGTGATGCTTGAGTGTAGAGGTGACTGGAAAAGCTCTGCCGGAAATATTACGGTTCTGGTCGGCGGAATCACGAGCAACGATTTGCTGGCTGATCGCGATAACAAAATTAACATAGCCGCTACATATATTTCATACACAGGCACACATTGACAATGTAATAAGACATTTCAGGAAAGTGTGCCACTGTGCTTGTGCAGGGTTGTCAGTCATCTCACCTTCAGACTGAATAAGAATCGCATCTACCTTGTGTGGAATCCTTGGCGGCAGTTTCAAAGACACTCTAATTTGATAAAGTCTGTAAAAGACAGAAACAAAATCAAGTAATAATAAACACAATTATTGTGAAAGATGAAATCAAAAATGTATAGAATTCAAAACGAATTATATAATCATTCTATTGTTCTTACAACACTGAAAACGCATGTATGTTATAGTGAATTAATCATTTTAATTACATTCAGTTTCGAAAACATTTTTCCAAGATGTACATATTGATTTCATTTACAATGTGTCCATGCCTGATTATAGAACCTCAGCTATAGGAAGGCAATTCACTATCAATGTTGTTATGGATACAACCAACTTAATCAAACAACTTTAAGCTCTACTGAATGTAACTGACTTAATAGGACAAAAGCAGAAACTCAATTGAACCCTATCGTGGTGACTGCAAAAGTGTAATTTATACTCTCTGGTATGGTGCTCACTTTTGTGGTCAAGAGATTGAAAGGGCTGTGGGTAAATTGAGGCAGAATTATTTCTTATAAAACCCATGGAATGGTTGGAGGCACAGTGCCAACATCTGTCTGTAGCAGCGTGAACAATTTTGAATAGAAAAATGTGGACCAACATTTAAGAGTCTCATGGTAATATAATGCACTGTATTCAATCTTCTTACAAATATAGAGTGGCTGTTTTTTTATATTTTTACATCTCTTGTTGATGAAACACTCCGCCGCATTGTTCAACGTTTGATGTTTACTGACTTTCTTAAAATATAATGAAAATCCTTCTGTAACTAACGTTTCCTGATTTTCAATTTAAGCATCGTATTTTAGAAAATACATTTTCATAGGATGTCGTTCAACTGACCCTTTTGACAAAGTACCAACATTACAATAGATAGTCTAACAGCATAAATGGAGCACATGAAATATTAAAAAAAACAAAGCATTTACAAAGCCAGTTTACAAAAAAAAAAATTCATTCCTACACCCCCCTATTCATTTTTCCAGGAAATATGCCGAGAGTTATAACGGAGATGTTGAGGACCCTGTGAAGGTATCTGAAGGTCTGGCAAGCTATTTTGTGCTGGCATCATATCCAAAATCCCATGTTTTGATTAACTGCATTGTGCAAACCATTTTTGTTTCAAATTAAAGTCAACAGCTGTTCATTTGTTTTAAAAAATACGTTAATCAATTGTGCAGGACATAGATTATTTTTTTTCCAATTTGCAGTCCAGTAATACATTTCAATCAAGCATAAAGTTATCACTTACAGGGAAGTGGAGACAGTACAGTACAGCCATTTGCATCTGTGGGGGAAGTGGTAAATCACAAGATCTGACTGAAGAGCAGTCTGGAGTCTCCTGCCAACAATGTTTTATTTTGTTATAGTTTTATTCTGTGTACATTCTATCTTGGTAACAACTCACCCTCGCTGGAACAGGTCCACATTGTAGAACTTGTGCAGCTCCACACAGAACTCCACAGATGCTTGCACTTCAGACATGCTGTCCTGGCATACCTATCTCGTGCTCAAAACCAAGTCTTCAGCATCTGGAGATGAACAAAATCCAAATATAAACTAAACAGTTAAACAAACCATGCAGTGCACATACATTGTTGTTGTCTATACATACAAGTTGCAATGTGTACACATATATCGGAAATGCATGTGATACTTATATAAGTGCCAGATGTGACCAACTTGCTTGGGACTAGTGATATTTGTGGTATTCTGGTTTTTGATAAATCCTACACAGCCAGGAGATAACCATTAAGGACCTTTCCACTGTTTTAGTAACCGTCTTATGAAAATAATGCATATAAAAGGTATCACAATGTGAGCACCTTGAGGCCAAATAGAATACACTTTGAAACTGCATACTTTGTATTTGAATGTCATGACCTCAATGTAATTGTTAACGACCTAAAATGAAATAAGTAGATTTACAATATTAAGTTTTAACTAAATAATGCTTACAAAACAAATTACTTTACAATACCTGTCATTAAATATTCCAGACCAAAAATACGAATCCTAATAAAAAATATATCAACTTCAAATTAAATATGGTGTAAATGTTAACTCCGAAAAAATTCACGACAGACTAGACAAACCACACGGAATACCAGTTTGAAATCATGTTCATTTTGTCTTCATGATGGACAAGATATATAGCATTCTTACAAATGAAAGCATAATGCAAATATAATAACGAATCAACACTAACAAAGATGACTATTGACCGAAAGTTAAATGGCCAAATCATTATCTATCCATTGTACAGTTTCTAGTTTTATGGCAGTATTTGTAATAAGACAATTAAAGCACACCGTCTGCAGACTATGCAATATTTAAACAGTAAGTTCCATTTTGATTTAAAGCTTCCGTGACTGCAGGGATTCATATTCTTGGTTCTTTCCCTTCTACGTGACTTTATCGAAAGGACCAAGAATAGTAAGTTCCATGTTTTTTTTTAAATAACGGCAATTAAATCAAGAATTGCTAGATACTGTACAATCGTAACTAGTGAATAGGTGTGGCCTAAGTTTGATGTGTCATAAACAATGAGGTCAGTGTACTTACATGCAATATATAAAGTGCCCAAAACATTAGCTTGCAATACACCGGAAAGGTGTCCAAATGTAGTGACTCCTGTGGATGCCTTCCACAGGAATCAGTATTCCTCGATGGGAAGGTTCCAGTTTCAACTTGAATGGGATTATGAACAGGGTTTCTGCCATGAAAAGAACCATCCAACAATCAGTGTCATTGAAATGAGATGCAAGTGTCTGGTATCACAAAGTAATGTACTCATTCATTTTAATCCGATTCCGGGTGTTACTACCAGTCAGGAACATCACCATTGTCAAGTACCGGCTCTGCCTTAGGTCGGCTCAGCCTAAATCATATATACAGCTACTGGAATTTAACGTCCCTTCAGTACAACAGGTGTCAAGAGTCAGATGCTGCTGGCGAGCACCTATTCAGCTATGGCAAAAAGGGCAGTAGGGCCAACACTCTATATAGGGCAGTCTCAAACCACATGTAGGGCAGGCAGTGTGCTGCTACCCGCACCCCCACAGCCCATACGGTGGTCTCCCATCAAAGGCCCTGTCAGGATTAGCTTCCGAGATCCGACGCATTCCGGATGATTTAGTCATAGGCTACCACAGTTTCGTAAAGGAGAACAGAGCTGTTTGCAACACCTATTGCGGGTGTCACCGACTGTGGTAGGGCCGGGGTCACCTAAAGAACGCATGGCCACGCTACCAGGTAATACTAATTTTAGGCCGAGTCAACCTTGGGGAGCAAGTGCCTGCACAGTATTAAGGGCGGTGCGATATAAACCCTGTCAAGAAAGGTTCGATTCCCGACCATGGCGACCACCAATTCAACGATTACTTAAGACTTTCTAATGTTGCTCAAAAATATATAACTACGCACACACACACACACTTCAAGTGACGTACACGACACGGACATAGGAATACAAGAGAATTTATACGCGGAATAACAACGCGCAGATGAATAAAAGTCACGCAGCTCAACGGCATCATCCAAACTGTAAATAAGAGTGGGCTTGGGCAGGTATCGGTCGCCGTGGGTCGAGACAACAGCGGCTGCCCAAAGGAACAGGAACGTGGGTTCAAATGGCAGGGAGAGGTGGAGGAACCTGCATGGGAGGAGATGGAGCGATAAAAAAACATCTCGGGTGGCAAGTGGACTATCACAATGTCATAGCATCGTGAGATGGCAAGGGCTCGTGGGCGGCCTTCATGCAGCAGTGGATTGACCACAGCTGCCGCTGACGCTGGACAATTATTAAAGAATGTAGACGGAGGTTACCGCAGCTGCCTTCAACAGCTGTCGCCGCCTCGACTAGTTCACAAGGCCGCGGGACATCGCCCCCTCAACTCACTCGCGGCTCGGCGCGAATCAACACCCCAGGCCGGGCTGTCTCTCTCACCTCCCCAACCGTCGTTGTCGTCTTTCTGCCTTGCTGCGGGCGGGCGGGCGGGCAGGCGGGCGGGGAATTCTTCTTTCTCCGCCGCTGTGAGCCGCGGGTCCACCCCGCGTCTCCGTCGTAGTCTCCGGCACCCGAGCGGAGCAGCAGCGGCAGCGGCCACAGCGATTCGCGCCCTCTCCCTCGTAGGTCCGTGGCAACGGCCCGAGCCCCGCGCATGCGCAGTGCCGAGCGCAGCAGCGGTTCCGTCATCGCCGTTCGAGCAATGCGCCAGCGCTGTCACCAGTCAACCCCTACCCCACCCCCCCTGGGGCTGAGCTCCGGGAAAAAAAAAAACCCCCAGAAAAATAATAAATATATTGGAACGTTCTTCCTGGATTGTAACGAAGCAAAATAAAAACATAAAGACATTCCTAAAAAAAATGTTTCTTTTTAATGGAAAACAAAATGTAATAGACGACGTTTCGGGTAACAGCCTTTCTGCACAGCAATTTTAAACATTTGCATCGTCAGAAATATCGCCGATTCTAGATTTTCCTTTTAAGGCCACTGTGTTATATGTGTTTTTTGTTGTTTTTTGTTGTTGTGCGGACTGCAAACGCAGTATCGGTAAAATCACGCAGATATAAAACAAAATAAATTAAATCACGACGTTTCGGGTGGAACAGCCACAGCAAGAAACAACTGCCGAGGCGGGCAAAAGAGCTGCTTGCAACAAGTGGCTACAAAGCCAAGAGAGAGAGGGGGGGGGAGCCAGGGAGGAGAGCTGGAGAGGGCGGTGGCGCTGGGCATGGAGAGTGGTGCTCAGCAACCTCGGACATTGCGACATAATGCCGGGGCTGGGAAGTGAGCGGGGCTGGGAGTAGGAAGGTTAATTAAAACTTGAGATGCGGATATGAACGCAAACTATAAAGCAGTTAAGGTGTTACCTGGTTAATAACATCCTTCCAATGATTGCTCAATTTGTATCCATCTTCTCGGTTGAAGTTAGGACTATGTTTATATATCTGGATGGCTTCATGAACAAACCTTTGATAGTAGCCTGACGGTTTGCAGAGTACCTTGGTCTCGGAGAAAACAATATCATGAGAGCCCACAGCGTTGTAGCAATAGTCAGCCAACGCGGAGGAATTAGTTCTGCCGTGTTGCAGATCTGACTTGTGCTCGCGAACACGGTCCGAGACATGACGTTTCGTTTCCCCAATGTAACAATCACCACAGGTGCAACTTAGTTTGTAGACTCCAGGATATTGCATGTCAGGAACGACATCATACTCTTTGGTTCTTTTGGGTAAAGTCACGTAGGTAAAAATAAATTAACAATAAATCACGACGTTTCGGCTACAACACAAGCGGCCTTGTTGTGGCTGAAACGTCGTGATTTTTTGTTATTTTATTTTCACCTACGTGACTTTACCCAATAGAACCAAAGAGTATGGATCCTAGCAGTCACGAAAGCTTTAAATCTAGGAAAGGAACGACATCCTTCACGGATGGGATTAGATCATGGACTTTGTGTACTATACTGAATCGGACCTGGATCTTGTGTTTGTTTAAGATTTTGGAAATCTTTTTGGTAACGCCTGCTATGTATGGTAACGCGATGGCTTTGATCGGCGTCTCAGGGGGTTATTTCTCCATGGTTGGAGAAACCGCTTTGTGGATAATGCGGTCCGAATATCCATTCATCTTAAGGGCCTGGTGTACGTGTTCCAGTTCACTGGCTAGGTGGTGTTGGTCGGAAATGCAGTGGACCCTATGGTGTAGCGTTTTGATGAGGGAATTCTCCTGTGCCGGATGGTGGTGGGAATCAGGTTTCTGATAGGAATCTCTGTGGGTGGCTTTCCTGTAAATAGAGTGTCCCAGAGAGCCATCAGGTCTCTTCTCAAACAACACATCCATTATATCTACGTGGCTTTACCGAAAGAACCAAAGAGTATGGATCCCTGCAGTCACGAAAACCTCAAATCCAGATTTAATGTGTTGAATATTTAATTGGAATAACCGTTATCAATATCTGAACCAGACGGGCTGTGGATTGATTGGCCGCCAGAAAATATTCTACGGTAAATTAAGCACTGTCAGCAGTCATGGTAAATCCGCTGCTGGATGAAGGCCTCCGAGGGTGGCAGCGTCGCCATCATTTGCGGATCTGTAATCGAATCGAGGCTGCAGCGTGGATTCCGCGCAGGGGAAACGTAGAGTGTGCACGTGGAATTTTGGGGTCGCAAACACACACCAACAGAACGTGACACAAATGCCTTACTAACACTACCAGTGGTGTTGACTTTGACTAGAGGCATGGACATGTGACATCTGTTTTGTAGCCTGAGAAACCTGAGTTGTGATTCTGAGGCTCAAGGGGTAGGGGGGAGGGTTAAGTAATGGGGACCAATGTTTTTAATAGGCAGGCAGCCATACCCAAATGTTGAAAAAAACAGGGTTAGTTTCAACTGGAACTGTCCGATGCTGAGCTCTGGAAATTATTTCCGCGCCTTGACTTCCTGCAATGTAAATACCGTTGTCAAGGGGCACATCAAATGGGCGAGTGGGTCCAGGGGGTTGGCAATTCGCCCCCTCCCCCCAAATAAAAAATACCATGAGAAATGAAACAGCCATCGACTACAATGCACGACTGAACTAATAGACCCAGCACCCACACACGAGCTGATCCAATCACTCCATCTCCTCAGCAGACATCCAAAGTAAAAAAAATGGAATGTGAGAGAATAAACCAATGATTTCCATTAATATACTCACCGCCCTTCATAAGACCTCACTGACCAGCTTGTTCAAGTATGGTCAACATGCACATCACCGATGTAGAGTAGTACACGGAGTGGTTAACAAAGGGCTGTAAAAATGCACGACCCCTGCAGACACGAGTGGCAGCTATTGGGGTGACTCCCAATGTAAAACAAAATGGAAATCATGATCATCAATTCTCAGTCGTTACACTTCAAATAACGACTAGGGCTGTAACAATGCTTCGATTAATCTGTTAACCAGGCTAGCAATGCCCGAAGTATTGCGATTCATCATCGCAGGTCTAGCAAATGCATCAGTGAAACAAACCAAAGTTGCCAAAACATCATTCATTAATCACAAGCACTTAACTCGCTAGAGCAGGTGACCTAAATTTGTATTCAACCAGGTAGGTGACAGAGCATTGGGACAGCAACACTCATTTTCCAGGGGAGACATGAGATAAAAATTAAGCTCAAGGTGGAGCAGTGGCACAGTGATTCACGCAATGAACCCGGCCATATGAGTTAATTTCTTCACCATGGCTAACAAGTGGCGAGTCATAGCACAAATATTCATTCCTCTTTCACCAACACACAATGACTAGCATGGCGAAGTATGGCTATACAAACCCCATGATCAATAGAGTTTGGAGGCCTTCGTCCAGCAGTGGTTTGATACAAGTCTTAATAAACAAAGCCTAGGGTAGAGGTAAATATCACTATTACAGGAGTAGCATTTTACATTGGTGGGTGGGGCTGTGCTTAGAGTGCTTCATTTAAAATCTGACGTTGTGAGTTCATATCCTGGCCAGGTTCAACTCAGCCCATCATGCCCCCAGGGCCGATCAAATCAATATCACTTTGCTTAAAGTGGAATGGTCGCCCCAAGGAGATACTGTCCAAAGCCATGGGAAGGTGGAATTTCCACTGCTGGATGAGGTCCACCTTAAGAGTGGAACACTGTCCCGGTGCTCATTCGAGCAAGGAGGAACTTTCACTTTATTTTTTATTTTCGTATGACTGATTTATAGTCCTTTGTTAATCCAATGCTGAGGGTCTCCCTCCACTGCATGTCATGGGAGTTGTTTGACCACACTTTACCATGCTGGTCAGTGCTAGTTTGTGAACGGAGGGTGTGCGGGGGACATTCAGCTTTAACTCCCCACTAATCTTGATCAGGTCTTTGGGTTTACGTATGTAAGTTTGTATGTATGTTAAACTTCTTTTGCACCGTACGTAGCCAACCGTGCTAACCGTTGGTGCGGGGAAGGGCAACAAACTAAACACAAAGAACAGTTCTAAAGAAATTCGTTTTTAATCTAGATTTAAAAGTGAATCGCTCCAGTGGCTTCCAAATATTGGCAGGAAGAGCGTTTCAGACGGCTGCAGAAGCGCATCTGAAAGCGTGCGATGCGGTAACCATTTTTGTTTGATGATTTAGTGCAGTATGCTGGCCACTGAACCACCACGATTCATCATGTTGTACAGTGAACAGAAAATATAATCTGTTGTTGCATTGTGTCAAATATATAAATGACAAATTCGGTTAGTTTGACTTTCTGCTGCATACCTTTGGATAGCGTTCCTGAATATCTCTATCTAATTGTCACCTTACACAAACTAAAATTAACTAAACTCACGGCACGTTAATTATACAATATAAAGGCTCAATTTGTACAATGTTTCGTAAGAAAGCAATGTTTTTAAAATCAAAGGGTTGTCTAAGTTTGCATTAAATTACAATATATATGGTTTGTTAATAACCCCAAAGATAAAGTGTTTTCGTGCTCAGTCAACACTGGTGTTATGCACAGACAAGAATTTGTGGCTGAATACAATTAATTTAAAGTTCTTGGGATACTTTGTTTCTAAAGTAACCCTGAGCTGTGTTCAGCAGGCTGAACAAAAGGTATCGTTGTACCCTCTAGTGGGAAAGTTGAGTTACTGTGGAAAAACTTTCGTTATGTGAAGAGATGTTTGTGTTTTGTGAACCAGTGACATCACACAACTCCATCGAGTAACTATCAATTATTTATTTCACACATCGTCACATTTTTTTCTTTTTTCGGTAATATTTTTGACAAAAAACACATTCTATCACATGGATCATTTAAATTTGTGAGTTTAAATCAATCAATATCTAATTTAAAAACATGAGCTGATTTTATTGACCATGCTACAAATCTCTCAGGCACAAGACTGGTTAATTATAGTTGAATGGACATGCGAGCTTACGTTGATTATAGCTGTCTTATAAAATAACAAAAATCCATTGATATTCTTGGTTCTTTCGGTAAAGTCACGTAGAAGGGAAACAATGAAATAATAAAAATATAAAACAATATTTTTAAGAAAAATATAAAACAATATTTTGATTATTTTATTGTTTCCCTTCTACGTGACTTTACCGAAAGAACCAAGAATATTAATGGATTTTTGTTATTTTTAGAAATGTATAATATTTTTATTATTTTATTGTTTCCCTTCTATGTGACTTTACCGAAAGAACCAAGAATATGAATCCCTGCAGTCACGAAAGCTTTAAATAAAAAAACATCCATTGGTTAAGCCTTCTATACTGCTGTGACAAGTGCTGTTTGTTAAGGACTTTTGGTACCCACAAAAGCATCCATGCAGATATAAGATACATCAGCAACGATCTAAATATTTTCTACCTCTACACAACAAAAGCGAAACGTTAAATGTTACTTCCAAAATACAACATTCACAATTTAGAAAGCCATTTTACGCCTGAAAAAACTGGCCTAAAACAGAAACACACACACAGAGAACCATTAACACTTAAGGGGAAATACACACAGACATTGGCATGTTAATTGGGAAGGCAGTGAAACATTGGGTTCATAGGATTCAGTGAAACTGCCCAAGAATTTGTAGAATTTCCGCAAATTACTCGAAATGCATGCGGCTTGGAGAGCAAACATAAGCCTGCTTAGAAGAAAAAAAACACAATTAATAGGGTTTTAAATTCAACTGTATTTACGGTACTTAAAAAAAGCACAATATCAAAAAGTTCACAAAGCTATGCTATTTTGGTTTGAAGGGATATGAAGATGAATTTAGATTTGTATTGCATGTGGTTTGCCATATTACAGTAGTGAATTATCAGTATGCATTAGACAATCCCATGCATATTTATGAAAAGCTCACATTTACAAAACCTTAACTGCATCTGTGATAACGTCTAAATTCCTATGGCAGACGATTTATGAAGGCTTGAACCACACTCATATGAATATTTGCAACGCATTGTAATTCTAACGTGATATCACATAGCCACGGTGTCATATTATACACAGACCAAATGGAATAGCAGGACTAAAAATGATAAGCGACACTGGTACCTACCATGTGTGTGTATAGGCACATATTTTATATTTAACATGATTAATCATAGTGCCAAATACAGTAGGTCGATTTTGCTAGATTTGTAAGAATACATACATTTCTTATGCATTATTGAATATAAAATTACCACTTTTATTTTAACTTCAATCCTGTAATGCATTTAGAGTAGTTGCTTTCAAATAGTCAATAACTTTAAGTCACTCGTCTACTTGACATTCCAATTTGGTGTGTACATTATATTTAACTTCATAGGCGCATGGATTCCTTTTTGTTAATCGATTATGAAACTCTCCTCTCTCCCACATGATTATTTTGGACAATTGGATTTATCCACGAATCAATGTGCAACACCCAAGTGACGTGGCTAGACATAGGAGGTTAAGCATTCTAGACATTGAGCCAGTTTGCATGGATTTCACGGGCTAAATCTCCCTATCATATGATGATTCTACAGGGCATCACTACCGCTAGCCGTAGAACCATGTGACATTGTTTAAAGTGGGGGCATATGAAGATTTTAGGGGTGGAGGGGGGCAGCAGTGGTCAACGAACGTTATATAACGCACTTCATATTTATGATGTAGGTGTAGAGCGACATGTATTTGCAAATCGGGCATTGAGTCGTTACGTGTTCCATGATCTGTTTTGGGTGACCAAACCCATAAAATTAAGTTTTTTTACTTCCCATTTGTGCATCAAGTAACCGCATTTGCCATGGTTTGTGCGGGTGAAATTTAGGGTTGAAAAAAATGTTAAACGCTAAACGGAATGAGTTACAAAACGATCTCCCTTTGTCTATCGTGCATTCCGCTCCAGCTCCATATGTATACCAGGAAAGGCTGGGACACCCACGGCTTAATTGTACAGATTTTTAAATGTTGTCCAACCCCCTATAATTATTGCAGTTCATATATATAAAATGGTGTGACTACATGCAGGAATTAAGAATGGGGCTGAGCCTTAAGCAGTTAAGGCCTGACTGAGTCTTAAGAGTCTCTTTCAAGACGAACCTACATTGGGATATTTGACTAATTCCATGTATAAATGTCATTCGTATTAGAGGTAACCCACATATGATAGGGAATAACACTTAACGTTGTACACAGATGGATTCAATATTCCACTGGAGTACTGCCATCGCCTGGCCATCTCACGGTCCAAAGACTTGAAGTCTTTTTTTAACCAACTGATTTATTTGCGTCCCACATATTTCAATATCGATGTCACGTTTATGTAATGTATCTGTGTTACTGGCTACCTAAGGTTCTTTCTATGAGAGTTAGAAGCTTGGCTGAGTGGCGTGAAAAGGGATAACTTTCTGTGTTGTTGATGTTGCTGGAGGGGGGGTGGGGGCGGTGACAGTGCCGTGAGGGGCGGGTGGGTTAGGGGGGGGCGACAGAGGATCGTGCTCTGAGTTCGGCGCTGAGGGTGGGGGTGGTCTCGTGCACTCTGGAGAGGATTGCTCACGAACAATCCCACTGTTCTCCTTCCCGAAAGCTGACTGCAACCATGGTGAGCGGGCGGTTAAAAACGGCGAGGATGTGGATGCTCTGCGTCGCTGTCCTGATGGACTTGCTCAACGTTGCCTTGGCTCAAAGAGTGAGTACCAACGATGCACCATTCATATTTGTTAAACTATACACGACCCTACCGCACAAGCAGTGCATGCACTGATTTTTTTTACGACGATAATTTTTGTTTCAATATGATTTTCCCATTGCTTAACATCATAAATGAAATCATTGCCTGTTAATAAATTCGAATTTGTTTAGTCTTGTCCAAGCATAACATACCAGCTTCATTGTTATTTTAGGATAGTTCTGTATTTTATATGTGGGACATGTGACATGTTCGGGAAAAGAAAACGCTTAACATCATTACTTTGTCTAACTTAAACTCGTGCGTAGTTTTGCAATTGCATGTGTATTTTTCGAAAATTCGTCAATGCGTTTTAAGACCAGAAAAGTCACGTCAACCTCATATTTAAGCAAAACATTTTTATCTGTTATTTAAACAAATATATACTTATACATTCCTCTATAAAACAAAACTGCGATGAACAAAAAGTTAAACACAAATCCTGAATGGATACATCCTAAATACGTGAAATAATCTACTCATTTTGAGCAAAAGTAACTTGTTAACATTCCATTATTTCGACTTTTTGACCACCATATTTACCGTCTTAATTGTGTGTTATTGAACATGCAGTTTATGTTTTAATAGCTCTAGAAGTGACACATCATTATATCCTTTATATGTTTTATACTCTTAAGGGGCACAACTATGGCAAAGACCTGATTCATATTTCGTAGATAATCTGTCTGAATTTTTTTTTTAATCACAGCTCGTGTACGATGTCGTTGCAATATGCAATGAGGAAGGAGTGAAGAAATTTCCTAGACATAGCGCGATCACCACTGTTGCAGAGCTTCACTGTTCGAATCCAGCGGCCACCCTGGTTATTAAAACTAAACTTAATTTTTATTTACCAGGTAAAGCCTGCTGAGCTATATAAATCTTTTCAGAAGCAACCTGGACACAAATGATAGCTCAACGAAGTGGCTTATTACGTGACACTTTATAGCAGCCAAATACTCTAAACGCGCGTGTTTAAATGTGGAGGGAAAAACCGGAGGACGCTGAAAAATATCTACGCGACCACGGGGAGGATATGCAAATCCCAAACATACAGGCGTCAGGGTTGGGATCGAACTCACGAACCTCCTTCAAACTAAGCGAGGGTGTTAACATCTCGCCACCGTAGCGGCTACTTCAAATCGGTGGCGTCAGGGTCGAAATTTGCCAAATTGGAAAGTTACTCGCAAGTTGCTCAATTTGAAATATATATATATCGATCATTGCCCCTAATGGCAGATTAATGCCCCAATTCACTCTCGCAAATGAGACTATCCTGGTCTATTGTACTCTCACCTCATTTGATTCAACATAAAATGTGGTCCTGCATTGTTGGAGTGAATGTAGTAATGCATTTACTTGTTCCACGCTGTGTTATTAATTCGCACCTCCGATTACCATGGCTGGCTACATGCGGTGCAAAATAAGTGCAACATCATACATGCTGCATTTTTGTCACTGAATCTATATATCATCATTGTTAATGTGAAAATATGCCGCATTATTTATTTATTTACCTATTGGGTTATTTGTTGCCTTTCTTATTTAGTTTTGTAATATTTAAACTAATAAAAATTGTAACATAGCAAGTACGTTTTCAAGGGCAATATTATGACTCCTAACTAAATGTTGGATTAGGCAAATTTATCAAGTTAGTCGTGAGAATTGTTCTTTAATCTACTGGTAAACCGAAGCAAAAATAACTTAGTGCTTGTACACGTGACAATTTCATTGCTTTGGTTTAGACGATTGCAGGGTCGAACCCATGAATAATTTACAAATTAACTTAATCACAAGTGAATTCACGAAGCCTCTGACCAAATCAGCTGGAATGCAACCGATCTTGTCAGATCTCAGAAGCTACGCAAAGCTGAGCATGGATATCGTGAATCGTGCTTGGATTGGTGACTATGCGACCAAAAATAATGTTTTGTATGCTGAAGTGGGGCTGCCTTGTCAACAGAGGGCAGTGCAGCAAAATCATTGTACTATGCTTGAACGACTGACTTTACTTGCCTGCCTTCACTCATACTGACTAGCATGATCAAGTATGGTCAATTAACCCTCATGACCCAGATGCCATGGGGAGGCGCCCATCTAACAGTAGATCAATAAAAAAGGCTGTTAAATAAAGTACAGAACACTATGCTATTAAATAGGTGATTGGGGCTGCAATATGCTGTAAAATATTAATGCACACATTGTAACGATTTAAACACAAAATAAGAGTTACATTTTTATTATTGAATAAAGAGGCACTCTAACCTTCCTGATGTGATGGAACTTGAATTCACTTGTACGTAATATCTCCATTCATATTGACACTTTTGTTTGTCGACTTTTATTAACACATCTTCTGTTTCGGCCCACAAAATACTGGATTGTGTAAACATTCATAATGCCCTTCGTCCATATTCCACATTAAAGTAATAATACCCATTAAAACATTGTACAATAATAATGATTACATATTTACGATGCAGGTACTCTATACTCTTTGGTTCTTTCGGTAAAGTAACGTAGGTATAAAATAAAATAAATCACGACGTTTCGGGCGCAACACAAGCATCCATCATCAGGTGGGAAAGCATGGTCTGCTGCTGAGGCAGACTGTTTTAAAAGGTTTCAAATGGGTGTAGCTCAAGGGTTATAAAGAAGTGGCCGGGGCTAGTGATGTTAATGTGAGAAATTAGCATGATGTTAATGTGAGTAATTAGCATGTAAAAGTAAGCCAGGAGAGCGGCCTCCTAGACGAGGGCATGGAAGTGGCTATGTTAATGTTAGGGATTAGCATAATGTTAATATGAGAAATTAGAGGGTAAAAAGTGGCTATGTTTACCACGATAATATTGAACCTTGTGAGAAACGATGAAGACCATTGGTGCCCCATTTGGCATTTTGCACCAATATTTGCCACTCTTTTCTTTCTTGGTGAGGCCTGTGGTTTATTATTTGGAGTAGTCTTCCCATTTACTGTATTCTCCGGATTACAAGATACCCCAATAATTCAGATGCACCCGTAACTTGTGTCAATCTCTCTCTCTGTCTCACACACACCTACTGGATTATCCAATGCACTCCCTGCGTTTGCTTTAAAGCACGGAGGAAACAAGTGAGTACGATATTAGTACTGCCGTGTTCTGTATTTGTTTATATTCTTACAGGTTATTATATTACTGCTGTAAATGTCCACAATTATAATCCACTTCGTTGAGCTATCATTTGTGGCCAGGTCGCTTCTGAAAAAAGCTGATAGCTCAGTGGGCTTTACCTCGTAAGATTAAAAAAAAAAGAGTTTAGTTTTATTTGCATATGTGTTTAAAGTGATTTGCTTACCTTTCCAATACTTAGCACTCCGATCGTCTTTTTGTATCGTTTGTGGTAACGTTCTGACCTGCCCCTACTGGACATCTGTGAAAACGAGCTTTTATAGCTCATCGGATTCCTCCAATAAACATACATTATTCTGATTCTGAGGAACACGGCTAATGTCTGGCATGTGAGGTACCTCATTGCTGCTGTTGTTGATGACTCTGTTGCTGTGGCTAACGACAGGTACAGCCTGTGACACCCCCACAACCACGTGGGGTCCCTCGCCCCCCAGGATCTCCTGGGCCCCCCGGCATCCCGGGGGTTCCTGGTGTGGATGGCGTTGATGTAAGGAAACTTCTTTTACATCCCCCACCAATCTCCTCCCCCTGTCTCACACGGCACCCTCTCTCTTCTGCCACCCACAATGCCTAAGACTCAACTTTCGATTAATGCACCAGTGGAACCACAGTGGCGAGATGTTAACTGCCTTGTCTAGTATACGGGAGTTCGTGGGTTCGATCATGACCCTGACGCCTGCTGTATATTTGGAGTTTGCATGTTCTCTCCGTAGTCGCGTGAATTTTTCTCCGGGTTCCCCGTTGTTTACCTCCACATTTCAAAATATGCGTTGATAGTATATGGCTGCTATACATTCCCATGTAATGAGACACTTTGTTGAGCTATCATTTGTCGCCATGTCACTTCTGAAAAAGAGCTATTTAGCTCAGTGGGCCTTACCCGGTAAAATTAAAAGTTTCTAGTTTTAAATACATGGGAGCAGTAACTTGAACCCACAGAACTCTGAACAACATATCCCATGCATTCGAGCTTTCTATATACTGTACATATGATATAATTGATGATCTAACTCATGATTGATTTTGCGATCGGTATAATGGTGAGCACACTGGGCTTGCAAACTAGAGGTCACAGGTTTGATCTCATGCCACCGGCAGTTGAAATAAATGGTAAGTCAATTATATTGTTTATTACACACGTGGTTCCTTTCTGACACAAATCTGCCACTTCAAGCACCATCACCACATTAATACTAATAAAGATAAAAAAATAAAAACAATTCTATACAATGATAAACACAAATATATCCGAGCTATAGTTGTTTAAAATATAAAAAATAAAAGTAAGTTGTGGCTGTAAGTTGTTGCAAGCAAAGTGCAAAGAGATGTGTTTTGAGTTGTGATTTGTATCTATGTATGCATGAACCTAGTTAGGATTGACAGTGCATATTGATTCGGAGACGTGTTCTAGAGGTCTGGCGCGACAAATAAGAAAGATCTGTCCAGCCCCGTGGTTTTGTGTTTGGTTTCTGATGGTTGGAGGAGCGTTTGAGTCGAAGAGCGAAGTGATTTGTCGTTTTGCTCGATCTGTGTGAGGCTTCTTATGAACTTGCTTGTGTATTTCTTCGTGCGTTAATATGATTATTTTGAAGTGTATTCTGTATTTGATGTGTAGCCAGTGTATGTTATTTAGAGTTTGTAAGATGTGCAATGATTTTGACAATCTTTATATTCCCTCAACCTCTGTTAACCCAGCAGTTTGAATGGGTACGCCACTGTTAGTTGATCAGCTGGTTTGCATAAAGTTCAGGCACTATTACCTTTTCCAAGTTGTCTGACAAGAATACCTTAGAGGATGAATACCTTAGAGGATTTATTTTGGGTCCTATACTTTTATTACATATGCCAAACAATCACGCGTTCATGGAATTGGTTTAAACATTCCAATGCATAACCCTCCTTAAAAACATTGGAAGCATTTGTATTGTTATTAGGTAGTTGTGTACCATTATGCATACGATGTATACAATACTGTAATAGCAATAGTTAAGCGACCTGATATTTGTAGTGTGTTGTTTGTAAGTGTATGTACTGTGTATTATAAGTGAGAACCAGTGGTGTACTACTTAACACGCTCAAACGAGTACCTGGTGCAGTGTGTAATAACTTCTGGGGAGACAAAGGCGGATGGGCGTGGTGCTGGCCACCTACCCCCTCAAGTGCCGTACCGGTTTTCATAGTTGCTCGCTAACAGCACTTGCCCCAACAGTCTGTTCATGTTAAACCGGGGGGTCATTTGTACTATGTGTACTCTACCATTAAAGTATTTTAATTGAATTCGTTTTCGTGGCGTTGTAGGGAGAACGTGGGCCCCCTGGACCTCCTGGTTCACAAGTGAGTTCTTGTCGTTTAATTCTATTCCATCCTTGCATGCGATGGCAATATGTTCAGGAACAAATTGCCAATGCCGAGGTCTTCGCGCCACGAGAGGGCTTCAAGAGAGAGTTTGCGTAGTGTTGCTCTTCCTCCATTGAAGGTTCACAGACTACAGTGGCACACTATGCGGCCCATTGTTTTGCTTGCATGGCCAGAGTCGCACTACTGTGGAATGTGTCTTTAATTTTCCATCCATGAAGTATATGTGGTCGTTGGACTGTTGATGCTCTGATGGTTACTCCAGTGTCTCTGCGGGATGTCAAAGCCAGAAGGTTTCGGATGAGGTATTGATGCCAGACGTCCGCATGATCTAATGATGGCTCATGAGACAAGCCAGTAGATCTGAACATTGTACAACTAATACATGGCATATAACAATAACATTTAAACAATGTGACTTTAATTTTTGATTTAAAGCTTTCGTGACCGCAGGGATTCATATTCTTGGTTCTTTCGGTGAAGTTACGTGACTTTACCAAAAGAACCAATAATATAATGTGACTTTAGTTTCTTCAATATCAATAATTTTATCAATACAAAATACCAAGCAATTATGTGACCAAGAAATGAAGGTGGCCCATGCTTTGGCAAATGTTGGAAATGAGGATGTTTGAAAGGATCAGCATAATCTAGATTTGAAGTTTTCATAACTGCAGGGATCCATACTCTTTGGTTCTTTCGGTAAAGGCACGTAGGTATAAAGCATAATATCAGCATAATCTCAGTAGCCCATTAAAATGGGAGTCAATTGAAGAACAATTAAATGGATTTCTGGGAGGATGTTTGATATAATTAACATATTAAAGGTGACCATTCCCAAATTTCCACGAGGCTGAGATGACCCATGCTTTGGCATTCACGAGCGGGCAGCTGAGGCAGTGCAGTCAATATTCGATGTCACTACCTGATGAAACTCAACGCAGTTTGAGCGAAACGTCATCGTATGTTGATGTTAAATTCAGTCATTAAATTCTTAAGGCACCTGTTGAGGTGCTTTGTTGGTGAGAATTTTAGCAATACATCGTCACGTATAAATAATATCTGTGAAAACGTGAGAATCTTGTTGGGTGATGGAGGGTTAATGATAAGAATATTGACCTACAACTACCACATGTGCCCTCACCCAAAACAAGTTTTGTATTATATTTTTCACCAAATAATTATCTTGCATACGATCAAGTGCCTCTACCGTGGAAAAAAAGCAGAACATACCCCAGCTCCTTTCATCCACCGCCCTATTTTGCTTCTGTTCAAGCATTGGTAAGATGTCCGATGTTTACAGAGGACTGCGTGGATTGTTTAAGCAGTGATTCACTTTGCTTGCGTCAAACAGGGCCCGAAGGGGGAGCCAGGAGAACCAGGGCGGAGCGGCCCGCCCGGTATTCCTGGACTGCCAGGCGTAGACGTGAGCCGCTCCCGTTTCTCGTCACGTGATTCATGACAAGTACCTACTCGACTCCGAAATCGTCGGTTCGCGCTATCAAACCAAATTCGGGATTAATTGTCTTTTGCACGGGCACGTACAAGTCAACCGAGGTTATAGTCATCACGCACACAGGGGCCAAATGCAACCTTGTCATGTACTGTACGATGGATTTTTTAAGTAAAATATTTAACTAAAACTATTAAACACGATTCAACAATTTTTTTTATTATTTTACCAGGTAAAGCCCACTGAGCTATATAGCTGTTTTTCAGAAGCGACCTGGCCACAAATGACAGCCCAATTTAGTGGAATATCACGTGGAAATTTATAGCAGTCAAATGCCCTAAAACGCATGTTTCTACATGTGGAGGGAAAAACCGGAGGGACCCGGAGAAAAATCCGCGCGACCACTGGGAGAACACGCAGACTCCAAATATACCAGCACATGGCCTGCAAGCGAACATTGGCTCTAAGAGCCTAGAAAAAAATACTTTGCACATACTAACATAACGGTATTTAAGGTAAGTAAATACAGGCTGGCAAAAAGAGTAATTACGTACAGGTTGACAACAATTAACTTCAATACACAAGGGCTCAAAAAAGCATCACGTACAGGCTAACAGTTGCCAAGAAAATCGCTTATGGACTAATACAAATGAGTAGCAGGGTCTACAATGGAGAAAATTCTTACATTCGCATGTCGCCTATAAGAACACATTCATCACACGATACATTATATATCAATGAAGAATGCAAGATATTTTCTAAATTATGCAAATTGTACAGAATGTTATGGTTTTCACATCGCATGCATTTTCACACACACGTTTAGCACTTTAGCGAGTAATTCATTATGTCTGTGTGGGGTGTACCGCCATTACTTTATACGGCATGCATGCTGAATTTGTACGAACACTAACACACGCTGCTGGAGACCCTCTCATCACGAAGCATGTTGTCCCTCTCTCTGGCAGGGGATAGCAGGCATCACGGGGCCACCTGGGGAACAGGGTCCTCCTGGCCCAAAGGTACCTTCTGTGAGAATTATGATGATGATAATAATAATTTGCAGCCTTTGTCAATCCACTGCTGGATGTTGCCCTCTCCACGTGCCGTGTTGGTCTTCGGGGTTGTTTGATCGTACTTCAGTGCAATGGTCAGTGAGGGTTGGTGAGCGTGTGAGCCCAGGGCTAGTTCAGTGCATTGGCCAATGTAAGCCATGGCATGGAATCGAACGCTGACCCCCCCCCCTGGGTTATAGTACAGCAAGGTGTGACAACCACAGCGCCACCACTCCCAGCCAACTCACATTAGTAGATTAGACTTGACTGTCTAGATATCTGGTCATGGTGGCACTTGTCTGCATTCTCGATACGTTTAGCAGGGTTGGTGGAACAAGCACCAATAACACCTGCATTTAAAATACACTTGCAAGGCAATGCGGTTTATGTAGGAGACACTATTTCAAGTGGGTTTCTGATCAACGTGTGTGTTTTCTTCCGAAGAGCTTTGGGGTACGCACACTGACTGCGCACCCAAGCATAATAGCTCAAAACAAGACCCTCCTAACAACAAAATACTATGGCTCAGGGAAGCTTTCTGGGTGTATTTGCAACATGGCCCAGTGGTAGCGCATCCGTCACTTGTTGCAGAGGTTTGTGCTTCGAATACAGCAGGGTGGCTGCCCTAGTTGTGACCACTTCGCGGAATAACCGTAACAAGTTGCACCGTCTGCTTCATTGGGATTGCACGTAGCAATCGTCTAATGTTCACTTGCAGACTATGCGCTAAGTCAACTCCCAAACGCCCTGGAGTGTAGGACACCATGTCAAGCACAAAATAACAATTATTATGCAGTTTTATGTATTAGAGCACAAATAATAAAAATGGGCACTTGAAGAATAGTTTTTCACGTAAATGTGCAGTGTTAAGATTAATTATCATAACACAATGCAGTTAGACTATTGATTTTGTAGATACATGTTGGCTAAGCGCATCATTTATATTCGTGCCTGATCTTTAATCAATAGAGAAACAAGAGCTTGGGCAATTTATCTAGAGTAATGGTCTTCAAGGACTATGAATAAAAGCACTGCCAGTATGCACGTGTTTCTTGATCTGGCACAGACACGGCGAACTGACAGCATCGAAAGGAATTGCATTTATATTTGTACCACAACAAAAAAAATTGTGAGTAAGCCTATGCCTGTGACCAAATCACCTGGAATTCACACAACCTCATCGCAGCTCGGAAGCCAAGTTGGTGTGAGCCTGGTTCGTGCTTGGATGTTGGTGACCGTCACCACGCATGTAACATGTAACACATGTGTTGTAGGCTTCTGCAGAGCTATGTTATTAGCAGAGGGCAGTGCTGCATAATCCACTGTTGTACTCTACTCTGCTCCAAGGTCTATGCTACCCACCTTCATCTATCTCCACTGCAATGGCCAGCCTGGTGAAGTATGGTCTAATAACCTGCACGTTATTAGACCATACACATTACATTATTAGACCATTGCACCCCCATGACCTGCACGGAGTGGGGAGACCCTCATCCAGCAGTGGTTTTACAAAGAACCAGCCAATGTCATGTAAAACAACAATCAATATAGGGTTATCATGATTGAAAAAAGTACACTTCATTTTTAAAGTTTGTAATTCGGCATAAATACACGAGTCAACATTTTCACTGCTCTAATTTGCCATACTGCTAGCTACTAAACAGATGGAATGATCATATTGATCTTAAAATTGCTTTAAAATATCTGTACACAAATTGAGTGTCAAACAAAGCTTGTATTTAAATTTTGATTTAAAGCTTTCGTGACTGCAGTAATTCATATTCTTAGATTTTTCGGTAAAGTCACGTTGAAGAGAAACAACAAAATAATAAAATATATATAAAACAATAAAAAATTCTCACGACGTTTCGACCATAACTCAAACGGTCGTCTTCAGGTGTGTTGGTTCGCATAAATTGATTTTTAAACGGCGCATTTATTTATTTATAAAAAAAACCGTTAGAGCCTTGCGCAACGATTTGGCAGTTTACCCAGGACTAGTCCATCTATATTCTGAAAAGAGGAGGGGGGAGACGAAATTTTTTATAATGTATGCTGTCTGAAAGCCACTGTAAGCGTGAACAATCAATTAAGACCTGAAATGGTTTATCACATCTTTCCAATGATTGCTAAGATAGAATCCATCTTCTCGGTTGAAATTGTCTCTGTGCTTGTATATGTGGATAGCCTCATGAACGAATCTCTCATGGAAGCCAGATGGCTTACAAAGAACCTCTGTCTTGGAAAAGTCAATGGCATGTGAGCCTACTGAATTAGAACAATGATCTGCCACGGCCGAGGTGTTGGTCCTACCGTGTTTAAGGTCTGCTTTGTGTTCACGAATGCGGTCCGAGACATGGCGTTTGGTTTCTCCAATGTAACTACTACCACAGAGGCAACTTAGTTTGTAGACACCAGGGTATTGTATGTCCGGAATCACATCTTTTACAGACAGAACCAGATCACGGATTTTATGTAATGTGTTGAAACGGACCTGGATCTTGTGTTTATTCAAGATTTTGGAGATCTTTTTTGTGATCCCAGCAATGTAGGGTAAAGTGATGGTTTTTAAAGGCTCCTCAAGAGGGTTCTTCTTCATGGTTTGAGTGATAGCTTTGCGGATTGTATAGTCGGAGTAACCATTAGCCCTAAGAGCTTGGTGTACGTGCTTGAGTTCACTGCTTATGTGTTCCTGGTCGGATATGCATTGGGCATGGCCGGCCTGCTCTAGACCAATTCTTCGACCACATCAATTCCATACACCCAGCCATCAGATTTACCATGGAAGTCGAAATAGATGGCAAGATACCTTTTTTGGATGTCCTAATTAAAAAGAGACCTGATGGTTCAATGAGCCACTCTGTCTACAGGAAAGCTACCCATACGGATGCTTATCTGAAACCGGATTCCCACCACCATCCATCACAGAAGAATTCTCTCATCAAGACTCTGTATCATAGAGCCCAATGCATATCCGACCAGGAACACATAAGCAGTGAACTCAAGCACGTACACCAAGCTCTTAGGGCTAATGGTTACTCCGACTATACAATCCGCAAAGCTATCACTCAAACCATGAAGAAGAACCCTCTTGAGGAGCCTTTCAAAACCATAACTTTACCCTACATTGCTGGGATCACAAAAAAGATCTCCAAAATCTTGAATAAACACAAGATCCAGGTCCGTTTTAACACATTACATAAAATCCGTGATCTGATTCCGTCTGTAAAAGATGTGATTCCGGACATACAATACCCTGGTGTCTACAAACTAAGTTGCCTCTGTGGTAGTAGTTACATTGGAGAAACCAAACGCCATGTCTCGGACCGCATTCGTGAACACAAAGCAGACCTTAAACACGGTAGGACCAACACCTCGGCCGTGGCAGATCATTGTTCTAATTCAGTAGGCTCACATGCCATTGACTTTTCCAAGACAGAGGTTCTTTGTAAGCCATCTGGCTTCCATGAGAGATTCGTTCATGAGGCTATCCACATATACAAGCACAGAGACAATTTCAACCGAGAAGATGGATTCTATCTTAGCAATCATTGGAAAGATTTGATAAACCATTTCAGGTCTTAATTGATTGTTCACGATTACAGTGGCTTTCAGACAGCATACATTATAAAAAATTTCGTCTCCCCCCTCCTCTTTTCAGAATATAGATGGACTAGTCCTGGGTAAACTGCCAAATCGTTGCGCTTGGCTCTAACGTGTTTTATAAATAAATAAATGCGCCGTTTAAAAATAAATGTATGCGAACCAACACACCTGAAGACGACCGTTTGAGTTATGGTCGAAACGTCGTGAGAATTTTTTATTGTTTTATATATATTTTATTATTTTGTTGTTTCTCTTCAACGTGACTTTACCGAAAAAACTAAGAATATAAAGCTTGTATTATTTAAAGTCACTCAGATTGTATTTAAAATTAATGTACAGTAATGCACAGTATAGATCATACACGTAGGTCTGCATATATACTATGCTGTAACGTTAAAGCAAGTACGATTGACAAGTTAGACCAAAATTATTAGGAGTGAGGTGGATTGTGGTATCGTGCGTTGGTGAGTGTCAGAAGGCCTTCATCTCGACTTGGATAGACGATGACTGATGCTGATGATGCATAGAATAACGTAGTCCTTGTGACATTTCACAAGAAAGGAATCAAACTATTATTTTCTAATGACTGCAAGAATGGTTGACATAGCCCGAAATGAAACCATGTCTCCAAGGAGGTGTACATTATAATACCACACAATGGAAATGCGTTGCTCCTATGACATTTGTGCTGAGGAATTCAGGAATGGAAAGCAGAGGGGCTGTGTGTTGTTTAATCTCTCACTTCAAGGCTAATGACAAGTCAAACATTTAAAATCCCCGCAACTCTGGCACACATGCCCAAGCAGCCTGTTGACATTGTGACTTGCAAATAAGCCCTGGAGAACGAAGGACTGCTGCTGCTACTGCTGCCTTGTGTTGCCCCTGTTCCTGACAGCGAATGCTACTGATTAAGAAAACACAATGGGACTGTACACTTAAACATTGTAGCACTGCTTAATTTATACCGTTTGTCTGAAAAGTCAATAGTGGATTCAAACACGTTTTATCTTTATGCTTCACATGTACGCATCGATTGTTGTACGGTATTGTTATTTGCTGGTCCCTTATTCTACACTGAATGCTCTTGTCAATAACATCTGGTTATTTAGTAGCACTTGTTTAACAAAACTGACAGCTGATGAGACCTAGAATGTTGAAACTGGTCCAGAGTTACTTGCTTAAACAAATGTGGCTTAATATTGGTCTTGAAAGCGTACAGGCTAATGGACTTAAACATATTTTCAAAATGTGTGATTCAAAATCGATTTTAGGGTCAGATCGAATAAGTAATATGCGTGTCGCATATCCTTCTCCACCCAACGCAGCCAAAGAATAAAGTTTCTACTTTAACAAATGTTTAACCATTATTGTTCAACGATGTTTTGCTGGTAGTTACAGGCAGCAGAAATTTGGAACCTGCCTGTTGTGTCATGTAGAGGAGAGTTGACACATTTCATTTCAACGTTTTGACCCCCATGTTAAAATGTGTATTTACGTGAGATATATATATACTGGAGGTCTGCTTCTATTCAATTACATATGAATTCAGCGCTGTTGGTTGATTAATACACGTGCGTGTACAATGTACATTGGTTTATAGTACAAGCAGATGCCACAGTTATGTTCAGTGGAGACTGCACCACTGGTTGCATGCACTGAAACATGCTGAATTCATGGGGTCTAACTTGCTACCCTTTTCTTGTAGGGTGACACCGGCCCTGCTGGTCCAAAGGGGATGCCTGTGAGTGCAACGCCAAACATTTCACATTCAAATAAAGTCATCATGCTGCGAATGTTATACCCAATTGCTGATGTTGCATATTTTAATACCATTGCTTATGTTTATGGCATTCAGGGATTGGGGATTCCTGGGCCTCCTGTGAGTACATTTGCGATTTAAAAAAAAATAACGTTAAACACCACCGTTCCAATGGAACGTACTGCAACGTTTTCAACTCACACACTGATGATCGTGACATAAAGTACACAGAACAAGTTAGCTCAACAGTTTCAAGCCCAAAGTCAGTTCCATGTCTGTATGTGTGTGTAATGTGCGGGGCACGACTGTGCATCGAGGAAGAACATTATTTCCGTAAAATGGGCTACATGACAATTTCTTACAAAAATGTCTTCAAGTTTCTTTAAAACAGACGGCAGTCGTTAAGGTATAAGGTATAAGGAAGCCGCAGGCCAGAGGGTAACCATTGGTTGGGGTCACGGTCTGTCTGCTAACCTCTATAGGGCTAAATGGAGGTCTGGCTGACTTGGCAAAGTAAGTCAGGGTGAGTGGGCTGGGTGGTTGTCTTGTGCAGAGAATATGCGTGGTACCAGTGTTCATCGTGGGTTGACAGTGCTAGTCCCGTAATTGGTCTGGGAAAGGGACTGAGTGGCCGTTTCTGAGACAACGTTCCTGGAGTAAGCTGGCGACTTTGCAGGAGGAGCTTCGCTCCTCCACTTGGCTTCTCAGGAAGCCATCGAGTGGATCCCCAAACTAGACACCCCGTTAAATGCGTTTCCCATCTTACAAACGAAGGAGTTGGCGAGTCGCGCTCTGTTTGAGCGAAGCTCCCGACTTCGGTGACATCGTGGTGCCTGTAAAATGCAGTCGATCAAAGAGGTTAGGTCTCTGCATTCATTTTTTTTATGCGTGCGATTTTTTCTGCGCTTTCCAGTTTTTTTTAATTACATTGAGGCTATTACTGGGATATAAATATAAATACTTGGAGATGGTAATTGAAAAAAGTGACAGGACTAGGTACTGTAGGTTGTCCTAGCTTTCCTGGCATCTTTTATAACCTGATTTTAAATTATAGTTTATCTACATATTATATATAATATATTATATGTCATATAAGAAATGTTAATGATCCCCAAGGCTTTATAACACTTATAAGAGGGCCCAAGCGTGTGGTTTCATGTCCACTCTCGAAGCAGCCTTTTAAAATAAAAAAATATATATTATGTACACTTTATAGGCGATGTGGGGATGATTGTACACTTGCTGTTTATTTTCTCCAGGGTTTGCCAGGTGCAGATGGAGTTGGTGGGGACACTGGTAAACCCGGACCAGTGGTACGTTTATTTTGCTCTAAAGAAACAACTGCTTGATCAGCTTTCAAATGATGGTTTGAATCAGCTCTTTTAATCCCAAGGGCAGTGTCTGGGGTTATGCATTTTCTCATGATAGGCTTTAAAATGAAAAGCTTCAAAAACAATCTTGTCTCGATATAAACTACTTCCTTGATTTGCTAAGGTATTATTTAAAGTCCCACACTTGCCTCGGTTGCTGCTGTAGTGTTGCGGTTTGCACACTGGACTTGCAAATGCAGAGGTCACCAGAAGCAGCGGTCAACTTCCTTAAATCCTCCCGCACCTTGGTCCGTATGTATGCATGTATGTTGAACTTCTTTCACACCGTATGCATATCCAACCGTGTTAATCGGAGGTGCGTCCGGTGGGGTAGAGTGTGGGCACTCTCACCTCTTCCACGATGTCTGGCCAGCATCCTCGAGAGGGGCTCTCTAGAGCTTCCTCTAGTGGAGGCCCTCATGCCAAGCCGTGACGTGAGCAAGTCCTTGAAGGGCTGCAGCGTTATCTTTACCTTGCATGGCACACAGTGATGGCAAATCAAGGTTAATTTGACTTGAAATTCATTGCAATCTCTGTGTAACAAATATCTACAATATAATGCAATGTCTGCATAACTAAGTATTGCTTTGTAATTAAACAGTGCGTGGTTGTTTTTTTTTCAAGAGAAAATTATCAGAACATACTGTGTGTTCCCACATAAGTATGTATTTTCAAACGTTTTTCCCCTTTGTCAATCCACGGATGGATGGAGGCTTTTCCTCCATGCCTCGTTAGCAATGGTTGTTTATTACATCACCGCACGTGCAATCCTATTGGAAGTCGAGCGACTTCATGTATCTGTTATGGTCAGACATTATCAATCTATGTTTTAACTTTGTACTCATGTACGTGGAGGAGTGGTAGCACAGTAGTTAGCACACTGTATTGTGCACCCGGTGAACCTGAATTTGCTCCCAGCCATGGCGAACATCAGTGCTGAGTGATGTCAAAGCTGATCCTCCACATCTCACCCACCTTGACCTGTGTTGCTGTGGCCTTCTCTTAATGAGACCATTATTCCCCCCTCCCCACCAATACCTCCCTGTGTGTTGCAGGGTCCAATTGGGCCACTAGGCCCTCCCGGTCTACCTGGGCCCATCGGCCCTCCGGTATGTACTTCTGGACACACTCAATGACACAGGGAAACTGGGCGGGGGGGAGGGATAATTTCAGAAAACCTCCCACCGCCCAATTAATCCCTCCCTCCGGATAGCAAAGTGAGACTGGACAAGGTGTAATGTTAAACCACCGGGGAAATTGCGGCACAATGTTTTTATAAGTTATGTGCCTTTGGTGAAAATGGTTCCTTGATCATTTCCAGCCGTCAACACACATGGTCCGAGTAACAAAAACGTGCATTTACAAATGGCATCTAAAGATTGTGAGTGTTACTTTTTTCTGAATCAGCATTTTATTAAAACACTCTTTGTAAGCTGATATATTTTGTAAAGTTATGCAGAGTACTGCAAATGTAAAACGATGGAATCGTTGAAAATTTTAAACTAAAAAATTATAACATTATCGAAGATACTACACGGTAATTGTAAAATACTTCACGTATGAAATGTTCAGACATATTAGGTCCATACATAGTTTTCTGAAATATTGCCTATTTTACTATAAATGATTATAGCATTGTATTTTAGATGTACCTGAACATACATGTATCACAAGGATTGTCAAACTTTGTCTAGTAGTCTGTGACTAACACTACTTAGATTATGCATTATACATGTTTGCATCATGCAAATGTAATGGTGCATTGTCATCTAAAATAGAGACTTAATTTATAAAGCGCACAGTTTCCGTAGATTTAGAGGTGTGGGAAACCACAGATAAGTGGGATGGCAGCCAGAACCAGTGTCAACCATTGCCCAAGCTCTGTGGCCCTGGATTGTGATATTGTGACAATCTCGACGCTTGATTGGGAGTTAGACGACATTTGTGCGATCCACCAACCCTTGCCTCCACAGCCTATTAACCTATTTTCTATTTTACCAGGTAAGGCCCACTGAGCTGTGTAGCTCTTTTTTCAGAAAGGACCTTGCCAGAAATGATAGCTCAACGAAGTGGAAATTGATAGCAGCTACATACTCTCAACGCTGGATTACACGTGCACCATCACTCTTAGTTTTGTCATTAATGCCATACCTAAAATTGTATAGAGACAGATTCAATATGAATGTAAAATGAATAAAAACTCTTTTCTATTGTTATGGCTTTTTATTTGTAAATGCCACATGTGCACTATACCTTGGGGTCAATAGTAATTGCAGTTACAGCAGCATTGTTAGCTGAAATTAGAATTTCAATTGCATTGTGATTGCAATTCACTGATGAAACATAAAATTACAATTGCAATTGACCCCAGATCTGATCCACATAGAACACTGGTTTCACATACGTCTAGAATGATGCTGAGCATCATCCCTCACAGATTAATCGTAATAATTTTAAGACCCATTAATTAATTGCCTCTTTTATGCAGGGTCCACCTGGGGTTATAGAATTTGACAGCCTTGGAGAAGTCAAGGTAAGTTTTTGTGTGGCATTCCCTGATTTAAATGAATAAATGCACCACATGTAATGTGAATGACAAAAATGCATGCATATTTTTTGTCCCGTGATTTCTGAACGTATTGCTTAAACACAATGCAAGAGGGCAATGGTGGTAATTGTACTGTTGATGTTCCAGTGCCCTCCCTCTTGCCCTCCTGGCTTGCCTGGCTACCCTGGCTTCCCAGGCATGAAGGTAATATGGCACAAAACAAGCATTCATTCTTTCTTTATATACTAGTTTTTTGCCCGTCCAAGGACGGGTGTATTGCAGTAAATGTGAAACTTGCAAGCGAAAAGCAGACCGCGACGTGATATATTCATTGCATCAATTCGTGTGCAATTTGTAAGGGCGCGGTGAGACAGACCTATTTTATTTTAAGGTTATGATCCCTTGTTCATCATGACGTCCTTTTTACTTTGATGTCTCAATTGCGTTATGGAGATCGCGTGACGTGAGGGTTCCTGCCTTTGTAGTGAGGGTTGTCAGTAGAGCTGAACGATTTTGGGAAAATATCTTATTGCGATTTTTCTGACAGATTTTGTGATTTGATTTGCGATTACATTTTTTAAGTCAAGCTTCAGTTCAATATTCACTGTGTAATAGATTTAAAACATGTGATGGATCATTACCACATGATACCATCAAAATATGAACTGCTCCATATATTTGAATGCAAGGATGGGAACTTAAGATATATTAATTGCTTCCAACATGTATTTATTAAAATGTTTTAATTGAAATAGAACAATCAAACATATAATAATTGTTAAGTTAAATACAAAAGTTATAATAATAAAAAATACCAATAAGCAAGTAATAGGACTTTTCAAATCGCAAAAATTGCAGCCTTTGCGATTTGCTAATCGCATTATTTCAAATTACGATTTGAAATCGATTAATCGTTCAGCACTAGTTGTAAGTTGACGCTGAGGAGGGGGGAGGAGGTGAAAGGGGGGGTGTCCACTTGGAGGACGTCACCTATTGTTAATGAAGCGGGCTGTTCGATGTGGAGTGACGTCACCTGCTCATAATTATTAATGAGGGGGAGGGTGCTCCGTGTGGAGTGACGTCACCTGCTCATGATTATTAATAAGGGGAGCTGGTCGACGTGGAGTGATATTATTGGCTCATTATAGTAGGTAATAATAATGGGAGGGGGGGGGGTGTCCATTTGGAGGACGTCACCTGTTCATGAATATTAATGAGGGGGGATGGTCGTTGTGGAGTGACGTCACGTGCGTTAAGGACAGACATTCCTGGGTGATTATAGTAGGTATATAAACAGAAGAAAAAACCCGAAAAAAATGAAGTTTTTTTAAAAATAAAACAGTTTTTTTTATTATATAGAAGGACAATTTAATATCATTGCAAGTTACATAAACTCCCCATTAAAAGCTGCAAGCAATATTGCATTTGAATTATTGATACACTGACGTTGAATGTAGGTCCTGGGAAGTGAGTGTAAAGAGAGTGTTGCTAAGTGCTCTACAGTAACCTGCACTTGGCTCCCCGTGTGAGATCAGCTCTGCAAAATGAGCCATTGTGCAGCTGGGTGCATTGCCTGAATATACACCGACAGGAATTAAAACAACACGGCTATTGGGGAATTTTTACTGGCCGTGTTTAACTACATTTCACAGGCGCCATTACCTTCATTTGGACATGCTTAAGTAAAAGTAAAGGACTTCAATGTATTGTTTTCATGGATCACCACCATCATCAACTATGATACCCAATAATTGGTCATCTGTACATGGACAGCTTTTTATTATTTGTCTGTGTCGGGTGGAGGAGGGTTTACGACACGCATTTTTACAAGACAACCTAACCCCCCCAAAAATAAACAATTATGAACTACGATCAATCCACTGCTGCATCACACCTACCCATGCTGTTGCCATCTCTTATGATGCTGCTAGGTAATAGTCGTTCCTTATTCTTGACTATCGGCCGTCATCACTCCTTGCAACATAAAAAAAAATCCAAGCCCGCTTTTATTAACAGTTTGCATGGTGCCGTTAACTTGTGCATGTTCTAATCTCACAAAGTCATATTTTCGCGTGACAGAGGACAATTACCACTACACGCCGTCAGTGTGCCTTGCTGAATAGGTTTGCCGTACAGGGCAAGGCCTCCGCGTAGCCACCCTTCACAGTTGGGGGGGGGGGGGTGTTCGTGACAACCCACACTGCAGTTGTGGCGACCGTACAAACGGTGTCACAGATCGCTGATGACTGTCCCACTGACAAAGTTCAGCGGAGCTCTACGAGAGAACTGCACGTGGCCACCGTAGACACGACCGCATGGCTTGGCGATTACGCGCACGCTGATCGAATTGAAACGCACTTCTCACTTAAACAAATGCATCCGATTAGCACAGTTGGCTACTTAAAGGTGCCAAAGAAGTTAAACATACGAACGTTTTATTGATGGCACTTAAAACTTCACGAGAATCTGTCAAATGGGCAGATGCTTGAGGTCGGATTGGCCAACGTGTGTTGGCATTGTTTTGAAATCAGTTTCCAAATGCTAATCGCACCAACTTGAAGGAAGGCAAAAGACAATTATCGCTGTGTTGTGTTCCTCAGGGGCACAAAGGTCACAAGGGCGAAGTTGGTGAAGATGGTAAGATGGGTAACAAGGTGAGAGTTTCACTTGCTCCTGAAAAGGACACATTTACTGAAGGTTTTAATGAATGAACCATAGCTATTCCTGAAGAGCGTTAAATATCTTCCTCACAATTTTGGTTGCTGTAAACAGGGTTTTGGTTCATATTAATTAAATATATACTACATACAGTATATTATACACTACTGGGTACACAATCGTGAAAATAATTATATGTGAAGGGGTAATGCTAATGAATATATTTCTCCCAATATTATCTTATAAAACATATACGTACCATTATCTCAGGATTTGAAGACACACTTCCCCCCCCCCCCCTGTGCTTTTAGGCAAAAGTTGGGGGTGAGTGTTATAATTTGTTCGCAGTGCATGAGGGTGATCAAATCTGTGTTTGACTTGATACCGGGAGAATACAGAAAATAAAAAAAAACTTGCTACTCGCCCCCTTGTCAATTATCTTTCGTCTTGTTCGCTTGAAGACCCTGGCTCAACTGAAATCAAGATCCACGGACGAAGGGCAGCGGTTGAATGAACCCACTGTTGCGTTTTGGTTTTTTTGAACAGTGTCCCTGATGAAATAGCTCTGTGTGCCTCACGGAAGTTGGTGAACAGGTAAAGTGCACAGAAGCACAACGCGTGGCGATAACTTCACCGAACGTCTGATTTTTCCAGGGCGACACTGGTCCCGCGGGGGTGACGGGGGTACAAGGCTCCGTGGGTTTTCAGGTAACAACCGTGACCCTGCCAACCGTTTAACTCGGACGTGCGTGTGCGTGAACCCGGCAGAGGGAGGGCCCAGTGAGTACATCGCTCGTACAATGTAGTTAGGAAGTTTTATTGTGCTTAATTATAGCAAGGCGACAGCCATTGCCTGACACGGAGTTGCCGTTCATCGCACCGCAGGGTGACCAACAGACTTCATCCAGCCAACATAAAATGCCATGTGGACATGGACAAAGGGGCCACTTGACTTAATTCAACTCTGAAGGAAAGTGAAAGCTATACCGTAGTACGTTAGAAACGTAATATAGCACATATTACTTGGGTTCAAAAACAGCTTGACACGGTGGACAGATGCTGTTGCCGAGGTCGTGCGTTATGAAAGGTCTATGCGATCGAAGTGTTATCTGAGCCGAAGATTGAAACGTGTTAGAGGAAACTTCCAAGTGAGAGTCCTATTGCCTTGCTCCAGCATGTATGGATATTGAACGTCTTTCACACCGTACGTAGCCAACCATGCTAATCAGAGTTGCGGGGGAAGGACAACAAACTAAAGCTAAAGGCCAGTTCTCAAGAAATACGTTTTAAATCGAGATGTTTAAGTCCAGAGCTCCAGTGGCTTCCTAATATTGAAAGAAAGAGCATTCTTGATTTGAAGCTTTCGTGACTGCAGGAATCCATACTCTTTGGTTCTTTCGGTAAAGTCACGTAGGCATAAAATAAATCACGACGTTTCGGGCGCACAACAAGCGTCTGTCATCAGGTTGGAAAGCCATGGTCTGCTGCTGAGGCAGACTGTTTTAAAAGGTTTGAAATGGGTGTAGCTTCAGCAGCAAATCATGGCTTTCCCACCTGATGACGGACGCTTGTGTTGCGCCCGAAACGTCGTGATTTATTTTATTTTATACCTACGTGACTTTACAGAAAGAGCATTCCGGACGGCCGCAAAAGCACATCTGAAAGCACGCGATGCAGTGCCCCGTCTTTATTGGACGGTTAACCAAAAAACCACTGCTGTGAGGATGACCGAAGTTTGCGTGGTGGTTTATGCTCCACGAAGTGGGTGCTGATGTTTCTCTTCTTAAATTCACTGAGAATCACGAAACGCTACCTCGGCACTCGCCCACGCCCCGGCCCCAGGACTGCCCCCCTGCGTGCCACCCTCACCCTGCAGTTAGCCACCCCCTGGTAAAATCAGTCAAACGGTCGCATCGCCCATGACTGAGTGTGTGGGTTGCTGCATATTTAAGGGTGCAAATGAAACATTTTTTTTTAATTTGAATATGTGGCAAAGATTATTGAGGATTATCATCCATACAAATTAAAGTGATCCGTCTTGGTACACTGCTATGGACACTGACGCGTGAGCTCCGAGTACTGTGAAGTCATTGAGGCGTGTGGTTCGTTGACTTGGGAACGTTTTGCACACCGTCTTGCGTGCAGGGTGGCAGAGGCCTTCGAGGGCCCCAAGGAGAAGCTGGCCCTGCAGGCGAACGCGTGGGTATCCCATCATGCAATTCCAGGCCGTGTTTACATCAGCCAACGTGCTGTTCGTGCACAGTATATAATGTTCGTTGGTGTCAGTGGGTCGCGTTAGTCAGACCCAATTTGTCAGACCGATTGATGGCCTAGCAGTCAAGGTCAGTCCGCTCCTGATCACTCTTACATTGCTTCTGCCATGGTTATTTTTCTCACCCATGCTGAGGTCTCAGTCTCCCAGACTGACCGTCTCATCTCATCCACCCGATGTTCAACCACCACACTGCAGCTCTAAACATTCCTCATCATACTTCCCTCCCATTCTCATAATCTCCTTTCCCAAGTTCGTATAACCTTGCTCAATTCAAGAAAAATATTAGCCCTTATCTATTACACCTTCAATAGAGACGTTTGCTGTTATCCACTTTGTACAGTACATATGCTCAGCGTTGATAGTGTAGCGTATATGTAAATGCAGATTCACTATTTATCAGGAATGTAGCACAAAATACTGCAACATAACATGGGTTTCCATTGTTGATACTTAAGAACTAACGTTAATTAACAAGGCTAAGGGTGTTGAAGGCAAGTGTCAATCGGAAGCACCTATTAAGGCTGCCACAATATATGAAGTGGCTGTTGCAGCCAGAACCTAGCATACCACCCCTCCTCTCCCCAGTGCTTACGTTGACAACACTGATCCAGGTGCTCTCTTTAGTGTGAGTTGACTTAGAGGTGGCCCGTGCCAAGTACAGATATAAACTGACAAACTGCAAATGTACATACTATAGATGTGCGTAACCCATTTGTAGAGATATCTTACCACCAAACCGCTATTGCTTCCCACAAAGACATATTCATGCACAAATACAAATAAAAAATATCCCCAATTTAGACTTACTGATGGGCCAAGTGCTGATAACTTGCACGTCTGAACGCCGGAATGGCAAATGAAAAAGGTGGGTGGCTAGTACCACGCCTGACCCCCTTTGTCTTCCAAGTGTTGATGTTTACACATTGCAGCAGGTACTCATTTAAGGCCTAGTCGACCTAGGGCAGGCACAGGATGAGTTCAGATCATTTGTCACTGATATTGGCCATGAGATAACCACTCCACTACCGCTCCCTACAACCGGTACATGCACATGTGTATGCACATAAACATTCCGAATAATACGAAGGAATTTATGTTTAGATGGGACAGTCAGGGATTCTGTTCTGTAAATGATCTTGGCATGCCACATCCATCTCGCCTTATTTTGGTCAATAGCATTATAAACCTGTTCATCGGATTATACGAAATGAGGGTTCAATCAACTACGGTTATGTGTACGTGTACCTTATACCCTAGTGGCAGTGCCTTGTGCCGATGATCCATAATCCAAGCCCACCGAGAGGTATTCCGGAAAAAAATTACATGATAAATTGAGCCCTGACAATATTCTATGTAATAGCAAAACCTACTGACTGTTTTTTTTCAATGGCATGTCTGGAAATGCTATTTATTCACTCTGAATGCTACATAAACACTGCCATGTGATGGTTGAATCTGACTGTGTTTGTTACAGGGTCCTACTGGGCAGCCTGGGCAGCCAGGTCCTATGGGACCACTGGGAAGATCTGTAAGTATTTGCCGTATTATGAATTGACATCTCATTTCAAACATTTGAAAGGGTTACCCCCTGTGGCAGCTGTCCCTGTGAGGCACAAACTGACCCAGAACATGGCCTGCAAGTGGGCATGAGCAGGAGGCGATAATTGCTGTGTAATGACAAATGAGTCATTTGCGGGTCAATTTGGAAAATAGGGATTTTGAAACTAATAAACAATGGCCTACTCGTTTCGTAAGGCATCAGGGGATATTTAACGTCCACTCAGAAGCGGATGGTGCATTTTACTGGTAGGAAACGCAGTGGACTGGAAGCCCAACCGGGATTAATTCACAGGAGGCAGGGGATTGATTGTGTATGTCTGTGGATGTCTGTCCACGTGTATCCGGACATTCGGATATAAAAAATGGGAGGGGTGGGGTTGGGTGGAGAGGGGAGGGAAGGGAGGGGCTGGGTGGGGAGGGTGGGGCTGGGTGGGGGGTGGGAGGGGTGGGGCTGGGTGGGGAGGGTGGGGCTGGGTGGGGGGTGGGAGGGGTGGGGCTGAGTGGGGTGGGGCTGAGTGGGGTGGGGCTGGGTGGGGAGGGGCTGGTCACCCCGTGGTGCCCTTATAAAACTCAACGTTTAACCTACTCACGCCGGCTTGTGCCCGCCCTCACAGTCGGGCATATTTGCGGAATACACCACGTGGTGCCGCCGTTGACCTGGCCATTGACCGAGCAACTAACGTTCCTACCAGCCCCCTCCGTAGGAATGTGTTTTATTGTTAATAGATCCACAGTAAGAAACCAGGGCAGTCTGTTGTCTTTGAGCCACAAACCTCGGCAAACAAGCACGTCAGTGGCCAAAATATTTTGCTATGTTTGTGTGTGCTGTATTCTCCAACAGTATGAGTACAGTAAAATATCAGTTTAAAACCATTCAGAATCTGACAAGCATTGCTCAATACTGAGTACTGCGATATCTATAGCTCTCAGTGACACTAGGTAAACTGATGCATACTGAAAGGTGTACAAATCCAACAAGCAGGTACGCAGTGGAATTATGCACAATGATTATGAATTGTGCAACCATTTGTGACCGTTTATCAGGGGACAAATGCACAACCTCTGATAAAGGTAAAGAACATGCTGGGGCCCTTCCCAACATAGTGCAATCAGAAGTGTACATTTGCTTGGTCACAAAATCTTTGTTAACACATTTTTGGGACACGTCACGAGAAGAGATGACGATCGGTGGTTTAGACTAATGATGGAGTTTTCTTTTGCGAAACGAAACAATTTTTGATTTTGCCAGTTAAGGCCCACTGAGCTATACAGTTCTTTATCAGAAGTGACCTGGCCACAAAAGATAGCTCAATGAAGCGGGTTATCATGAGTGTAATTTATTGCAGCCAAATTCTATAAATTAATTATTATAAATGTGGAGGGGAAAACTGGAGGACTCAGAGAAAAATCCGCACGACCACAGGGAGAACACGCAAACTCCAAATATACAAGCATTAGGGTCGGGATCGAACCCACGACCTCTTGTATTCCAGGCGAGATAGTTAACATTTAACCACCGTGGCATCCTTTTGGCAGCCAAAGGACAGAACACAATCGATAGGATGCGAATAATGGAGATGGAGCTATGGAATCATTTCCCGTGAAGAGGCTAGATAGATTATTGTTGTCAGATGTGAGGGACAGTGATGGCTTGTGGAGGTCTTCATCCAGCAGTGGATAGATCATACCTGATGGTGATCATGATGATGACTGAATACATTTCACAGGGAAAAGAAGGACCAAAGGGTTTTATGGGATTGCCAGGGCACAAAGGCGACAAGGTATGTTGGCAACACATTTGTGCAAAATATGTATTTGTTACAAAATAAACTCTTGCTAATGAGATTTCATTTCAATAGACTCTCTCGTGGTGCATTAAATTATACAAAAATTACCTGAGGCCACTTGGGTAATAATGCTAACATTATGTAACTCTTATTTTGTAAAACATACTGTGAACATGGGTCTGTCATTATTTTTGTTGTCACAGATTAGCTGCTGAAATCATAATCTGTTGTTACTCCGTGTAGCTGCTATGCTGTCTTAACATCATCAGCGAGCTTTGAAATCATTTCTAGACTGTGCTTGATCATGTATTCCCATTTGTTATATAGGGAGAACATGGCCTGATGGGAATTATTGGTATTAAAGGTATCAAGGGAGAACCCGTAAGTAATAATCACAGGTGATACATTGTCAACAATATTTTAAACAAAGTGCATTTTCGTTCATTACATGCTATTTTACTTAATACATATCCATAGTGAAATATCATACTACCAAACTACTTAAAGTAATTTATTATCATCATCAGCGATTTCTCTGTCACAAGAACATGGAATTTTATATTACAGTTTTGTGGCCACTAAATGGCGATGAGCTCCACCCAACTCACAATTGAATGTGGAGACACGTTAATATTGGAGCAATTATTTAAAATGTAATCACGACACGTGACTTTATAGAGTTAGAAGCCAAAAGCATGTGAACCTATTCCTTACTGAAGTAAGGTCCCCGTGTGAACCCACTTAAAAGTTTCACATGAACTGCATACCAATTACATGATAATTCTCGTAAAGCAAACTGAAACAGAAATAAAATGTCCTTCTCAACAGGGAGACTTTGGATCAAATGGGCGTGGAGGTCTGGACGGTCCTCCGGGAGAAACGGTCAATCACACATTTCATGCACATGCATACATTAATGCGCTCAACCAAAACATGGACACCTACAGCTGTATAACCATTGGGGATCTGTTCCAAATGTTCAATTTATTCTGACATTTTTATATAACGGGGCCTAGATATGAAAGTTTCTACCATTTCGCATTGACCTGAAAATGTGACGTCACAGAAAGTGATGGCACATTCTTACTTTTTCCACCATAGTTATCATCACGTAATGTCACTTTTGCTTAAATTATTTAAATATATTCACGTTAAAATTATAATTTCAGTTGGAACAGAATGTAAGAAAATGTAATTCAGTGATTAATGCAAAACATACACATATAAAATGATGATATTTGGTACAAAAACAATGAAAGTTATTTAAATATCATTCATTAAAACAATTTTTTTTATTTAAAATCGGAATTGAAATTCATCCTAAAGCTCCAAAAAGTCCATATCTGAATCAATGAAGTCACAAACTCATCCCGATAACGCAGGCAATGTGATGCATTGTCAATATGTTGTGTTACGATTCAATTTAACAATTATTATCTCATTTATGAAATGTGTTAATTGTTCCATTTACTTGGAACAGCATTTGTCTAGCTCACTTCAATATCCTAAAAGCAACATAAGCGTATAGTGTGTATGAATGTTGATAATCAATTCTTACACATACAATCTAATGTAGTGATCGTGAATGTAAGAGTTAATTTAAGTTAATTCAGCAAAGTATGTTTATTTTTTTCACATCCAGGCAACAGGGATCACACATTGATAGTTTAAAAGCATGAGAAAATAACGTTATTGTTAATCTGATGGAATAATTCCTGGAAACGCGTATGAACTCCTCACGTTTGTATGCTGAACTTCTTTCGCACCGTACGTAGCCAACTGTGCTAACACGAGGTGTGGGGGAAAGACAACAAACTGAACACAAAAAAGCAGTTTAAAAAATGTTTTCAATCTAGATTTGAAAGTGCATTGCTCCAGTGGTTTCCTCATATCGGAAGAGCGTTCCAGACGCCCGCAGAAGCACATCCGAATACACGCGATGCCGTGACCTTATTTGCTCGATGGCTCGCCAAAAAGTGCTGCGAGGATGACCGGAGTTCGCATGATGGTTCATTCTCCTGTTTATGCTCATGTAAAGGTTGCTTTCACTGCAGAGCAGATTCAATGGTTAAAGGACATCTCTACAAACGGCATTTCAATGAGTGCATGGCCAGGCAATACTAGAGTGCGTGTTTATTGTCCAAGCGAGTGCAGGAGTGGGTGGCTGACCACTCTCAGCCACCTGTTTCCTTTCCCAACTCTTAAATATACAGCAGCGGGTGCTCTCTTTCAGACGGAGAGGCCCTCAGCTCTCAAAGAGGTTGATTAAAGGCATTGCACGCTCGGTTCTTTGAGGATGATATTGAAGTCAGACTGTGGGATATGAACACTGGCCTTGTAATCACAAAGCATATAATAAAATAAAGTTTGAGACAATGGATGTATTGTTTTGTGTTTCCAAATCCCTTAGCTCATTATACACGATTCACAAGATAGTCACAGACTGAATACCGCTCAACACCGTCATCAGACTTTGCTAACACTGAAGAGATGGTAAAGTAAATTCAGTATGTGCTTTCATCCTACTGCAATGAAGTTTCTGAAATGTAATTTAGTTGTAGAAATGAAAACAGTATCATTAGAATTTGAGATATCCATGGCAAACAACTTTAATATGTAATCCCTGGCTATGAATGAACACGAGTGGAAATTGATATCAGAATCTGGAATGAACCTCACCCAGGGAAGCCACACAAAGCCCAATGACCATTTTTATAGAAGGTCCTCCACTGGCATATTTGGCCACCACCAATGACCTTGGATGTTTTAGCCTCGGGAGGAAACCAGATAACCTGGAGGAAACCTATGGAGAACAAGGGGAGAACATACAAACTCTGCACATAACGGCACCCGAGTCAGGAATCGAACCCAGGTCCTTATTTCTGTGAGGCACAGGCGTTGCCACTGCACCACCTTACCGCCGTGGCTGAACCTTGCGTGTGATATTCCAGGGTGAAGCTGCTCAGCCAGGCTTTCTGGGTCACCAAGGCTCGGAAGGTTTACCCGTGAGTTTTACCAGCAAGGATAATTTGACCGTTGTTTTTAAGGCTTGAACGAAGCTGGGAGAACAAAGTTGTACGATTCCTTGGGGAGAATAACCACTCCTGTGCTCATTTGCATGCAAAGTGAAGTTTGCTCCACGACAGAGCATGCATTAAAAGTTCCCATTTTAAGACATGTTAGAAAATACGTACTTTTTGTACAATTATGCATTTCGAACATGCATATATCGCTTTGTATTAACTCGTTTAAAAGTAAGTACTCCCTTTAATGTGCGTTATGTTGTTGTTCCGATTGCACATGTGCTATTGATTGACAAACTTAAAGGGATAACTATCTCTTTGCCTTGCTTTCTCTGCAGGGTATACCCGGGACACCGGGAATGAAAGGCTCGATCGGAGAAAGGGTGCGTCACTTAAAATCATAAAAAACAATTATTCATAATTATTTGCATGTTAAATTATTACTCTTTAACACGCGACTGCATTCTATCTTTTTTATGTCAAGGGAAGTACTGGAGCAGAGGGATCAAGAGGACCAGATGGTCCAAAAGGAATAACTGTATGTTTTCACTTTGTTCAATTACCGAAAATGTACTAATCACGTATTATGCTGTTTACTTGAGTCTGAGGTTATTTGGTGAGTGTGTCTCACATTACGCGGATATCTTCGTCAAGTGATCAAATTCTCATTGCCCCACAGGGAGACCAAGGCAATGCCGGCGAGAGGGGTCTTGAAGGTTTGCGGGGCCCTATCGTGAGTTCTGATTAAAACAAAAGCACAACAATAACAAGGGTGACTTGACCAGACTGTGGCAGGCACAGCATATGTTGAATGATTGAGCAGCCAAAGATGAAATCTCCTTTTCCCAACGAAAATACCGACGGAATAGCCTCTGAGTAACACCCATAAGGATGGGAAACTCTGCCTGATGTGGATAGTGGCTGCATACGGCTTCATTTGCAGGACTTTCATTTCAAAGCAGTAGCCATACTGATCTAATCTCATTGGACCCGGGAGGCTAATGTGTCAAATGAACAAGGGCTTCTCGCACAAAGAACCTTCAGAAAACTTGGATTAAATCTCTTTTTTCGTCTTCTTCAGCGGAAACTCTAGAATTTCTGTTTAATACCCTTGCTTTTTGTGATAAATAAAATAGGTATGACCCATTGCTTATTCCCCATACTCAGGAAAAATCCACCTTTGTGAGACTGCTATCTGGCATTAATTAGTGTTGATTTTGCCATCAGTGTAGGTTTGCAAACACAATTGAGGAAACCATGAATGGAATGCTTCTTGTGCTTTCGTTTTCAACTCTGTGAAATTAATCTGGGTCTGTAAGTGACTAGAAGGCTGTGCACAAGAGACTGAAGTCTTTATGCTCATTCCAGGAGCAAGGTGATGCACAAATACCATTTGTTTGACCAAAGAGCATTGGGTCTCACACAAGCACACAGTGTTCTGTGTTACAAGCTGCATTACATTAGTGCAGCAGTAAAAGCAAAACTACAATTTTGCCTTAAAGAAATAAACTAGTTATACATTAAGAAAGACAAAATAAAGTATCTCTATGTTTCAAGGAGTATCTTTGTGAACAGCAAAAAGCCAACGGTTGAAATTCCATATCCTTATGGTATGGTGCCAGTCTCTCCAGTGGGCCAACATAATTCGTGCCATTATACTGCATGTCCTTCAATGGGTTTCTAATAGCTCTGACATTCAGTGTACAATCATGAGACAAAAAGCTATACACACCTTTGTTTCAATATATCAGGGTTGATGACTGTCATATTTGCATGGCCAAGACAAGCTTAGAAATGCAAACTTTAACAGATCAGGGAAACACATTGTAGTTAAATGACATCCTGTATTTTAATTGACAAAAAATGAAGTAAAAACATGAGCTTTTGGAAATGAATCCTTATTTTACAATTTTTGAAGTTCACAAGCTCACAAAATCACTGACAATCTGTAAGATGGAGCTTTTATTTGATACGACTATGGGTAAAAAAAATGTTAAGTTGAATGTGCCACGATGTTAAATAAGAGATTATAAGAGACAAAGTGCATGTTTCCATGCATCACTATTAACAGCAGAGTCAGTGAAATAGATAAGCCTTTTGTGAAGCTTTCCACTAACAACGTTTAGCTATTTTTTGGGGGGAGGAAAGGCAGGCTTAGTTGTTTTTCTCCAAATAATTCTGATGTTTTCTTGTGACATTTTTTGACGCTAGTTGCGCTGAGTACAAGGTTAAGATGAAGCAGCTAAGGATGACACATTGAGGTTTGAATCGGTCTATTGTGTTAGGATGTCAGGATTCATTTTAATAATTGTATTTTTATTAATTTGGGTAAATCAATTCATGAAGATAAAACTATCAAATATCAACCATTAGCAGGACTTCCACACGCACCTATGACTTCATATGTACACTATGTAATACATTGTTGAAGAATTAATAAATTTGCAAACAATATAAATACGCATCAAAAATTGTTTAATAGACATTATTTCGTGTAATTTTGCATTTCATATTTTCCACCAAATATCAAACACTCAATATACGTTCCATGCATATATACATGTGTGGGATTTCAGTGGATTGGTGCAACATATTACGAATAAAAAATTGTGTATTACTCAAACATCTGGTTACATTCATAGCATGTGTTTATATCACATCCATATTTAACATTTGCATGCAAGACATACGTACGCGTGCACAAGAACGTACTAATTCATGTTCCATCGGATTACGCTTCAGCAATAAGACAAGTTGTGCTTTCGCAGGGGAAACTGGGCGGAGAGGGCCCGATCGGGACCCCTGGACACCAAGGAAAGCCAGTGAGTCCCTCCGCCCATTATGAACGTCGTCTGCCACTCACACAAATCACAAGCAAGTGGCAACACCAAGTTCAAATTGCAATCCACGGGATGTTTTTGCTAGCTTCGCATCGGCAGCGGAGCTGGCACCCCCCACGCACCCACCCCTTGTCGTTACGTTGTAACCCGAGTCTCTTTGTTGCAGGGGCCTAGGGGTCACGTGGGTGCTGGGGGGCTTCCGGGCGCCCCTGGTCACACCGGAGAGAAGGGGCACCGGGTGAGAGCCCAACGTCACGTCGGCCGCCCCCCCCCCCCCCCAACGCTTCATCAAACACGCGTCCAGCGCTGCCAGCTGAGCACATGCCCCGAGCACCCACGGGGAGAGTGGCGCCGCTAGACTGCCACCCCACTTCCTCGCCAAGTGCCTTGTTTGAGCACAGAAGTTTAAACAGAACGCAGCTAAAACACAAAGCACTGGCCCAAAGGCCACACGCGTCCACGGAATAGCAACCAACAGCACTATCAAGGTTGTATTGGATGAAAGCTACTAAGTCGCTTGCAATGAGCAAGAAGGTTATGAGAGCTTGGGGAAAGAGACGATGAGGGTGGGAGTTCCAAAGGCGAGCAGCACGAGGGAAGTAGCAGAACGAGTCGTGGTTTGGCCTCCAGTTTGGCAGTTGGAACACAGAGTATGGGATGAGAGAGAACAATCATTCTGGCAGACCAAGTCCTCAACATGGGTGGAGGAACTCAATGAGTGAAATTCACGTTCGGCAAAGAAGTAGGGTGAGAAGAAGTAGGGATAGAATAGTGATAAAGAGGGGATTCATAACCGGTGAGCGAGGGGCCGTCCATAAATGACGTCACGCACCTAGGCGGGGGGAGGGGTCAGTCATTTGTGACGATGTGTGACGAGGGGAGGGAGGTTTGAGAAATGTGACGTCACATCAAAATGCGCAACTTAAAATAAATATAGATAACACGTCCTACTTAATTAAATAGACTTTTTAATAAATGTTTTCTCCTACAACATCAGAGTGCAGCGCCACATTAAATACGCTCTACAATGACAATAGTTTAAAGCGATTTGAAGAATGTTTTTTTTTTTGGGGGGGGGGGGGACAGAGCTTTGTGACGTCATATTTGAGGGGGGGGGTCTGACTTTTTGTGACGCCGTGTGACGACGGGGTGGGGTGGGGGGGGGGGTCAAAAATCGTCCAAAATCGCGTGACGTCATTTATGGACGGCCCCCCGAGTAACTGGAGTGACTCGTAATGTTCATCGCGTTTTTATCAACTGGCCATTGCCAAGGCAAGTTTACGTGGAATCGCAGCTCAGTACAATGCCACACATCTGACCGTCACATGTCTGTCCTGCCCAATTGACCTCCCGCACCCAGTGCGGCATTTGTGGCAGAGCGTAACTGTCTTTGGGTGTTGCCAAATCCACCCTTTTCACACGCAGCACTCGTCGCCTGCGTCTCGCATACATCATGCGTACCTCAAAAGCGCAGTGAAGCATTTTCCTGTGTCTTGTTTTTAACTGCAGTCCTCCTGCCCATTCCAGCAGCTGTTTCTAGCTGCGGTGGTCCCACCTGATGACGGGCGCTCGTGCTGCGCCCGAAACGTCGTGATTTAATTTTCAATTTACTTTTATTTTATTTATTTTTCACCTACGTGACTGTACCGAAAGAACCAAAGAACAAAGGGTATTAAAGCGGCTTGTGATTTTTTTTGTTTGTTTTGTTGATAAGCTATTTGTGAACAGTGGTGTGACCAAATTTCGATTTAAAGCTTTCGTGACTGCAATGGTTCATCTTCTTTGGTTCTTTCGGTAAAGTCACGTAGAATGAGAATAAAATAATAAATTGATAAAATAAAATAACACAATAATATTATTATTAACACAATAATATTATTATTATTATTATATTATTATTATATTATTATTGTGTTATTTTATTTTATCAATAAAATAATAAATTGATAAAATAAAATAACACAATAATATTATTGTTGGAGAGCAATATTATTATTGTGTTATTTTATTTTATTATTGTTGGAGAGCAATATTATTATTGTGTTATTTTATTTTATCAATTTATTATTTTATTCTCATTCTACGTGACTTTACCGAAAGAACCAAAGAAGTGGTGTGACCGTCATTTTCTATGTATGTTCACGTATCCGAACTTTTCACGTATCTGCCGATACCTCGGCCGCCAGCGAGTCGTGAATGGGGCACTGTGCCGCCTTATGTTGTCAATGTACAACGCGTGAGCGCTTCCTACCTTGTTGTAAATTCGGGTCGTGAGATTAGCACACAGCGGCGCCAGATGCTAGTGAGCACATTCTCTGAATGTTCACATTTTCAGAAACTAAAACACTTTTAATTTTCCTGACGTTGGCCATGCAGTGCAAACATTTATATCGCATGTACTCGTCGATACAGATTTAAAATAATAAGGAAAAAGTCACAACATCGCTATTGTGGGTTTAACACGTAGGCTTCCGCGACCAATATCATCCATAATAAAGACATTTTGGGTTAGATCGCGTAAATATATAAATGTGTCGGTAAATCCACTACCACCCGACACAGCGAATTATTAAGGGTTGTCACGTAAGCAGAGCGTTCCAATTCCTTACTAGTACAGCACACTGCTGTGTTGGAGAGCAAAGCCACAACATTTACAATCCGAGTACGACGTTTCGTCAGTAATTACAACTAGCTTCATCAGGTGACAGGCGGATTTGTGTAGAAATCCTACGAGAAGAGCAACCAAGTGTTGTCATCATATCTACCCCTCTATATGGATGATATTATGATAATTATTCATACCAGCAGTTCGTAATTTTATATCAATCTTGTGGCGAAAAAAATAAAATATCTATTCACAGTGTCATAATGGTGTTAAATAGCACACTTGTTCACGTTTGCAATACAGTTAAGTTCCATCTGCATACAGACAATGTGCAATAAATGCATAATATATCGGTGTAAAAAATTTGGACCTAAACTTCAGCGACTTACAAAATAATGCTTTGCACGTCGTTGAATGTGACTGTACATCACCTAGGACAGCAGGTACGTAGCATAGGCCAAGTAAAATATAATAATATGCGTATTAAATTTTGATTTAAAGCTTTCGTGACTGCAGTAATTCATATTCTTAGTTTTTTCGTCTCCCCCCTCCTCTTTTCAAAAAATAGATGGACTAGTCCTGGCAAACAGCCAATCGTTGCGCGTGACGCAAACGTTATTTATATATATATAAATAAATAACTATGCCGTTTTCAAAATAAATTTATGCAAACCGACACACCTGATGATGACCGTTTGAGTTATGGTCGAAACGTCGTGAGAAATTTTTTTATTGTTTTATATATATTTTGTTGTTTCTCTTCAACGTGACTTTACCGAAAAAACTAAGAATATGAATATGCGTATTGTTGACATTAGCATGAATAAAGAAAAAAATATGTTGTGTCAAAGTTACCTTTCAACTGCAACTGATATGCTTTCAGTCAAATGCCAGCTTTCAGGAAACAGGCGTTTATTTGTTCCTGTGAATGCTTTTTTTTTCTGCGTGAATAGGGCACAGCCGGGAGGCGTGGACGCAGAGGAGTGCCTGTGAGTGCCGCAGACTCTTACAGACAGCATCTAGATTACGTTTGATGGGGGAGGCCAGGGCAGTAATATGTGTGCGCCCCCCCTCCCCATTTACCGTTCCACCACCACCCATGACTGCTGCCAAACACATAATTGTCATTCAGCTACGTAAATTCCGCCCTGAGTATTTTTTTTTGTGATAGACGAATTGTAAAGCTAAAAGTTAAAAGGGACTCTTTTTTGGTTCGGCACATAATTGGGAGTGATACTATGGCTTTAATTACCCGTGGGGTTTATATCACAGTGCTACATGATTGCGTTTGAACCATTATAAAGATGGCCATGTGGCTCAGAGGTCGAGCAAGTGGAGTCCTGGTTGGTTGCTGACTCAACTCACTAACCCTCTGGGGTTGATAAAGTGAGTACCACTTTGTAGGAAAATTAACAGTGGTTGTCCAATGAGGAGACTTGGCCCCTTCTATATGAATCTGGGATGTCCACCACTGGCTGAAGGCTGTACATAGAAGATGAACACTGCCTCAATTCTAGTTTAAGCACCAAATAACTTTTCTCGTTAATAATGTATTTATTATAACACGGCACATATTTTGAGGACCCCTCAAAAATCAAAGGCTCTGAGGGGATGAAGCCCCCAGAGCCTCAGCATTAACCCGCACCTTCCATTAGCACGGTTGACTCCGTACGGTGCGAAAAAAATTTACTTACATACATACATACGTCGCTGCTGAGAGGAATTGTGCACTTCAGTTGGCGGTCGACATCAGAAGTGGACCGCGACCCTCAAAGTAATGGCCCCACCCCTGTGGTCACACAAATTGCGCGAGACGCCGGTGTGTGGCAGCAACAGAAGCTTATGCGAATGCTGTCGCAAGAGGTCACACGTTTGGCGCAACGGTCCTTCGCTGACTGTGCGTGATGAGTTAATGATCGAGAGGATGCTCAATGCAACGAATAGCGTTCCACATTGTGGTCGGTCACATTAACTGAGCTGTACTGTTTTTTTTCTCACCAGGGCCCAGTCGGCGAAGGTGGCATCACGGGGGAGAGAGGAGACACGGTATCGCATTGCGTGGAGCGAACGCAGTTTCACGTTTTTAGGATAGCTATCGTTTTAATTATTAATGGTTTTCCCATATTACATTGCCTCTGTGACGCAGATCTTCTCTTAAAAGGGGACTGCTGTGTTGCTCTTCATGGGCTCTCACATGGTTCAACATTAAGGATTCGTATCTCTCTGATGTAATGGTTCACTGCGGCTATCATTCCTCACTTGTCTAAGCAGGGAGACACTGACATTGACAAAATCGTTGACACATTTAGGCTGGCATTGCATTTTAATTACCTCTTTTAATTCCCGGTGTATCACATTGTCTTGATTGTTAATGCACGAAGCTGCATAATTTATGATTTTTCCGTTAGACAAGACAGTTTGTTAATGCAGGCTTGTATCCTTCACCCTGAGCATTATACTTTGAGAACTGTGTAAGAAACCAAGACTTGTAATGAGTGCTTGTGAACAAAAAACTGGCCAAAGTATTCAATTAAAAATACTAATCTTTCATTTAATTTTTTTTTATGAAAGATCATACTGTGTATGTAGCGATTCATGGGATAAAATCGCTTATTATTTGTATGATAAATCTATCAAGTAATGTGTGCAAAAATTACATTATTTACAATGTATAGAAATCGTATATCAATTTTATCTTTGGGCCAATGGGACAACTGGAATAGAATTAACGGCACAGACAAATACAAATGAGATGGCACAAACAAGATAAAACATTCATGAAATCACAGGGGAGGTGAATAATCATTACATACCTACGATATACTAAGTATGTATATTGTCACGTTTGCTAAATCTCAAAATCTCAAACAGATTGTGTCAATGTAATAAAATATTCAGATGTCCACAATGAATTAGGCCTGCTTATAAAACATTAAATTGCTAAAAAAAAAATCGCAACTGTAGCAGCAACAATGGGGGTGGGAAAGAATGCCCTGGTTATATATTGAATGAAACTCGATTTGTATTATGATGGATAACAACGGTGGAACCAAGCCGCTCCCCTCTCCCACCCATACTTTTGACAGGGTTTTGCTGGAAGCAAGGGATCAAAAGGAGAAGTGAGTACAATTGCCACGCGACCTTTTTGAAACCAATTAACTGCACAAACAGAACCCACTTAACACCACGCTGTCGGGGTCTCATGCATGCAAAAAGGGGGGGCATTTAAATCGGTGAAACTAATTTGGCCACATTGCCAGGTGTCACGTTGCGCTGTGACTTGGCATGACAAATTACACAGACGCATTTGTTTACACGCAAGCTTTCCTCTCTCGGTCTCAGGAATTCAATGACTTGTGGCGCTTCTGACGTGCATTGTGCTTCGCTGCCTAGTCGCACGTCCTCACGACATACATATTTAATATGATGAATAATAACTTCAGTTATTTCCCCGTGGAAAAAAAAACAAAACTCACCCACTTATAAAACATACGAATAAAATGGACATTTGAATGGAGATAAAAAAAAATCTACATTAACGTTTCCAACTTTCACCAGTAACATTTTTGTTTATTGAAATGTATACATGTGATTAAAAAATATCAATCTAAATGAGAACCGTATGTGCGGAGAGCACCCAAGTTTATACAGGAGCGGCTCAGGGGTGATTCAAATTCATACTCTTTGGTTCTTTCGGTAAAGTCACGTAGGTGAAAAAATATAAATAAATCAATCACGACGTTTCGATTGCAACACAAGCAATCATCATCAGGTGTGATAACCACAGCAAGGATTTTTTTACTGAAGTAACCAAAAAAACAAAAAAATGTCCTTGCTGTGGTTATCACACCTGATGATGATTGCTTGTGTTGCAATCGAAAAGTCGTGATTGATTTATTTCTATTATTTTTTTCACCTACGTGACTTTACCGAAATAACCAAAGAGTATGGATCCTTGCAGTCACGAAAACTTCAAATCTAGAATGATTCAAATTCATTTATGCTGCATACTGATGGCAGGTGTGTGCATGCATTTAAATTCACGTAAAAAGAACAGTTTGCAACCGGTCTTCACGAATTCACATTGATCGCCACTATAAGTGGAAACAATGTTTAAAGCCTGGATTTTGGTGGTATTTATTATTATTCTTTGGCTCTTTTGGTAAAGTCACGTAGATAGAAATCATATTTTTAAAATATATATTTATTATTATTTTTTGATTATTGTTTCTATCTACGTGACTTTACCGAATGAACCAAAGAATCTGAATTCCTGCAGTCACGAAAGTTTTAAGTCAAAATGTATTTATTATTACAGTATATAACATCAGAGCCATGTGGCGCAAGTAACATATGCCCCGCTCTGTATATTAAGAGATTTTCAAGTACTCATTGGTTTTTTCGGTAAAGTCACGTATGTAGAAATACCATAATGTATGTAGAAATACCATAATATAATTTTATGGTATTTCTACATACGTGACTTTACCGAAAAAAACAATGAGTAATTTATGCAGGCACGAAAGCTTGAATTCTTTAGATTTTCAAGTATTTTACCACAGCCTTGACTGCTGCTAAGTGACATGGAAGTAGTTAAAAAAAGATCATATATGCAATATGAGACGCAATAATATATGGTCTCCCACAATATACTTAGCCTATCATCCTTCCCTCCTGGATTAATAATAATGAATTCCACTTAGTGCCATAGAGCAATGATGCTTCCACAGTGGTGTAATTGGTAGCATAATTGACTTGCAATCCGGAGGTCGTCGGTTCGATCCGCTCTCCTGTCCACCCAAGCAGTATAAATGTGTACACCACAACCCAGCCTGTGCAAGTCACGTGTGGTGGAGTAAAGTGTGGGCATAGTCCCACCACTTCAATGATGTGTGCCCAGCGTGAAGAGTGGGTCAAATACGATCTGGAAGTGCTTTCCGCATGTCCCGTAGAGTTACATGTGTAAGTACTGAGCGCAGTGCTGCTGATCTCAGTCGATCAATCAATCCTTAGTTTTACGTGCCAATACCGCGCTCGAGGAAGGAGGCATCAGTGCACATTGTAATGGAACGGGAACGGTACAGGGGGCAGAGAGCAACGCCCTCAGCGGCTAACCCTGACCAAGCAAAGTAGATTGCAACCGCGCGCAAGATAAAGTCAAGCCGTACACAAACGAACAACGTAAGAAAGGTTAAGCAGTGAATACAATCTAGATTTGAAGTATTTGTGACTGCAGGGATCCATACTCTTTGGTTCTTTCGGTAAAGTCACGTAGGTATAAAATATTTTATAAAATTTATTTTATAAAAATAAAATAAAATTTATTTTATAAAATATTTTATTTTATAAAAATAAAATAAAATTTATTTTATAAAATATTTTATACCTACGTGACTTTACCGAAAGAACCAAAGAGCATAGTACATACAAAAGAAGTCAAATAAATCAAAAGTAAAGGGACGGTCTTTATTTAAAATCTCATACATTTTCACGGGAAAGCTCGTCTGAATTGTACACCCCTTGAATCATCTGTCCTTCCTTGAACCCCGGCATGCGCGCTCGCCGCGGTTGCGTTGCCCGTGCAGGTCGGTGACCGTGGGGACGCGGGCGCACCAGGCAGAGCGGGCCACAGGGGGCGAGTGGGGCAGCCCGGGCTGCCGGGGCCCAGGGGAGTGGTGGGGGAGGAGGGAGAGTCGGGGGCCCCTGGTATCGCCGGCCGCCCAGGCCCCCTGGTAAGGCATGGAAATGGGGGTTGGGTGGGGTTGAACATTCTCTCCCTTCATTGGAGATGAACTCTGTGGATAATTCATAATAGAGGTTTTTTTTTGGGGGGGGGGGGTGTTAGATCGTGTAAATATCTAAATGTGTCGTTAAAGCCGCCACCACCCGACACAGCCAACTAGTAAGGGTTGTCAAGTACACAGAACGTGGCCAATTCGTCACTAGTACAGCACACCATTGTGTGTTGGAAAGCCAAGCCACAACATTTACAATCTGAGTACGACGTTTCGCCAGTAATTACAACTAGCTTCATCAGGCGACAGCCAGATATGTGAAGAAGTCCACCTGTTTCGTTCCTTATTTAGAGGCGTAGATGTGGTGACCACGCTTCTGCACTCTTGTGCAAAGTGGGGGGGGGGGGATAAAATTGGTCACGAAAGCCTACATGTCAAACTCTGTGGATAATGTGAACGACGCATAATGAACTTGAGTGAATGAATCGCTTCACCAGGTGTGGTGGACCACGCCTGAGATCCAGAAGCTTGGCGGAAGGGTGGGTGATAAGGTTGTCACCTCTGAGGTACAGACAATATCAGGGACAATTTTAGGAAAGACATATATCTCACAATAAGGGAAGCAACTGACAAACACCAGGAAGCTTTGATGTCCCGGTAAGACGTTTAATTTTCCCCAGGACAGCTTTCTCCACAAGAGGAGGATCTTTAGAAAACCAGGGCAGGTGGCAACCTTAGTGGATCACAGAGGGATGGGTTATATCTAGAACATTAACTTGCAGTGGAATGACTTGCCTCTATGAGGCAGCACAGTAAATGGGATTATTCTTTTAGAGTTACCCCTTTGCTTATTGCAAGTTTACTCTGGGCCCTTCAGTTTCCTCCCACATAACAAAGGAATAAAATCAGATTTACTCTCAACACAGAACCCTACTAATAGACCTGCAGAATTAAACTTTGCTCAGTAAAACAAACATTGTAAATAATGTTTCATCATGTGTCACTATGAAGAATGTACTGGCTATGATGTGTACATGGAATACGATACAGCATTGCTAAATATTTAAATCATCTTAGACAGTAGCTAACGATGTATCTTACATTTTTCCATTTGAACAGGGGAAACGGGCAAGTGAACTGCACATCCGTGAACTGTGCACCGACATGATAACAGGTGATTTAATTTTGAAAAATACTCCTTGCATTGTTACGTCATCTCGTATCTGATTCACCACATTGACAACTGCACAACTGTGCAAGACCAAATGTACATCGGCATCAACAGCCATTTTCTATCCACTGCTGCGGCGACGCGGCCCAGCTGCAGTGCTGTGTTCACTGCTTGTTACAGAGCTTCACGGTTCCATTAACACTGCGGTGTGCAATAACAATACTACCACCGACTAGCACTGCGGTGTGCCATAACAATACTACCACCGACTAACACTGCGGTGTGCCATAACAATCCTGCCACCGATTAACACTGCGGTGTGCAATAACAATACTACCACCGACTAACACTGCGGTGTGCAATAACAATACTACCACCGATTAACACTGCGGTGTGCAATAACAATACTACCACCGATTAACACTGCGGTGTGCAATAACAATACTACCAACCATTAACACTGCGGTGTACAATAACAATACTACCACCGATTAACACTGCGGTGTGCAATAACAATCCTGCCACCGACTTAACACTGCGGTGTGCAATAACAATACTGCCACCGATTAACACTGTGGTGTGCAATAACAATACTACCACCGATTAACACTGCGGTGTGCAATAACAATACTACCACCGATTAACACTGCGGTGTGCAATAACAATCCTGCCACCGATTAACACTGCGGTGTGCAATAACAATACTACCACCGATTAACACTGCGGTGTGCAATAACAATACTACTACCGATTAACACTGCGGTGTGCAATAACAATACTACCACCGATTAACACTGCGGTGTGCAATAACAATCCTGCCACCGATTAACACTGCGGTGTGCAATAACAATACTACCACCGATTAACACTGTGGTGTGCAATAACAATACTACCACCGACTAACACTGCGGTGTGCAATAACAATACTACCACCGATTAACACTGCGGTGTGCAATAACAATACTACCACCGATTAACACTGCGGTGTGCGATAACAATACTACCACCGATTAACACTGCGGTGTGCAATAACAATACTACCACCGATTAACACTGCGGTGTGCAATAACAATACTACCACCGATTAACACTGCGGTGTGCAATAACAATACTACCACCGATTAACACTGCGGTGTGCAATAACAATACTACCAACCATTAACACTGCGGTGTGCAATAACAATCCTGCCACCGACTAACACTGCGGTGTGCAATAACAATCCTGCCACCGCATGTCATCTGCTTCATAGTGGATGTTAATGATCCGCTGACGTTATTTGCAAGAGCAGGCCATTGTGTGCCAGATTCACAGGCAATATTTTTTTAAATTCAAAAATTACCCGCAACTTACTCAATTTGCGCTAGGCGTAGCGATCATCACCACCTACTGGCAGACTAATGCCCCAGGTTACTCTTGCAAATGCGACACCTATCTGTGGTCTCTTGACTTCTCACCTAGTTACACAAAATAAATTTGAGCCTTCCAGGCTGAAGGCCTCCCCATGCTACCACCATCCCTCATGGTCAATTGTACTCTTGCACATGATCTGATTTCATGTCTCCATTATCTGCATGGCATATTCCCTCCTTTAGCTGCCATTCCATCAGCAGTCTCCTCTATTCTTCGCATCTAGCGATGTGCTCTGCTCAAGCCCAATTAGTTTTTTTTAAGTACACAAGAAAAACATACACATGAAAGCAACCAATCAACTTACTGCACTACACTGTGTGTATATTAACACCACATTTGTGAGGCTGCGTCAGTGGGAAAGTCATGGGAATGTGTGATCTCCACCATGGTCAGGACAAACAATAAATATGACCACTCTCCAATTTAAAAACGAGTACTACAGTATATATTACATATTTTATTTAAACTTCGTGAATGTTCATATATTGAATTATATATACACACACACACATGCATGTCACATATATGCATACATATATGTAAAAGCCCTGGAACAATTCATCACTGAATGAGGGCCTGCCCATACCATGCGGTTGCAGACATTGGAGTCAGCACACATATGTCGGTGACCTCTATGGGGGGGGGGGGTATCTAAATTGGTGGGACACGGTAAGAGCACACCTTGGGGGGTCAGCCGTTGACTTTGCAGGAGCTGAAGACTCGAGCATAATAAAAGGAGTCATGGTTAGGCATGGTAGCATCAACGGCAGTGGCTGTGATGACCTACTGACCTTGACAATGTCAGCGGAATAAGCGTTTGTGTTGTTACACTTTCAGAACAGGTGAACCAGATTGCTCTCAGCATGCGGCGCCAGGGTCGGGGCAATACTCACCTCCCCGGCCCTCCAGGACCCCCGGGCCCTCCAGGGCCTCCGGGGGCCACTGGGCTGTTTGGCATGCAAGGGGTGCGTGGCCCTCAGGGATTTGAAGGATTCTACGGAGTCATGGGTGAAACTGGACCAAAAGGTCAGTGGATAACTGCATTGCTTCGTTTAGTCTATGTCCATGCAACAATATGTCCATGACGACTGCGCAGGTTTTCGTGGTTGTTCAGTCGAGCTCTGCGATTCGTTTCCAGGTTGTACCGTGTGTTGTTCAGCATCATGGCTGACGCTTCTCTGCACGAGTGAACTGAAGAGGTTCCGAGCATGTGGAGCGAAATATCAGACATCGTGCTGAAACAACCACGTGTGGTACAAGTCAAAGACACACTGGGGAGCTCACAAAATATATGGTTAATTTCAACGCTGTGATGTGTTTAATTAAATGTAGCATCGCTCATTTACCTGGGAATTGAGATTGTCTGTCCGTTTTGCAAGAAGGAGCTAGGTAATGTTAGCTGTGTCGTGACAATAATATATCAATGCCAGTATTTACATGTTCAAGAATATGCACTTCGCCTGGTGCACTGGACTATTCCTGTGAAAGATTTAATATTATTTTCTCCATCTGCTTTGAGAAGTTACTGCATTTTTAAAAAAAAATTCTGTGGATTGTACTTGGTTCCTAAAGCACTCAACCTTCAAATAATAACAATAACAACAATTACTTTAGTGTAAATTACAAAATTGGTTCACGTAACTATCAAAGTATGATTTTCAATGTTGTACTAAAGTACTTTAATTCCAATAAACTCTTAAAAATTAGGTCTCCCCGAAACAAAATACTATTTCATAAATAAAATGTAATTTGCAACGATACTAATGTATAATTTGTTTTATTGGGTGGCACCGCAGTGGCGAGATGTGAACTACCTCACCTGGTATACAGGAGGTTGTGAGTTCGATATCGACCCTGATGACGCCTGTATATGTGGAGTTTGCATGTTCTCCCTGTGGTTGCGTGGATTTTTCTCTGGATCCTCCGGGTTTCCCCTCCACATCTATAAATATGCGTTTAGAGTGTTTGGCGCTAAAAGATTTATACATGATAAGCCACTTCGTTGAGCTATCATTTTTGGCTAGGTCGCTTCTGAAAACGAGCTACATAGCTCATTGGGCCTTACCTGATACAATTAAAATAGTTTAGTTTCAGGGAAATGTGCTTACCTGCCAATGTGTAGAGTATCTCACACCAAGCATTTAGACAAACGGAAGGAGTCAAATTCAAGGCAATACTTGGTTCGTTATTGAGAGATGCTCCTGTTGCGTGTGATGTTCAGTGTCCGTCACAAACCCGGCTTGACAACTATGTTTTGCTGTTGTTTAGGTTTTCTTGGGGATAAAGGAGACAAGGGCTCTCAAGGGAGGGCTCTCTTGGGCTACATTGGTGTGCCAGGGCCAAAAGGTACAAGATCTTCCTTCCTAAATAACCTTGACATAAATCGTTCAACTGGGATATACATCGTATTGCTGGTATGTGTTCATATTGTGTATTTAATTACGGCGTCAAATGTTTTAGTTTTGAGGTGGGCCAGTGGCTCATGGGTCAGATATATATAGCTGGCACTGCTAACACCCTGGGTTCAAATCATGAGTATACTGGATTCACAAGTGTAGAAAGTTTCTAGTCTCAACCTGGTGGTCACCATCATCATGGGACCTCCTTTGCCAGTACCAAAATATGATTATAAGTTTTTCCCCTCTTTTCTGGCAACAAAACAGGTGTTACGATTTAAATTTCAATTTAAAGCTTTCGTGACTGCAAGGATTCATCTTCTTTGGTTCTTTCGGTAAAGTCACGTAGAATGAGAATAAAATAATAAATTGATAAAATAAAATAACACAATAATATTCTCACGACGTTTTGGCCACAACACAATCGGCCTTCATCAGGTGAAGGGACGAGACTGTCTGGTAGGACAGCGCTGGAGTGAAAAAGCCTTTTTCACTCCAGCGCTGTCCTATCACTCCAGCGCTGTCCTACCAGACAGTCTCGTCCCTTCACCTGATGAAGGCCGCTTGTGTTGTGGCCGAAACGTCGTGAGAATATTATTGTGTTATTTTATTTTATCAATTTATTATTTTATTCTCATTCTACGTGACTTTACCGAAAGAACCAAAGAAGAGGTGTTATGATGTTAAAACACCAAACTGAAACCTTTTACAAGAAATCATGTCTGCATTAACCAACATGCCTGTGGTCAGAATGCAAACAAAAAAACATACTCTGATAATATATGGATTGTCCTTGAAACATTGGTCCACACCAGAGACAGCTTTCTTTTGAGCCTCGTCTCAAACGGTGTTCGACCAGAGGACGCCAAAATGCATACAGCCCAATGACAACCGCACATGCAACTATCACATTTAGTTGTTGTTGACACTTAATGTGACAAAACAAAATAAAGGGGACAAACACCCAATTTGAAATCCTATCTGCAAGTTGACTCCACGAATTTGCTGCACGAATCCACCTATCCGTGGAACGGTTGTGCGGGATGGGTCAAACTGCAGATCATCATGGATAACAGAAGTGTTCACAGACTCTATAGGTCCTGTGGATAATTGAAGTCATAGGTAATGGGGTGTTGGAAAAGAAGAGTTTTACTGTCCAGGTATTTTTTTTTTACGTATGTAATAATTTGTACTCGCAGGTATACCTGGTCCGTCTGGGGAGAGTCGACCTGGGACGGACGGGTCTCACGGGGATTGGGGGTTGCCGGGCTCTGCTGGCCGGCCTGGTTCCACGGGGGCCGTGGGCTCTCCTGGGGTCTGCGACAACTCGGGGTGCATCCCACAGGCGCCACCGCACATCGTCATGGGCAAACTTGGCAGCGTGAAGGGGCCTGGAGGCACGGGGCCCTAGAGACACGGCCACCACCAGCATCATCAACTGGCTTTGTATGAAGGGAATGCGCTTTTCACTTGAATACAAATGGATTACGAGTGACAACAGCAAGTGGCTGCAATTTACCAATAAGTGCCGGTGATGCCCCACGGTGCTTATGCCAGGATAGCTATACTTTGAAGCCAAATGCAAAAGAAAAGGTCACCAACATGAGTACAGAGACACAAATAGATGTTATTGAATAACTAACGGAGGTTACTGGCAAATACATTATCGGCGCTCCCTGCTGTGTCAGCTTGCTGTGTAGTAGCTAGTAACTACTATTTTTATTTTTTTACCAGGAAATGTCCACTGAGCTATGTAGCTATTTTTTAGAAGCGACCTGGCCACAAATGATAGTTCAATGAAGTGGCTTATCACGTGGAAATTTATCACAGCCAAATACGCTCAGCGCACGTTTCTAAATGTGGAGGGGGGGAAAAAAAACATCCAGAGGATTCGAGGATAATGCAAGCGACTACGGAGTGAACATGCAAACTCCAAATATCCATCAGGTGTCAGAAACTTCTCGACACCCGTCATTGCTTGTGAGCATTGCTCCCCTGCCTCCTGTTACTACATAATAGCTTTTGCAAACTACCCGGTAGCATCTGTCATAAATCACCTCCACAGAAGCCTTTTCTCTGACACTGCTGGTACCAGCCAGTGGAAAGGCCACTTGAGCTCTAGGGTTTGTACAAAACGTGTTTTATTTTAAGAATATTAAAACAAACTTCTCTCTACTAGATTTGTAATTATGAATAGCACAACATATATGTAGTTTATTTGTAGCAATCATTAGTGAAACTAACAAAAACGTGTTTGTGTGTGTGTGTGCATAATTAACACTCCTGGTGAACGTTCATACCTTCTCAATTTCAACAAATCAGTATACAATGATACTTTCTGAATTATATAAAGATTCAAATTGAATTGCCATTCGCATTTGCAAACAAAAGTCACGTGAACGTATCCTGAATTTCTATTACTGATAACGTAACACATTGAGGGGGACTTTGGAAAGTTAGGTGAACACTTAGAAACAGAATTACAATTTGACGCATTATACATAAACGAGCTGATGGTTATATACTATGCTGTATTTATTATTTAAAGTATAGAACAGCTCATAAGAAAACACATTACTGCTTTGTTCACGATTAGTTTGAGCCTTTAGGTGTCACAGATGGAGTGGTAGTGTATTGCTGTGACCGTGTTTTGCATTGAACTGTAGTGGATGCTTCATGGGATGTCGTGCGGGTTTTCAATAAAGATTATCTTTTATACAACCAAACGTTCATTGCGATGCATTCACCTTTTTTATGACGTCACTGAAGCAACCACAAATTATATGTCTACATTGTAAACACATTGATTATGCCATGACATGTATGTGTCTTGTGATCAGGTTGCAAATTCGTCTCGCAGTCAGGGGTCCCCTCAGTTCTTTTAATTCTTCCAGGGTTAATACAATGAGTATTACCACCTTGTGAGGGCTAAACATTGCTTGTCCTGTGAAGAGCTCGTCTGAACCCACCATAGGAATGTGAAGTTTGCACCACTCACTCAGGACTATAAATAACAGATAAGCACAGCCCAATACTCATTTGAATGATAAATTAATTTGACTTTTTGGAGATCAGTGGAAATAAGCTGATGCTGGAATGAATAATTTAATCCTCGTTTTGCTCTTCAGGGTAATTGAGTAAGGCGGCAGAACAAGTGCTCACAAGTACATGTCCAGGCTGCAGGTCTTTGAAGACATATCCTGGCCTGCACCATGGAAGCTTGAGACTGCTTACTGAGCCAAAGCTCAATGTTCACACCAATGGCATCACCTCCTGATTATATCATATCAGCCAAAATGACAAACAATTAAGGAACTCGTATAACATTGGCGTTCTTGGGTGTTTGCAGCTGCATTGCTGATTTCGGAGCCTGCACTCGTTCTCTGGAACGTCGATGTTTGTTTGTCTTTGCGCTTTGTTGTTGCCGCTGAGCTCACGCACCACGGATGTCACGTGTAACATTGCCGGGGGAACTGGCGAAACGGGATCATGCGGGTAACAAATAAAATAAAATCAAACTCAATTATTATTACTTTGCCAATTGCATTGTTTAAATAAAGTGCTCACTAGCATACAGTCGTGTATGTTGACTTCAAATGATAGCCATAATGTGGGAGCGTGACTGCCACCGTTTAGGGGATAGTTGCTGAGGAGTAAACCGAAGCGTAAATGGTCTCCATGCTCAGGCAATAGGCGTTACTTTATTTCCCATGACACCCTTGAGAAAGTAGTGAAAATTCCACATTTCTATGTCAGGGGTTGTTATCTCTAAAGGGCAACCAATGCTGTAGAAAGATCTGATATGAATCACCGTGAGTGGCTCTCGAAATGGAGGCGGAAAGTCGATTTTAATGGGGTCTAAATAATACAAGAGGGTGGATAGCCAGCAGCTGTGAGGTTATGGATTTCTCTTTAATAGCAAAGCACATTTTGCAAGCAATGTTGCTTCGTGGGAATTCCAACTTATTCTAAACGGATGTGTTAAAATGTATTTTCAAACATTTAAATAACACAACGGATTTATATACCCTTGCACATTCTGAGAGAATATTAGAATATGAGGAAGCATTGAGTTCTGCAAAAACTCATGTTGCCCATGGCCATAATCTTCTTATTATCAACCATCATCCGCAATTTCAATGATGGAATGATGTCCAATTACCTGCGCTTTTTTTCACAGATGAGTGGAGTCAAGTGGGGTAGTATGCTTATTAGCAGCTGATTGTCTTTTCCCCATGGACAAGTAGTGTAGATTGGCGAATAACCCCACGGATAATAGGATCCACAATATTGGTCCCATATCATGACGGATAATAGTTCTCCTGTACTACATTGCGCCCGGCATGGAAGCGTCTCTCACATTATCTCAGCTGGGACGGTAAACTGATACACCACATCATGCCTTTACCGTACTAGATTGCCATTGCCCATTGTTAAAGCCCCAAAAATAAGCGGTTAACTTTGCAGAGTAGGCCGAGGCTCGCTTACCTGTATGACATTCCTGGTTTAGACAGTATTAGATTTGGTGTTTTGTGAACCACAATACCATGTTGATCGCGTCAAGGATCATAAACCATCACACAAACTCCGGTCACTCTCGCAGCGGATTTTGGCGAGTAATCAGACAAAGACGAACACTGCATCGCACACTTTTAGACGTGCTTCTGCAGCCGTCTGGAACGCTCTTCATTCCGATATTAAGAAGCCACTGGAACAATGCACTTTTACATGTCGATTGAAATCTCAATTTCTTTAAAACTGCTTTTTTTGTGTATAGTTTGTCGTCCTTTCCCCAAACCTCCGATTAGTACGGTTGGCGACGTACGGTGCAAAATAAGTTAAATATATATGCATTGTGCCCCACGGGCGTGCCACTGCATGGAGAGGGATGACATGCACCAAGATAAATGTGGGTCTAAGATGGCAGGGGCGAGCTGTACCCGCCCGAAGCAGCAGGGCGTCGTTGATTAAAAATTCCAATCCGTCTTCAGTCGGGCATAACTGTTGAATGTGCCTTTGTTAAAGCACAGCTCATTCTATGGATTAACAGTACTGAGAGGAGGAATTGTGTCTTGACAAGGTGACACGGCCTCACGTTGCAAACAAGCTGTGCACACATTGGACGAACACTGTTTTAAAATGTGTTCACCGCGTACCCATACCACGATATGTATGCTGAATATTGCTACTGATTGTATTGCAGCTGAAATTTCAGCAAACAAGGATAAGTGTTTGATTTGTTAACGAACACTCCACTGTATTTTAGAAAGCAGTGTTAAGACTGGCCAGGTGGCTCAGCTGTGGAGTAAACAGCTCGCAAACGGAAGGCTGCAAGTTCAAAACCTGGTTGGTTGGTTGGCTTGACCCATCATCCCGCTGTACTCAATTCAATGAGTGCCGCTTTGTGGGAGACGTTAACATTTTGTGCTTCATCTTCTTTGGTTCTTTCGGTAAAGTCACGTAGAATGAGAATAAAATAATAAATTGATAAAATAAATAACACAATAATATTCTCACGACGTTTCGGCCACAACACAAGCGGCCTTCATCAGGTGAAGGGACGAGATGAAGGCCGCTTGTGTTGTGGCCGAAACGTCGTGAGAATATTATTGTGTTATTTTATTTTGTCAATTTATTATTTTATTCTCATTCTACGTGACTTTACCGAAAGAACCAAAGAAGATGAATCATTGCAGTCACGAAAGCTTTAAATCGAAATTTTGTGCTTCATTTAGAAACCCCCCCGCCATATGAATGTCCACCACTGGCTTATGGGATGTGAGCGGATGAGCACCGCCGCAATGCTCATTAGAATAAGGCATCACTTTGACTCTTTTGGCTGTGTTTAAATAAGTACAACTATGTAAGCTAGCCTATATTTTGTAAAAGTGTATTCGTTGAAAAACAGTAGTCACGTCTTTTTTTCTTTGTTGCCAACTGTTTCCAGCACAGTAGTTTCTGAGAGATCATGCATATCTATCAGTACTTGTGTGATGTATGTTCTCATTTGAGTCATTGCAAAACTTACATTAAGAACAGTTTATTTTTATTTTACAGTCATTGCAGAAATTATTAAACCGTAAAATGTCGGTCTAATGTAAAATTGGCCACGCAACTATGGTCATTCATTTTTCAATTTCATCAGCCACATTTCCAATAGCTCATGGTTGTCTAAGCAGATGAAATCTTGGGCAAGCTTAATTATCTGGTCTTGGATATGTCAGCCCAATGTGTAAAAAAACTGCAGGGAGTCAAAAGCCACGTAGCTTTGTGGTGGAGTAAAGTGTGAGCAGTCTTTGTCCAATGTGCCAGTTGCAGCTAGCTTTAATACATGTAAAGAAGGCACACTGCTCTTTATATGACGCCTAATGTTTCTTGATGTTTCAACAAGTAGCCAGCTATTGCCGCAGTAATTTTCAAGTCTGGTGTTTTGTATTTGATGGGTCTCTTTCTTAAAGGCGTATACCACCATCTTCTGGTGAAGAGTAGAGATTTTCCAGAGAGCACTATGAAGTAACAGAATGAAGGTGAGTACATTGGATCTAATACCGCAGTAAAACCAATCTCGACACAGTTGTGGTCCCTTCGCATGAATAATTTGAATGCTAGTGGAAACGCTGAGTAGCAATTTGTCGCTTTAGAAATCTGTAGAAGCATGCTAATAATTGATTTGCTTGTTGTTACTGTTGTGATTGTTGAGCAACATAACGCCACGGATTCACAACTGGGATCTGACCAAGTAACATTGTTATTTTGGATTAAAACAGTTGATCTGAACTTTTACCTTTCGATGTCATTTTGACCTTACAGAAATTCGTATTTTCAGTTGTATGCAAGGTTTATTTATTTTTTGCGATTTTTTTAGAGGCTGTTCTGAGTACAAGACGGCCATTCCGTATTTTATTTTGAATTAAAAAAAATCCAACTGATTAAAAAACTGTGGCTTAAATTTACTTAGTTTTTAAATGCATGAGTGGAGATTACAATAAGTTAATTAACTACAGCGGTATGGTCAGAGTAGCATAATTCATGGTCTGTTATTACCGATGTTACACAATCCAGGCTGATTATAGCCATATCGCTGTTGCAGTACCAAGGAGAGTGTGAGTTTAAGTATCAGCTTCGGTCAACTAAGCCCAATCATCCTGCTAGAATAACCAGAATTTAACACCACTTAATGGAGCATGCACAATGGTTGTATTGTGGAGAGACTGGTCCCTGTCATTAGGGCAGAAGAACTTCCACCACTGGCCCTGGTCCAATTAATTGATACGAGCAGATCTCAAAATAAATTTGTTGTATATGAGCACACTGTGATCTGAAAAAAAAAACGTTTCTGAAAATATGAACCTCACATTTGACCTATTAAGGCATACAAAGTAACGACCCATGGCACGTGCAATATTTGAAGATAAATTTTAAAAAGCACACCTGAACACATCAAAGTTTTATGAAAAATACACGTAAAAATACAAAATGCATAAACTTAACAATATTATTGATCGAAATAATTAAAACATACTTTGAATAGCACCATTTCAAATGTTTTACACAAAAGTACGTGTTACTTGTGGCAACTAACTTGGAATATGGAACACGTAAAACAATGATAACAGTAACAACGTATGAATACGGTGCGAAATGTTAATGCTAAAGCATGCAAAGCACAATAAATACTGCATATCTTTTACATTTCAATGGACAGATTTCTGGAAACCGTCAGACGTGTGCACTGACGGCTCAGCCGCTCATGCCTAACCCCCAACTCGAATTCATAAATTACAGGGCATCCAATAAGCAAATAACTGTTCATGATTTGTTGAGAGATTAGAAACTCATTTCTTTAGAACTGCTTTTTGTGTTTAGTCTGTTGTCCTTCCCCTCCCCCCTTTCGTGCGCGGTTGGCTACGTACGGCGGGGAAGAAGTTCAACACACGCACAAAATAGTTTTCACAGTGATCTAAAAAAAAATGCACACCGCTCTCAAGTCCCATCTTCTCGGCGTTAATCTGGGATACGTTTGATTTATTCCACGATCTTGTCACGCTCGCGTAGGATTTATAGTACACTGGCATATGGCATCAGCTGTCTTGAATGGTCCATTTAAAATGACACGTGTGGAGTTAAGTGAGCCACAGGACAATTGGTACACTCATAAGTGTGACAATATTCATGGCTGTGGAATGACATGTACATGTGTTCGGGCATGTATCATGAAGGCAAAAGCGAATTGGCATTTCACACCGTAATCAAATGAACTTAACAGTGATTTTTTTTATTTAAAGCTTTCGTGACTGCAGTAATTCATATGCTTGGTTCTTTCGGTAAAGTCACGTTGAAGGGAAACAATAAAATAATATATATAAAACAATAAAATTCTCACGACGTTTCGACTGTAACACAGTCATCATCAGGTGTGAAAACCAACGGCAAGAAACATCGTGAGAATTGTATTGTTTTATATATATTTTATTATTTTATTGTTTCCCTTCAACGCGACTTTACCGAAAGAACCAAGAATATTAACAGTGATTGTTGTAATACCTTTCCCTTCCCTGCCTATTGACATTGTGTTTGGTTAAGCCATGCCGAGCACAAAGAGGCACGTTAAGTGGAACATTCTGTGATCAGATGGAGGGAAAATTCCCGTGGCACATTTTGTTCCCTTCGATCTTGGACCTGTTCAAAAGCGATGATTTGGTTTAAGTGCGGTCGCAAATTGTGGATCAGACAAGACTTGAAATCCGATAGAGAAAGGGAGCCTCACACAATGTGTGCCTTTTTCTTTATACCATACTTAGTTGGGATTTGAACAACGCGCGAGTGTGTGACATTAAAGGCTGAAAGAGACACTTTGGTTACGTGACTTCACGTCAATATAAAAAGGGGTAGAAATAAATGTATCGATATTCAATGAAGTTAATGTGTTAACGGAATGTCAGTTTTACGCCAAAAAATTGCATAAAAGTGTCATTTTCTGCCAATCGGTCACTTTCTCATCATAGATCAGTGAAAAATTCGATTATACCAACACTTTAACCAAGTGCTTACTCTAGTCGTTGCATGGCTTAAGGGGGCAGCTCAAGATGCAGTGAGTTCAGGATTTTTTTTACGTCTTGCACAGAAACAAACACACTATTTTACCTGATGATGGGTAATTGTTGCCATGTGTGCTTACTCGCACGGAGTACATGAGTAGTGAACCGGGAACAGGCTTCAAAATAAGCCCAACATTAGCTTGTTGTGACTCTTTAGTGTCGTGTTCTCAAAAACGTTTGGACTGCAATTCACAAGCATATGTGTGTGAACTGCGAAGAACAATATTTAAAGAGAGAAGCCTTAACGAAAACAAAACGTGAAATAATCAAATAAGTCATGATAGACAAAGCGATGGACAGCAAGAAATGTAATATCTTGAAAGTAGCACAATTAAATGCTCGCCATTTCAGATTATAACGCATGATTATATGAGCATAGGGGGGTTTTGTATTGTGTTGTTTTAACTACAGAACTGAAACTGTAGGTCAAAGATCAAACAGAATATAACCCAAGACAACACTTGTTAGCACACGTTTCATTTGTCATCGAAGTTTATATTAGAAAGCACCAAAGCGGACAAGTAATGCTAACACCGTGAATGAAATAATATTGTTTCACAATGTAAAGGTGGTCACCGTACGTAAGGCACTGCGGCCATTCGTTCAGCAATTGCACAATTTGCTTTGGTGTATTTCTGCACGGAATGAAAATGCGTTGCACAATGGGGGGCTCAAGGTGCAACGCTTCCCATGGTGTCTCAGTCTGCCTCTTGTGCAAGATTGAATAACGATGATGACGATGACAACAAACCCCATTCAAATATAAGAAGCGTGACAATTTTAGGAAGCGCTGTTTATATCTATGTAATTTCGACTAATGTGAGCAACTGCCAAATGGGTTAAAATCAAGAGCTTAACAAGCATGTTAAAACGTATTTCGTAGATATTTGTTATATTTACATTATTCCCTGCTCTTGTTTTTTTAAACATAATGCTTAATAGTATTGCCACAACATAAGTATGAAGTCAAATGCTTTTTGAATCACTACCGTTGTTAAATTCTAACTTAATCCATGGACACAATTGTAAAAAAAAAAAGTGTTTATCAGACATTCCCTTACGAGGCCTATAACATACAAAGTGGTCTACTAGAAATGTTAAAGTATCAGAATATATATAAAAATACTGAATATAAAACATATAAAGGAATGTGTTGTATGTATGTTGAACAAAGCCAAAATGACTACTGCTCACTTGAGGGGACGCCTTTGGTGAAGTTAATTTGTCCATACTTACCAAATGCACTCTCTCCTTCAACTCAAGAGCTTGACTTATCAGGACACAGATGTAGATACTGTTGAGCGTGTGACATTGTGATGTGTTCTATGATGGAATGGAGTCATAAGAGCTCGCAATAACACATTTTCAGACCTACTTAAATAATGGCGAGAATGCGTCCAGAGATAGCCATCGATAATAGTTCCATGTGCTGTTACGGCATTATTTGTCTTTATCGTAAACCCTACCAAGAATTACTTTTAAATGTTAATCTATACTTAAGATGAAAATGTACAGATTTTAAATAAATGTCAATTAAGTTTTTTTTTTAAAGAATGTTCTTGTTATAATATAATCCAACAATATTACCATTTGTATGAACTGCCCACTTCACTTGCTTCATCTCTATCAGAAAGTCAACGGCCACTTTTAGCGAATGGCTGCAGAGCGACACATACCAAGTTGAAAAGTGATATCTTAAATCTTGCCTACACACGGTGACATCCCCGAATAAACTCCGCACAGAAACTCCCTTCGGACCTACATATTTGTACAGGCTCTGGTGCAAGTGGTTAAGCATGAGATAGTTGATATGATGTCTTAACTACTGTACAGGGGAAACAAAGAGACAACTAAAATCAATGTGTGGTCTGGTGTAAACGACCCAGGCACCCAGGAACATGGATCTTTTTACTTCAAGACTGGGCTAGCACACCATGAGTTCACTTTGAAAAAGGTCTCCAGTCAAAGACTATAGTGCGTTATTTTAGTAGCATTTTCCAAATAAATGTTAGATGAGCAGTGATTGAACATGTATTTGCATGTTGAACATCATGTCTGCCTTATTCTTTGTCATACTCACATCATAGTATTTACTCTAAGGCGAAATAATGTAATGCACATTAGTTTTAGAAAGACATTTAATTTTGCCTCCAAATGATGATTAAGTTTTTCCTACACCAACTATAAAGAAATGCTCTCTCCAGCGCAAGTCGCAATCCTCTATAAACCCTATCTTTCTCTGCTCTGATGTAAAGCCACTGAGAGAATTACATGAACTTATTACATATTTTATCCAAGTAAAAAGGCAGCTTTAATAGTATGCATAGTAAGTGTATCATTTCTATATATTGAGACAAAATTATCTAAGCAGAAACTGAACTTAAAATGATCGCCACACTGCAAACTGATAACTGAAGGGGTACTATGAAGCTGTAATGAAATCTGTCGACAGCGTGCCCTGCTAACTCAACCCCTGGCCTGAAAGTGTGGCCTTCGCCTATGTTCCTTGCTCTGCTGATGATGCCGTGGTCCCATTCGACCGAGCTCAAGGTCCCTTCACGTTCTTCTGAGACATGCCCATGTCCACGTGGCCCCCGTGGTGGAAGCACTGATGGGGGGCACACTGCCCGTCGCGGCCAGGGGGCCCTTTAGAACCTGTCGCCCCAGGGACCCCCGGGTTGCCTTGAGGCCCCATGGAGCCAGGCTCTCCACTTTTTCCGTAGCCTGGAGGCCCTGCTGGACCTGAAATTATAAGGCAGAGACACCAGCCGTGAGTACCCACGCGCTGGCCCCATAGAAAATATACATTCTCAACGTGTGTTTGTTGCTCATTGACCACCGGCACCATCACCATGATCACAACCACCAGCAACACATCACCATCACCACCATTACCAACAACATCACCACCATCAGCAACACCAAACAAAGACAAATATCCTCGACAGACTGTTAGGGCAACTGCTTTTGGTGATCACATATGAAGGCCAGCACGGCACACAAGGGGGTGGGTGGCCAGCACCACGCCCGACTGTGTTGATTTTCCTAGTCGCAATATTTTCACCACACCAGGTCCAGGTCATCATTTGAGGCAGAGTCGACCTAGGGAAGGCCAACAATCGGTTCAGAGAATCGTCACCGGTGTCAGCCATGAGTGGGAATTGAGCTACTGTCACCGGGTTTATAGCGCAGTGCGCAAACCGCTGCACCACCACTTTGATGGCGGCACAGACATGTACTACCACCACTAGCCCCACGTGGGAATCCAAAATCGAAGTATGCCAAAAGTGTACCGATTGAAAGCGTGAACAGCATATTACCATTGTAAGATGAATTGGCAAACACACACAGATGCAGTAATGTTGCATGTAACATTATTCATGTATTACTGATTGAATCACACCCTTGATATGCTTCTGTTTCAACAGTAACATCTCATATGACTAATTAATTCAACTTCTGCCTTACCAGGTGGCCCAGCAGGGCCCGGTTCTCCAATGATGCTCTGTCCAGGTGACCCCCTTTCTCCATTCGTACCTGGTTCACCTGTTGGAGGTACGATTTTTGTTTCATTGTGCATGGCATTTTGTACTTCGCACCTCCGATAAGCGCGGTTGGCTATGTATGGCGTGAAAGAAATTAAAAATACATACAAATCGCGATTACATTTGGGATTAATGCCATTCTCATAACGCAATGCATACGAAAGAGGCATTGTGTTTCACAGACAACTGACAATCTGCAATAGCTTTACAGCAGGGCGCATGTTTGAAGTGGCTTTTCCAAATTCGCCAAACTTGGACACGCACACACAAAAAAAGACAGAGATCCCCCGTATAGCCTTAAGAGACTGTAGGGGCAAGTGCTGTTAGTGAGCACCTACAAAGGCCGGCATGGCAGACGAGGGGGTGGGTGACCAACACCACGTCCGGCCGCCTTTGACTCCCCAGTGGCGTTGCTTACCTCATCGCACCGGGTACTCATTTGAGGCTGAGTCGACCTAGAGGAGGCCCAGGACCGGTTTAGATAATCGTCACTGGTGTTGGTCGTGAGCGGGAATCGAACCCGGGACGCCAGTTTCGTAGCGCAGCGCGCTAACCACTAAACTACCGCTCCCCAACACACACACACACACGCGTGCGGTCTAATCGTTTTTGAAGAGCGTCACATCGTTGGTCTCCAACCGGGAACCTTCACTACCACTCGCCAACATTGAGGCTGACACAAACACTGTGTGTAGATACTGTACATACGCTCAAGATACAGAAACCCAGGCAATTCACTCCGAGATCATACTCCCTGTGCCATAACCTTAATCCTCATGTTAATTATCATCATCATCATCAGTGCAGCTTCCAAATTACAATGTCCTTATGTGCTTTGACAAAAAATTTTGACGTGCATAACAACTAATTCGATTTGATATTTAATTGGACACTTAGCCTATCTTTCTTAATTCAAATGGAAATTGAAAAGCAACTGACACAAAGCATGATTGCTACGTGTTGAGTTTTATAAATCCATTTGAAAGCTTCAGAACTTGCTTAATATATAGGGCTTCGTACCTCCTGTGTTTGTGTATAAAAGGCAGTGGTCGGTTTACGTAAATAGCAGTGTGCACTTCACCACATTCACAAAAGGGTGGCTCTCTCATCATCCATTTGTGAAGGAGATAAGCACAGCTGCCGTGTGATACTCGAACGTAGTGAGGCGCATCCCAATAGCCATCTGTGCAGGCTGATGCCAGTTCATTCCCGTGTCGGGTTATAAACTGTGCAGAGCCTCAATAAAGGGATCACTTGATGATGTGCAACACAGGTGGGGACACTCATGATAATAAGGTCATACTCATTCCACACAAAGTACCTGCCACAAATGAACCACCATACCTTGCTGATCTCGTTAAGGAGTATAAACCATCATGCAAACTCTGGTCATCTTGGCTAGCCATCAAACAAAGACGGTCACTGCATCACGTGCTTTCAGATGCACTTCTGCGGCCATCTGGGACGCTCTTCCTTCCGATATGAGGAAGCCACTGGAGCTATGCACTTTTAAATCGAGATTGAAAACGCACTTCTTGAGAACTGCTTTTTGTGTTTAGTTTCTTGTCCTTCCGCCGCACCTCCGATTAGCGTGGTTGGCTACGGACAGTGCAAAATAAGTTCAACACACGCACACAATCTAGATTTGAAGCTTTCGTGACTGCAGGGATCCACAGTCTCTGGTTCTTTTGGTAAAGTCACGTCGGTACCTTTGTGTCCAGGAGGGCCTGGCCGCCCCTCTCTGCCAAAGGGGCCCTGAGGGCCGGGCATGCCGGGAGGTCCTGGCCGGCCAGCGTTGCCATCCTTGCCAGGGGAACCCGGGGGTCCGGGTCTCCCTGGAGATGGAGCCACGATGGGCGGTGCGGGGATGCGAGCCAGCAGCTGGTTTAGCCGGCCTGAGGGTAGGGACACACGGAGACTTAAGAGTCCCTTGGATGACAAGTGGTCACCACCACTCAGGAGACCGTGTGGTGTGGTCTGTTTGGCGATCGTTGAACATTTTCACAAGCACAACGTGGGCGGAAACAAAGTGTTGCGCGTGTTGTCGTGTTATTTAATTATATTATTGATTTGCATACACAGCACAATGGTGACATCACAAGGTGGTATCAATGTTGAAGTTGAAGGCAAGGGTATATTGTAGATATCATAAATTCACCAACCCGATCGTAAGTGGAGCTCCTGTCTCTTAGGCACTCGTGACTTAGGCAGGATCCAAAGCGAATCACGGGGGGTGGGGCAAGGAGGGAAGTTTGGTTTTGGGAGGTGCTCCGATGTAATATCAACTCAGAGGATTGGCGTCCACTACAAGTGGGTGATAACAATGAAGGGAACTGGATCCTAAATTATGCCTCGGTTTGGTTCAGCATAGAATATCTGGGATATTCTGATGCTGAAATGATGTATAACCTATTGGTCCGGTGAAACATTAATGGGCTGGTAAGATATTGACGGAGGCTCATGATTTTTTAGATATATGGTTGTAATGTATGGCTTTTAAAAGCGCTCAAATGTTGATAAAGCTTTTCCTCTAAGAGTTAACAGGTGTTTTTTTTTTCTCGCCAAGGGTTATTTCAGTTCTTCCATCAGCATAATTCCATAAGATGACGAGTCTGTCCATTTGGGGCACTCACAGGAGTAGCACAGGCAGCACATTCGTACAGAACAGCCTGTGGGAACGATGCTATTAGAGAACGACTTCTGCCACAGCAACAACTCAAACCCATCAAACCCATGTTGTCAGCAGTCCTGGCTGCGGTACTCTGACCCACGAGCCACCCATTCACCTCAAGAATCAACATTTCACTCCTTTAGGAGGAGCAGAAAGGGCATGGCGGATGAGAAAGACAAACCACGCATGCCGTGTACGCTTTTGAGCACTTAATAAAGTCGAATGTTCCATAACTGCAGGGGTGTAATGCTACAATGTTAGTAATTTTGTCTTATTTGAGGTTATTTGCAGCTGTGTCATGAACAATTTTTGCAATATTTTAATAAGACCCCCAATTGGCCACATTTGCAATAAAGTTAAGCATGGTGTGACCTGAACATTCCCACACTTAAATAGGTTCACAGCAAAATTAACGCATTACTTGTGAAATATCAGATGCTTTTATTGTGTTCGTAATTGCGGTTCTGCAAAGATCAACTGTTTTTTGCATAGTCTAAGAATCTGTGTAAAAAATGTGCACTCCTTCTCAGTCTAGGATGTTTGTCATGAAGTGTTCACGGTTATGTTAACTACCCGCTGTGTGTTGAGTTGGCAGGCACTTAAAACTTAAGAGGTATCTAAACAATTGTTAAAAATCCATCCATTTTGGTGAGAATAACCATATAAAACCTTACGTGTTATATAATAAACATGCTAGTTTTTTATGATGATTTTTTTCAGCATTACAATGATTGCCTTTTCCATATTTATTAATCAAATGCCACAAGTGAAACAACATCACTATTTAAATAGACGCAATTCGAAAAACTGGAAAAATAATCGCAGCAAATCATTTGTTCAAGTTCAATCAGTTCCCCTCAACGTTTCATCTGTCGTGCATATTTAGAGTGTACGAGTATTGAATAGTTTTTTTTGTTAATATGAAGCCAGACTTTTAATGGGTGCCATTTAGATTTTTTAGGAGAAACTACTGGACAGATAGTTAATGTGAATGAAAATCAAAAAAATATAATAACAGTAACATCAGGTCTCACGAGGGTTGAAGTGTCTATAACTTTTTCATAATAAAGGTTTTTGGGTTAGATCGCGTTATTTATAAATGTGTCGTAACCCTCCACCACCCAACATGGCCAATCAGCAAAAAAAATTGTCACGTTGACAAAAGACAATTAGTTCACTACTTTAGCCCACCGGTGTGCTGAAGAGTGAATCCACAACATTTACAGTTTGAATACGACGTTTCGCTGGTAATTACATCCAGCATCATCGGGCAATTCGCCAGAATGGTAAAGTCCTCACTTGCTCTCGGTCTTAAATAGAGCAGCAGGGTGACGTCATCATTTAACTCATTTCAGGTGCAGTGATTTGAGGCGGAGGGGGGGTATTGTAATTATATAATCTATTGGTAATCAGTCAATGGTTATGATTAGTAATGAGTTGTAGATTAGTAATTAGTTGTAATGTGTGTTATTGTGATTATATGCTATATTAGTAATCCGTTAATTAATGTTTCCCCTATAAGGAATTGTAAGATGTATTATTTAATAATACGCTTCCAAGCCGCTTTTGTCAACGTGACACTTTTTTTTGCTGATTGGCCGTGTTGGGTGGTGGAGGGTTACGACACATTTATAAATAACGCGATCTAACCCAAAAACCTTTATTATGAATATTGGTCACGAAAGCCTACGTGTTAAAGTGTCTATAACTGCACGGCAGAAAAACCTACCGTCAAGCTGCCTTGCAATTTCATCCACAATGAATCGCTTTATTTCATCAAACGATGGAGCTTCACCCTGGCAAAGATCATAGTTGAGAAGCGGGGGAGGAGGGGGGGGGCAGGGGAACCCAATGATGAACATGTCAATCACGTTTGAATGATACAGAATCCGTGAATAATTCGTATCCATTTACAGGTAATGCATAATTTACGTCACCCAATTTTATACCTGAATATAACCACATTTTTAATTCGACGTATAAAACATTGTACATCACACGTTTAGGACGTTTTTTTGTATGCTTTTTCATAACGTATTATTTTGGATATGTCTGTTGAACTCCTTTCGCACCATTCATAGCCAACTGCGCTAATCGGAGGTGTAATAGAGAGAGGATATGGATGCTCATGATGAATGATACGGATGATTTGCAATGTCAAGTGGTCTAACATGTATTGGAGAAGGTTGAAAAGTTTAAATAACATGTGAAAAAACAGAGGGCTACAAAGATCATAAAGATCACATGTATATCTCATTTACAATTATGACAAATGCCCAAGGTTTACTCATATTTTTTTATCCCTAATTTTATGCTGATCTTGTTATGTATCACATCATGAGATCACGTTTCCATTTGGATGTCGAGTTCAGCAATGCAACTCTTCTTGCTAGAGAATGGCGAATGCAAGTCGATATCACAGAGCTACTTTATGAGATCCCTTTAAGTGACCTCTGGTCCACGCAGTATGAGGGCAGCACTTTTTCACTCACTCCACATATGGGAGACATTGACAAAGGCTGATGATGACGATGATGAAATGTAAAATAATACACATTAAAATTGGCACACATATTGCAAAGCGAAGTCACAGAGTGGTCTACCACTGCGAGGGAAACGACAAAGGCAGCACCTGTGGTCCAGGACTGCCTGGTGTCCCTGCGGCCCCTGCTGGTCCTGGGAATCCTCTTTCTCCTGGAAGTCCCCTGGGTCCGCTCATGCCCTCAAAGCCCTTCCAACCAGAATTCCCAGGCAGTCCGGGCAATCCCCTTTCTCCAGATGTGCCCTTTACTCCTGCTACGCCTTGTTCACCCTGCACAATGAAAATGCACGCAACGTAAGCTCATTCACGCACGTAACCACATGAGCATAACCACACGTTTGCAAAATGGTCAAATGGAAAGGTGTTACCCTGTCATTTCTTGCTCACGCCACTGCTGGTATGGGGGACTCCACTAGACATAGCTATAAAAAGGCCCTATGGATGATACTTTGGCCTACTCTACTATGCTGGCCAGGCATCTTCGAAGAAGTGTAACTACCCTCGCTTTACCCCACTACAAGTGATCTTCCAAATTAGTAACTGCGGTGTATCCATATATGCTGTTGGGTGAACGTAGTTTAAGAAACGTGTCCCAGTGAAGCGCCGGGAGATCGAACCGGCGACCTCTAGATTGCAAGTCCAATGGTATTAACCGTGACACCATGGTGGCAGCATCACACACCGTAATCTGGGCACTATGTAGGCAGTTTTCGTGTACACGTTGTGTGTAAAGGCTAACTCGTAAGGCGGTAAGGCAGCATGTGAGAGCCACTACAGCCATTGGTTCTTTCACCTGACCTGTGTCAATGTTGGACACAGTATCTCCTCATATTGTGTGTGTTTTCTATGGGTATTCTGAGTCATTGCCAATGCAGAGTATGCATTAAGGTTATGGCTGAACATCCCGAGGAATGAAAATTACAGAAAATTAACGTTTGATTGTGAACCCCCCATCCACCCCCGAGCAAATGTTTGCAGTTGGATGCGAAATGAATAGAATGCGAGTGCCTCTTACAGGTAAGCGTGAGATGCTGTGTTTCGTAACATATATAGCGCACAACAACAACACCACGTGCATTGTGTCAATCAGGTGATACTGACCTGGTCTCCTTTAGACCCCTTTTCACCAGACTTTCCTGGTAAACCCTAAAAATAAAAACAACGAGAATATAACATACAAACAAATGCAACAAAAAAGTGCGCGCACTTTCCAATGCGAATCAGTAAAAAATAAAAATCATGACATCAATATCACGTGAGAGGTTGCGAAGATAATGTCGCGATTAGCATACAACGCATTTTTAATCATCAAACACACATCATTTGTCGAGTTTATTATTACAATAGAAATCACGAACACACTTGCTATCTGTGCCATTCTTCTGGTGCACGGCTATTACGGGGGGGGGGTGGGCGTTGCAGAGACGATGATAGTCTGCAGCTGTCTCACAGGAGGGGGGCGATGCTGCTATGAAGCGTCACCCAATTGGGTAATTTGCGAGTAATTTTTTTTCTCCCATTTTGTACCGGCACACTGGCACACATGGCCTACAAATTGTAAATGCCAATGCGGTTGTAATATTACAATGACAGGTGCTTCAAAAATAATATTTGACAGTCTAATCAAATACATTACCTCTTGTGAGAAAGATTTGGGTAAATGTAAATACCACGTTATATCGAGACAGCTACAATACATGTACTGTGACTTGTTTTTGTGGGTTGTATCCACATTTGGGATTTGGGCTATAATTGACCTATTTTTTTCAGGTGATGCATTTAATATATCTTTAAAGACCTAGCAGTAGTAGACGTCAACTGCACAAAATTAATGTTTTGAAAATGGCAGGAACTGAAATGTCGACTCCACCATAGAGTGACTCTGAGTAAAATGTACTGCCCATGATATCATTCAGCAGCTTAAACATAGATCAGGCTATGACTGTCATCACAACTTTAAAATACATGTGAGGGAAATTGTCATAATATAGGGTATTTATTTTCAGTATTAAATCTTTGGCATGTGGATCAATTTGCTAAATGTTACCTTGGTTAAATTTCTGAATAAAAATATTAATAAAAAAGCCCTTTAACATGACATTTCAAAATCAACAACGAAAATATGTTCATCGAATTGACAGCAAAGCACAATTGATCTTACATCTTTTCCTGCTTGACCATCAAAGCCGGCAGGGCCCTGTAAGAGAACACCATAGTATTATTAGCAAATACCTTTTGTGAAGATTAACTATTTTGGAAATGTGTGCATCTATTACGTGAATGTGTTCTTTAGAGTAAGGTCCACTGTGTCTACGTTCATACAGAATCAGAATCTTTATATATCCTGGAGAAATCCTATGATCAATTAAGTTCTTTTTCAACAGATGTCCATTAAAGGCAGGTCAGAAAGTTACTGTGGTGAGTGTCCTCTGTGAGTGGTGGTGAGTGTCTCAGTTACTCACTGGTTCTCCAGGTCTTCCTCTGGGACCAGGGAATCCAATGTCACCTGAAGATCCCTTTTCACCTTTTCCACCCTGCATTGGCAAAGCAAAATGCAGAAATCTGGACAAGAAATCTGCAATGCTGTTATTTTGTGTATAGGTTGGACGATGTATGAGAAAATAAAAAAAATACAATACATTAATTATATTCTGAATTCTGGTATATCATTTTGGGCATTGAAAGATTTTACTTTATTGGGATTGGTGGCATAGTGATTAGTGCAATTCCATAAAACTAACAAAACATGTTTTGTGATACTGCATTGACAGTGGTGCACAAGTACAAATAACACAAACTCAACAAATCGCTAAAAAGGACATTTTATATAACAGGCGACATTTTGACAAATTAGAATTCTTCATAGCACACTGATGGCAAATATCTCTCTGCTATGAAGAAGAGACAGTGCCGGAAACACTGGCTGGTATATATATATGTTTGATTCAAACCTTTGCACAACATCGTTAGAAACGAGCTTTATTTAAAATGGCCAGGGCCACCGCGATGTTAACGCAACCTTAACAACTCCATATATTACTTTTTTGCATGAATATCAGGACACAAATGTGACTGATTCATAATTGGTTTCTTTCTGGTTAGATCATGTAGGTATAATGTAAAATCTTAACTATAACCCTCCAACACCTGAAAAAATACAAGCTATCCCAGGAGAGCATAGCTCTTGTTAACACTCGAGAATCTTGGTTGTAATCGCCAGTAAAACGTAGTACCAAATTGGCAACATTAAGCTTGCTTTCGAGTGGTGGAGGGTTGAAGTTGAAACATTGACATTATACCTACACGACAATCTAACGCAAAACAACACAATTACAAATAATAATATTTGTTGTGAAAGCCTCCGCATAAAATTAACCAACCTATATTTGGAGGATACAAATGAGGCTTGGAACAGGCACCATTACTGCTGTTGGCCTTGCTTGTCTTTCTGCCCTCTGCTATGCTCACCTTAATATGTGCTCACAAACACTACGATTGTTCGTGCTAAGCGGGTATTACATAAAATAATATTTGTAGGATTTTCATGCCTATACAACAAGATGACCATATATGGAATGTTCAACTGAGTGGCACAGCAGGTTACAAAATGTTCAAAGATAGGTTAATTGAACAGACACCCAAAGATGCACTGTGGATTTGTGAATAGTACTATACCCTGCTAGAATACGTCATAGTCACCTTAACATGTGTATTCACAACTTAAAGGGTAAAGCCATTCAACTTGACATTGGCAAAAAGAATCCCATAGATAAAGGAGACTTCATGTTTCGGAAATGCTCTTGGCTGTGCAGAAACTGATGCCGGAAGCACAATTTGCAAAGGCCATGTGAAATTAAGTGTCCTCCACTTACAGATTCCCCAGATGGGCCAGGTGGCCCATTACTTCCAGATGGACCAACAGGGCCCTGTGTATAAGAAAGCAAACACAATTAATCAAACATTTTCCAAAACGTTTAGCACCATCAATTCTCACATTACAACCAGGCAATGGGCAAGACCAGAAATTGGTACCACCTAAGATGATGGGATTTCTGTGGTACACCATAAACACCACAGAATGGGGAGGTCTTGACGTATCATTCTATTGAAAAATTAGACATGTTTTTATATTGTCAATAAAATAGAATTATGTTATAACCTTTTCAATTACGTTGATTTTGAGTATATATTTATTGTTATTTAAACCCTTCAGCTCCGTCAGTTTAATTAACTCAGATGGTAATTCATATGTGAAATATATGGCCTGAGGCCATGGAATACAAATGAGTTTCAAACATATTTGAATGAATTGAATTTCATGAAATATATTAAATTAAAAGTACAATATAGAAACATTCTTAAAACAAGTAGAATATTTATTTTCATTCTTGTTAGTAAGTTATTATTGTTAAATAATTATATATATATTTTGCCCAGACTATGCAAATTAATGCATGGTTGTGTTTGCTGGTGATATTGAATCTCCTTTGTGCTATTTGAAATGACTGGACACGAGTCAAGGAGGCAGTTGATGAAACTCATGTTAACCTCCCATGCCAAGTTAATAGAATGAACGTGACAACTGGGATTTCAATCCCACCAACTACAGCGTTTGCTAGCCCCCTGTCTCATGTATTATAATTTCCCATTATGCTATGCACTGCACGTATGCATTGCATATTCTTACACCCACAATATATATCGTGCACATTTCAGTCTTCCAGTTTATACAATTCAATCAGAAAATAACAATAATATACTCAATAAAACAAAATCAATAATGCAAAATCAATAGTCTAATTATGTCCCAGAAACACGTTACGGAAGGGAATAAACAGCCTTCTGCAACTCTCACATTCAGCAGAGCCTATCCCTCACATCATGTCAGATAATGGCCCCCAGAAAATTACACCACAGAACTATGTCTGGAGTCACTTCAAGAGGCTTTTCTAACACTAGACTGGTACTCCTTTATGCTCACTGAAGCGTGGTCTTTTTCCAGTCAATCATCCAATATATTTATAGATTTGTATCGCTCGGGGCTGAAATATGTCAAATTTATTTAATGGCATGGTTATTTTTCTCTCTCACAGTAATTGGTGACCAGGCTGAGAATATCAACTATCCCCAGATTTCAGAACCTGTTTTTTTTTTAGTTCGCACTGGTAGCTGAAACATGGATTAAAATCCAGGTATTTGATGGATACTGCCTCAGCGCTATAGCATGGGCAATGGCCACCTGTGTCACTTTGGCGTCCTCTTGCAATTGTACAGTTTGAACGTTATTAAATCCATTACCGTCTCCCCTCTTGTGCCTGAAGGTCCCTGTGGCCCAGGGGGCCCTGGTCGTCCCTGCGGTGAAAAGAACAAAATATAAATCAATATCATTGGCTTAGACGTAAAATGATATATGAGACAAATTATACACCTGGTGTCTCCACTCCTGCCATTTTGTAGTTCGATGGGAAAAAAAAAATAATTGGTGCCATTTTGTTGTCAAAGGAATATCCGTCTGTGGCAGGGTAAGATTTCAAAGCTCCTGCTGTAAATATAAAATGAACATTGTGTCTGGAATCCTCATCTGATTGCATTCCAGACTGAGCACTTAAACTGTACGTTTATTAATTGTATTTCCCCTGTTATTCTGATTGTGCTATTGGCATAATGTTTTTTTTTTACGCAACTCAGAAGTTGCTCATTGGTTTTTTTCGGTAAAGTCACGTATGTAGAAATAACCATAAAATTGTATTAAAATAAATCAATCACGAGGTACAAGATAGCAAAAATACATATACATGGACACCAAGAGGCAAGAAGAGGAAAGACGGACAGAGAAGCAAGGAAAAGGGCCGGAGGGATGAACAGACAGAGGCTTAAAATAAGCAGTAGAGGTGGGGGGAGGGGCCCAAGAAAGCAGGGGGAGCAATAAGTTTAGGACAGAATTGTAAAGGTAATGTCCCCATATTTGTTCACTCTGCCTATGCTGGTATGTTCAACCCAGAGGATGAACACGAAATTTAGCACTCTTCTGAAATTCGTGGTCCGCCAGGCAAGTGTCTAACTGTGTCGTTGGCCGACTGGTTTTGCATCACGTGGTTTTTTCTTGGGTTTGTTGAATTCTCGTCTCTCATCTTCTTGTTGTATTTACCTCCGTGCAGTCTAACGCTCTCTATGTGTTGCGTTGATGTCACCCTATGTGCTCCCTCGCTGTTTGTTTTTTACACCTGATGAAGATCGCTTGTGTTGCGGTCAAAACGTCGTGATTGATTTATTTTAATATAATTTTATGGTATATCTATATACGTGACTTTACCGAAAAAACCAATGAGTAATTTATGCAGTCACGAAAGCTTTAATTCTTTATTAACTCAGAAGTTGGTTTATTTCTTCATATATTGGGTCCACTTCGTAAACCTCGTATCACAAGGATATGGATTGTTCATGAAGATCATTGGGAACAGACTAATTCACCATTTAGTGGTCAAGCAACCACATGAGAAATCTGATCTCGTATTTGTCAGTTATGACAACGCATTTGACTCAGTGGACATTGATATAATCATCCAAGTTCTCACAAATCAATGACTAAATTAAAAAAAACACATATTTAGAGATTATGAAAACCATCTATAAGCATGGAACAGCTGCACATCTTCTTCTTCTTCTTCGTCGCGTCTCCTGCCCAACCTCTATGGCCTTTGCCCAATATTCTGCACAAGTCACCGCTTCTGGTGTTGGCATTGCTGAATCTTGAAGCGTGCACTGTGATGCTGCAGGGCATCGCAGGACATGATCGATGGTTTGCTTCTCCTGACAAGCACATTGGTCGGTTGTGTAGAAGTCTCATGATTTCATGAGAGCTGTACTGACATTGCCTAAATAAAGTACCAATATACATCAGAAGAGGGGTCAGGCAAGGAGATACGCACTTTGCACAAGTTATCCAGAGTGATATTATAAGCTATTTTCTGATAATGTATTGAATAAATATTGATATAGATTTAGATGGAGAAAATATTCACCATCTCGGATTTGCCCATGAAATAGTTATACCAACGACGAGTGGAAATAGAATTACAGGAAATTGTTAAAAGTTGGGGTAAAGATGAATAGGGGAAAAGCTAAAACCGTGTACTTTTTTTGCAAAAAAAAAACAGATATTTGTTAGAGGAACACAACTGGAAAACATATCATGGTATGTATACCGAGGGCAGCTACAATTATGTACGGCTACCACTCAAAATCGCATAAATTAAACATAATTTTCCCATGAGAAATAAAGGAAATTGTTGGGGTTAGGGAGAACATGCTCCCGAACCTATTTCTTACGTCCACATATTTCACTAGTTACAGAAAATATTATATTTACAATCCTACCATACATGTATTAAATATAGTAACAGCTTATTCAAAGAAAGAAAAAAAATAAAGTAAAAAAAATGTGAAAAAAATTATGCTTACCAGACATTATTAGGCAAATGTGTGCACAAGACAGAGATCACGTGTTCAAGATCTTCACAATGGCGTGCGAGAAGGAGATGCTGATGCTGCCCGCGCCTGTGTTTGTTGTACTGCACCTCAGGGATTGCTACTGTAGTTTGCTTCCTGACTAACCATCAGCTCGCAGCGTGTTCCGTACACCATGGCCAACGCGTTGGGGCACGTTATTACAAAAAAATAGTGCGCGCACAACAAAAATAAGTGTAAATTAATCTAACGCGCTATTTCAAAATCGAATTACGTAAACATGCGTAAAACGCGAGGCGATTGTACCACACAAGCAAGGGCAGGTTGCAGTGCTTTTGAAAAAAAAAAAAAATGAATTTGATCGTAAAAAATAGTCAGTGCGCAATGTAAGGACACGTGGAGAGGTACCCGCCTGGAATTACACTGAGAGACAGCGAGGAGAACACACTGATCACAGAATAAATGCAAGTTGGTAATATCATATTGACCCTGAAGAAAAACAAGTGGGCTTGGGGTCAGAACACATCAATATAAGGGTCGACGGTTTGATGGTTGAGACTCACGACGGAGTAGCAGTTCAAAGAGGGAACACACGCGGAAGGATGACCACCTTAGAAATGGACTAATGAGATCAGCCCATGGGCAGGAGCTAGACGGGACTTGAGGTCTTCATACAGCAGTGGATAGAGCACAGGTGATGAATTATACCGCCGGCATTGGTAGTAAAAATGCATCTGTTGGCATTAAGCAGTCACAGGCCTTTGAGCAATATATGGTAGGTGACCAGCAGAATATAAGTATGCGTGAACGTGATTATCTTTCCAATAAGGTACAATATTTCTCATATCAATTAAATGACAGTAGACCACAGGGCTATTGGTCATGATAGAATTGCTCTTTAGAAGACCTTGTTAATACAAAGTTGATACATTAAATGGTATATCTGTCATGGTGCAGTCACTCCCCTGTGCATGAGCATCAATGTTGTTCACGTGTTTTGATGGATGGTTACATTAATGCTCTAAAGCAGAGGCTTTTAAACCAGTTACAAGCACATGCAGCTGTGCAAGAGAGTACAATTGGTTTGGAGAATTGATGTTGTCAGACTGTGCAGGGATCTTGAATTGTACAGAAAATGTTTCAGCATAGTGGAAAGAAATGCCATGAATAAAATGGGTTACACGTTTTAAGCTTTTAATTGTATAACACTTATGAATAAAAATGTGTTAAGAAACATTACGATTTAATATTACCCCATGTTGTGGGTGAATAATAATGTGTGTAGTAATACACACAAGTACACTGTTTTTCACTGGCGTATGTCCCAGTCATGCATTTACTGCCTGTACTAAATTACATTTTCCGAATACCAAATTACCCGGAATACATCCTATCTCGTGAATCCTGGCAATGAAGCAGACCTTGAGCACGAATAGTTATTGGATGGGTAACCACCATGCATGCCAGGTTGTCACAGGCCTTTTGGAGCTAAGTGATGGGCAGCAGAGGACAATGCAGGAACATCAATTATTGTACTGCACGCCTACGCTCCTACATCTATGCTGCCCACCTTCACCAATCCACACTGATCAGCATGGTGAAGTATGGGCAGCCGATTGACAACAGGGCTGTATTCGTGCATTACCTTATTTTCTTAATTAAAATAACGTCGCAATCACTTAAACTTCTCTACCCCCGATGAGCATGGTGGGTTACTTTCGGTGTGAAAAAAGTTCAACACACACACATACACATTTTCCTCTAAGTGACTTTAACGCGCATCTGTTCTGAGATGTAATGCAGTCCACGAGCACAGGACATGAATGATGCTGCCAAACTCACATCTGTCCCTGGAGGACCTTCTCGGCCAGTGATGCCCCTTACTCCAGGAGGTCCCTGCGTGGACAAAACACACATTCAGTTAATCAACTTACTACATGCTGTGGTGAAAGTATTGTGGGTAATTAAATAGATACATCAATCTCCATTCCTCTACGAGAAAATGAATTAACTTCCACTTGCTCACTTCCTCTCTATGTTGCACACCTATCGTTTTGTTTTATTGTATTGTTTGTTGTTGTTGTAGCTTGCTGATCTAGTTTCGTAGCTCATCAGAGCTTCGTAGCTCATCAGATTCCTCCGGTCTAAATAAAGATTCTGATTCGAATGCATTGGCTTGATGCCAGATAATGCTGTTGCAGTTTCACGCAAACACATATTTTCAGAGTTTTTTTTTTAATTATCGTTTCAGATCTTGTTTGGAATTTTGCAAGAATTAACGTTCAATAATGTATTATATCTTTGTCCTAACAAAGAAGACGTCGCCCATTGACACGTGGTAACGCTTTTGGCGGGAAAAGAACTGAAATTATGCTATAATTCGTGCTGTGACTTCTGGTGACGTCATGGTTCCGGATCAATACAAAGCTAAATATATTTTTTGGATCATTTAAAAGTTCGTAATGAGGACTGACTTTCTGATTTTCTGGATTAATCTTAAAATTGTGAACATATCCCTATGTTGTTGGACAATCTTGGTCGAGAAAGCCTACAAGTATGATGGATTGAAAAATATTTTATTCAAATAAAATACACCGTTCAATTTAGTTAACCTATATATAATAATAGTTATAACAATGTGATTTTATGCTATTGCCAGGGAATGGCTCACTGAGCCTTGAAAAACATTTTCAGCAGGGTCCTGCTTGCGATGTTTTGCCAATTGATTTGTTGTTATAGATTGATTCTAGCTCATCTTTACACTATTTTCAACAAAGACCATGAGCTCACATTGAAAATAAAGCAATACAAATTATGCAAAAATATAATTGCCATTTAATTAAAATGTTGCTTCTTTACAAAGGCTATTAACGAACGACAGTAATTTCGATTGCATATATTTAGCTGAATGTTTCTACCAGTCTACATAATCCATTTTATAGATTAAAAGCAAATGTTCCAAGTCTATTACAGAACCAACATTTTGACATATTTAAATATAAATTATATTCCTACAGTTTATTTCAGTAACACCCTTACAGGTATATTTTCTTTAATAATCCAATGTGATAATACGAAGAGTGGGTGGATTTTCCTATATGGCCTTGACACTTAATCTAATCCCGGTTACCCAAATCCAATTCATGCCACACACACCATTAGTGGCTGTTATTATCTGAAATTCACTCTGGGATAGTTGACTTTTTGCTCCAATGTAGCAGCCACAAGACCTTGATATAATCCACACTGCCACTTAAAAACATTGTGTGTTGGCCTTAAACAGATGTTCGCTAACAGCTCTTAACCGGATGATCTATACAGCAAAGGTAAATGGGAGATCTCTGTCCATGCGTATCCGTAAAGGACTAAAGGTCAACAAAGCTGCATAATGCCTACACATGAGGGTTTATGTGCGGAGTATATCCAATTACATTCCATCATTCATCGAATGCATCAGCAGATTCCCTGGTGCTCTCTGCAACACGCGGACCCTATTGTGAACTACAACACGACCCTAATGTGTAGCATTAGGTTTAATGACTAATAAAACACCATCATCGCCATCACTTACCATTGGGCCTGGCATTCCAGGTTCACCCTTGTGGCCTTTATAACCCTGTTGAAGAGGCAGAGCAATTTGTCAGGTCAGTGAACCTGCGAGGCACGTGATGGTAATTTCACACGATTTTTTTTTTTCCTTCGGAGCAAGGAACGTGTATACCCAGGATCGACTCCTGGGTATACCCAGGATCGACTCCTGGGTATACCCAGGATCGACTCCTGGGTATACCCAGGATCGACTCCTGGGTATACACTGCAATGACGAGTACCTTAAAGATGCAAAGTTGTATGAGTTGCATTGCGTATACACACACATATGAAGGCATAACTCACTTATACAGTAATTACATATATGTTGATTTAATTACATATATATGCTTTATTATTTCCATTATCTTCCGGTTAAAATAATACTCCAGGTTCAGCTTCCAATGACAAATGTTGGAATCTAAACCTCGAATCCCTGCCTAAGTTCACTCAAGATAAACAAATGACTGTATTCAGTGGTTAATATTAGGATTGGAGAGACAAAGGTAGCCGGTTATGATGGTAGCCAAACCGGCAACATCTGTACCATGCTGACCTTCAGTGCTCGCTGACAGCACTTGCCCTGACATTCTTTAATTATAATTGGATACTCGTTGTCTGCATGCACGCAGATATGCATCCATCCATGCTGCCGTTACACTCTTCTTCTGCCCCAATTATAGCAGATGGTTACACTCTTCGTAATGCAATTTCCAGATGGTAGTGGAAATCAAGCTACTGAATCCATACGTAATGGCTCTGTGGCAAGCTCACACACGGGCTCAGGCATTCAGCTGTGCAATAAAACCTGCATGGACGAAAATCAGGCTTCCACGCAGATATTGTTACTAAATTAAGGAGGCTTTTCAATGGGGAGGAAAACACCGGAGATCTGTTGCTGCACCAGGAGGATTTGCTTTGAGGCATGCAAGTGATAGGCTTGGTTGACACTTGGGAGCAGGTATTTGATCCATGAGCATAATGAGATGCAGGCCGTGACAGATGCTCCGAGAAGTGCGGCATTAAGAGAAAGTGGCCATGAGGGAACAAAAGGGCTCCTCAGTTTTGTGCTCTCCTCTTTAAAGATGCATGGTACAACTGGGTGGGGGGGGGGGGGGTGGTGGCACACTGCGAGAGTCTCTGCCATCAATGCTTTGGTGCCAACTCAAAAATGGGGTGGCACCCTTTTTTTTCTGCCATAGTTGTAAAACCGTGGACGGCTCTGTGGTATGTGCTGTTGACGTTCGAGACAAGATTCCTCTACCGGATATCCTTTGATGCCATCTTTCCCAGGAGCACCTGGGGCACCGGCAGGCCCCTGCAATATAAAACATGGGATATGATGAGAAGCGAGCGTGCACATTCGTGTAAGTTTAATCCGACTCTGCTAGTACATGGTTGCTTCACAACGTTATATAACACGGTATTGGTTCGGTATGGAACAGGGGCCCTTCTTGATGATGGAGTGTCCTTGGATATAACATCTGAAGAATGAAATGATACCACACCTGACTTTGCTTATGGGACCCAAAAGGTGAGAGTGGGTCCTGGGTTTTCTTATTTGAACAAATGCTGTCGGATGACATTCTTTTAGAAAGCCCATAGACAGATAAACTCAAATATTTATGCGTCGAGAAATAAGCCAAAGTCTGCTTGTACCATACCCATATCCATACTCCATGACCACAAATAGTTATTTATATTACAGACATATACGCTTGATACATATATACAGTACATCCATGAATCCTCAATGGATGTAGAAGGCGTATACGCATGGCCAATCTCTCCATAGCGCAGCCACTCTTGACGTCCCACAAAATGGTGCCAACTTTTTCACCTCCGGAAAAAAGATGACGGGTTGAGTCAATCCCAGGTGGGGATATGAACAAACACCATTACAATTCTGATCATAGCGTGCTAACTGCAATGCCACCAAGCCAGAGAGATACGAGAGTAGAATTCATTGCAGCTGTACCTTCTCTCCCGGAGGACCTTTTCTGCCATCAGCACCCTCTAGTCCAGGGGGACCCTGTACGAACAAAGTGCATTATTGATACATTCGGGACACACGACTATACACGTGCATATGTTTGGGCGGACGTGAATGCAGAAAATGGATAGATTAACTGACCTGAGCGCCTGGGAGCCCCGGAGGTCCTCTAGCTCCTGGAAAACCATCTTTGCCCTGACAAGAGCATGGAAACAAGCATCACCTCGGTGTGGCTCTCCGACGTGTGTCTGGGTTGTACCCTGCATGGCGTTCGACATGATGTCTGGTGTTTACGCCCCACGTGTTGAGAACTCCCTAAAAGAGCTGCTGCCGAAGCTCCCAGCACGCGGAGCGAAACGTCGGACGGACGTGCCAAACAACGCGTGCGGTTAAACCCGAACGAAACAAGCTTTGGAGAGTGGTACAGCACGACCGCGATAACCTCAGTGGTCACAATAAGCTGCAGCAGCCAGAAATTGATGCCAACAATTTCCCAAGCTCTGTGGTCTCCCAGTAAGGAGGGGGGGGGGGGGGGGCGATATTTGCTGTGTGTAATGCCAATTGAGTAATTTGCGGGTCATTTTTCAAATTTGAACCATGATGCCTGCACACAACGGCCTACTGCTGCGACTGACTTCACAGGATCTATAATGTCCACAGTTAAGAAGACAGAGCGTAGTAGTATTTTTAGGGTTATTACACCCACAGTATTCAATCGAGTGGCCGCTGGATTTGAACCATGAACCTCTGAAATGAGCAGCGGTCACGCTACCCCTCAACCACTTCACCGCCCCTTTACTTAAAGTTATAAATGCGTGCAGACATACACGTAGCACGGGATCGTACATATGTGTACCTATATGACATTGGTTTTAACCAGGTGATACAAACAACACACTGGGTTTCTAGAAATATGTCAAATGTGAATCACAGTTGCATGTTCTGTACAGATGTCACTGATACTGCATTCACAGAAACACAGTTGAAATGACTAATTAATTAACGGTGGTGTTAAGCTATGTTATTTTTCCAAACCTTTACCTTATCACCAGAAGTTCCGGAAGGTCCGACAATTCCTGCTTCCCCTTTAGCTCCCTGCAAAAACAGAATGTTTCATGTTTGTTAAAGCTATCGACCTCATACATTTACCATGACTAACTTCCATTCTCGCTGTAACATAGCTTTGGTGAGAATGTATCTCCTATGAGTCTATTAAGTGATAATACAAATTGGTTTGGAGAAATAAAGACATCAAGATGCAAGTCTTGCCCATCTCAGATTCGCTCATGACATATCACAAGTAATGGTAACGAAGACAAGGACATGATGGAAGAAATTAACAAAAGGACTGCAAAGTTGCGCAAAAGATAAAATGAGCAGACAAACAGTTATGGACAAAAGTTGTCGGAATAAAAATAAACATGGTGTCAGAGGGATTCAACTGGAAATGACAAAAGAGTTTGTATTTCTAGAGCAAATACTAAGTCCAGGATAAAAATGATGACATAAAGAGGTGAGTAAGAGAAAGGTAGAGTGTTTTGGGAATATAAAAATAACATACAAATGTGCCAATAGAAAATTGACCATGACATATGGACATAAAAATCGGACAAAAAAATACAGAGCAAAATCTTAAAAGTGTGCAAAGAAGCATGGAGAGACACTTACTAGGAATTACACAGAGAGACCACAAAAAGGAACACGTGGATCAGAGAACAAACACAAATTACAGACTTTATATTCAATGCTAAGAAAGTTAGGACACCTCACTAGAAAGGAAATTAGATAGACAAGACTGGTGATGGAATAGCAGCCAGAGGAGTGAATACACTTGAGATGATGACTACCAAACAGAAGCAGCGATTTGATCAGCTTATGTGGATCGTGGTTGCACAGTATAAGGAATGGAAATAATTGATGAAGGCCTGCGTCCAGTCGTGGATAGAAAAAAAAAGTGACACAGGATGTAAAAAACAATAATGTAACAATACAATTACTATTCTTTGGGTCTTCCGGTAAAGCTAACGTAGATAGAAAAAATAATAAAAAATATCACGACGTTTCGATCGCAATACAGGTCATTGTCATCAGGCGAAAAAATACCTATAAGCAACATCAGTAAGGATGAGCACTTTGAGCTTTCTCAACTGAAAAAGAGAGATGACATAGTCGTCCTCAGCCGACAAGGGCAATGCCACTGTCATCATGGACAAAGCCACATACAATAACAAAATTCAGGACCTACTTAATGATGGCAGATATACCAAAATCAATAGATATCCCACCAACCGCCTGGTTACGAAAACCAACAATGTTATCACTGATTCGACATCTTTAATCGAATCAACCAAGCGGCTTTCCTTAAAACCCTCTGCTGCTAGACTACCCAGATTTTATGGCTTACCAAAAATCCATAAAGAAGGTACATCACTCCGGCCTATTGTCTCCACCATTGACTCACCCACCTAAAAACTGGCCCGATTTCTGTCTGAGACCTTACAACCATGCACTGGTAAGACCACCTCAGCTGTACTTAACTCAGCTCACTTGGTATCGTTAATAAAGGACATCTTACTATCTCCAGGTGATTTGCTTGTCAGTTTCGATGTAGTATCTTTGTTTACCAAAGTTCCTGTGCCTGACACCATTGCAATTATTGAAGATTTGGTCCAACAAGGACTGAATGCTAATGTACCGGCCCTGGTTACACACTGCCTCACAAACACTTACTTCACCTGGAATGGAACATTCTACGAACAAGTTGAATGTACCCCAATGGCTTCTCCCTTATCTCCTGTTGTAACCAATGTTTTCATGGAAAAATCTGAGACAGATGCCATCCAGGCATCCACCCTACATCCTTCCTTGTGGAAGAGGTACATAGATGACACGTTCATCATCTGGCCACATGGCCTACCAGCTCTGGGCCAATTCTTCAACCACATCAATTCCATACACCCAGCCATCAAATTCACCATGGAGGTGGAAAAGGATGGCAAGTTACCATTCTTGGATGTTTTAATCGAAAAGAGACCAGATGGCTCAATGGGACACTCTGTCTATAAAAAAAGCCACCCATATGGATGCCTACCTAAAACCTGACTCCCACCACCATCCATCCCAGAATAATTCCCTTCAAAACTCTACACCATAGAGCTCAATGTATTGAGATCTAGCCAGTGAACTGGAACACGTACACCAAGCCCTCAAGATGAATGGATATTCAGACTACACAATACGTAAAGCTATCACCCCAACCGTTGGAAAGAACCATCTGAGGACCCAATCAAAATCATAACCTTGCCATACATAGCAGGGATCACTAAAAAGAGTTCCAAAATCATGAGCAAACACAAGATCGAGGTTCGATTCAACACAGTACATAAAATTTGTGATCTGATCCCATCTGTGAAGGATATGATCCCTGACATGCAATACCCCGATGTCTACAAACTCAGCTGTATCTGCGGCAATAGTTGCATTGGGGAAACTAAGCGACATGTCTCGGACAATGTTCGTGAACATAAGGCAGATCTTAAATACGGTAGGACCAACACCTCAACCGTGGCTGATCATTGTTTTAATGCTGTGGGCACACGTGAAATTGATTTTTCCAAGACGAAGGTACTCTGCAAACCCACTGGCTATCAGCAAAGATTCGTTCATGAAGCCATCCAAATATATAAACAATGACACAATTTCAACCGAGAAGATGGGTACAAACTGAGCAATCATTGGAAGGACGTTATTAACCAGTTTAAGTCATAACTTGCTGTGATGTTTCCATCCTACCCGCCGATGTTAGTAGTTATTTTCGACTCTCTGGTGTTACATTAACAGGTTAAATGTCTTTACATTAACAGGTCAAATATCTCACTAACACAGCCACCGTTGCTCGTTTTCCTCGATGTGGCGGTGGCTCTACGATCTTACATTGACATGCTAATCTCTCACAATACAATGGCCACCTCCGCAGCTTCGTCGTGGTAGAGTTTGCCCAGCTCTCTCCGATCTTACATTTACATGCAAATTTCATCTCTAGCCCTGCCCACTTTGCTTATGACCCTTGGGCTACACCCATCTCAAACCTTTATAACATCCTGCCTCAGCAGCTCTCACGCTATTTTTTCACCTGATGACGATTGCTTGTGTTGCGATCGAAACATCGTGATATTTTATTTTTATTTTTTCCATCTATGTTGGGTTTACCGAAAGACCCAAAGAATATGAATTCCTGCAGTCACTAAATCTTTAAGTCAAGATTTAATACAATGACTGGATATCACTGATTGCATATGCACACATCTCCCAATCCTGACAACAGTGCTGCATGGGGCCCATCACCGTTGGTGATCCTTAATGATGACATATTACATTTTTTACCACAGGGACTGGAATCTCCAGAAGACAAACACTGCTCTGAATTCCCATCAAGTGGTGTAGCTTCACGAGGTATGCTCACTTTACTTACCCTAGGGAGATGATGGCCTAAGTGGCTCCTGGCCAGCATTTTTCATTGGGAATTCACTTTTGTCTATCTGCTGCTCAGCCAACCGAGCTGTAGGCTAGTGGTTATATATATAGAAGTATATGAAAGGCCATTAAGTGTATGATTTGCCTTTAAGTATACAATTGCTCTTTCTTCGGTAGATACAGCACTGCATCATAGGTACCCAGGATGATATGTCAGCAACGTTTGATAACTTTATTCATGTTTGTCTTTTGAATAGTTTGTCTGGTACTTAATATCAAATAATGTTCAAATGCTAATTTATGTATGTTCACCTCTAGTAATGTCATTAAATCTGCATTTATATCAGGGCCCCATGGTCTATAGTGCAGCCTCCAACTATGCTTCACTCAATCGCACTGCCATCCATCTCTCTGCTATGCAGCAAGGCCATTGCCTCAAATGTATCCTATTATATATACATCCTCTTTCGTTCAGTTGTGAATGTATTGCGTTTTGAAATACATATTTATATATTAGGCATTTGTAAACCAAGAAAATATTTAGATACTCACAGACGAGCCAGATGGACCTGGAGGACCTGGGTACCCAGGTTGACCAGGCAATCCCTAAGTCGAAGGCACACACAACAACCACCGCAGCATGCATCAATAATTCAACAGGCAAAATGCATTTGTTTATTATGGAGCCTCGGTGTTGCTGGACATTACTGATAACAGAACAAAGCAGAGAGGAACATGACAGCTTTTCTCTGTCTCTGCAGTAAGGCTCCGCTAAACAATATCCTCGTAATAACTGTTTTGTATTGTTGTCAACCAATAGTATTATTATACTCCACACACATACATAACGTATGCACATGTACACATATTGTGTACATAGCTGTATTGAGATAGTAGAATAGATTCCGTTGCCTTATATTAGTCTCTGACACTCCATGTCAATATGTTGTTAAAGTAATTAACAGCTTGCCTAATTGAGATCAATACACATTTGTCAATGTCTGAACCAATGGACATTACTGCCAGCAAGCGCTGACCTTTTTCAATCACCAACCTTTCCATTCCTTTGTGATTTAGGTGGAAAAAAAAACATTTCCCTCTGTTTCAACAAAATACTTGCTTCAATGTGACTAAATCGTGCATCAAATAATGGATGGGAATTTTTACATACAAAGTCCATTATACGTGAAAAATACCTTGGAATGATATGTACACACAAAATAGGATAATAATATAGCTAGACCAAGCAACCACTGAAATTATGTATATCAGCAAATTCACAAAAGTATGCATAATTTCTTTGAAATGTAAATACAGCCGTTACACACAGAGGTCATTATCATTACACTTAAAACAGTGGTCAATATTTTCTTGTTGGTGGTGGTGGGGGGGGGGAAATCACATGACTAACCATTCAGGTTGTTCGTGATTGACATTTTAATTTTAAACTGCGGGTTGTAAGTTAATTGCATGACTGGAGGAAAAGTATTCCTTACGCTGACCTTCATGATAATTACAACAGATTAAGACTATTGTTTTTTATAGGTCGGATTGATGTTCGTGAAAGCAGAGACATCGTAGGCATGATGCCGCAGACAGCGCTGCTCCATTTCACAGTGGCCCGTACACTGTCGTGATATCGTACTAGCCAGCATTTTAAGCCATGCATGCATGGTTCGGTTAACTTAACCTTAAGTGAGAATTACAGGCGTTGGGGAAGCAACTGTAATGACTCGGCATGGTGCTGGCGAGACATACAATCTCCCTCTTATGTACCGAGGGTGAAAAGAACGACACACCAGCCGTGCTTAATTCGAAGTCCATCCACAATAAAGCACACAATGGCCTTTTCCCTTAGCCACGACGATATTTCTATCGGGACCACTGAGCGAGAATGCGCCGATAATCACCTTCACGCGTTATTTCAGTCAAGTTATGCGAGTGGTTTAATTAGGACGAGACCCCTGAACCGCAATGAAAGGCTTTTTTTTGTCATTGTAAAAAATGCATTGAACAGAGGAGAGGCACGATAATAATGTCTAGAGCAGGGTAACGTTGAGGTTCGCGCAGAGCAATGCCTGCCGCACGGCAGCGAGTCCACAATAGGGCAACCGGCGTCCGAATGATGTCCGTGATTAGGCACTCACTTGATCACCCTTGTTAGCAGGTGACCCAGGCATTCCACGTTCACCTTTGGCTCCCTGATTAAGAAGGGAGGAGGAGGTGTCATTTGAAGAGAAGGGCAAACGCAGGCTATGAAATATTCAGCATCATTAAGTGAAGCTGCTCGACTAAAAACCATTAATTCATTATTAGTGCATTTCTACATCGTGGCAATCACACCAATGTATACCGCATTAAGAGTACCGTCAGCTGCATTTCGTATGAATTCAAAGGCATAGATAACACAATATAATAATGAGCAAAAAACAAGTATTTGTATGTTCATCACCTTAAGGATGATTGATCTCACTGACAGATAAGCCAGTTGAAACAATGGGAAGCACAACGTGTTGTGACGCGTCGAGTCACATATACACACAATGTGCAACTATATGCATGTATGTTGAAATGTTTCCGCACCGCAAGTAGCCAACTGTGCTCATTGGAGGTGCGGGGGAAGGACAACAGAGCGGGGTTTTACATTTACCCATGTAAAGATCCGCTCTGAGCAGAAGCCCACTTATTTGCACCACCAGGAGGTGCTATTAGCATAGACAATGGGGTGTGCTTGTAGACCGAACAGTAAATGTTCATGGGTAAAGGTTTTATTTTGTTTTTCCGTCTTACACTTGGTCCCGAGGATCCTGGGTCACCCGGAGAACCTGCTTCTCCTGGTTCACCCTGCAAAGTGCAAATTATCAAGTTGCATCACATCATATCCACTGTGTAGCCTTTCCCATGATCTATATAAAGTGTGCAAGGCTGGTAGAAGGGGGAGATAGCAGGGGGGGGGGGGGGTCGAAGGGTGGGTTTTCCCGAGGCTTTACACATACAGAGGTTCTCACAAATGGCCCGTGGATGGAGGAATAATGTTGAAATAAGGGGGCCCAGGTGGCATTCTCCTTTGGGCCCGCAGGAAGCCCCTGGGCAGCTCTCATAGTAGGGGCATATCAGTGGATTCGTTTTGCTGAAAACAAGCCAAGCAGAAGCACCATATGTCATGATGTACATGCTCATCAATACTGACATGAATTCCAGCTGTCTATTGAAGCATTTGTCTTTAAACAAATACTTTTTCTTACGAGTTAAACACGTAGGCTTTTTTCTATAATGCAATGAGTTATTTCCAATCTTCCTCTATGAATATATTTATCTCACTTATCCAGATTTCAGAGGTGTTGTCAACAATAATAACATAGATTTTGAGGAATTCACTGGATTCGTGAAAATGTGTTTTTTTCATAGGAAACACATTTCAGCATTTGCAAACCTATTCATTGTCATTCGAAAATCATGTGTTTCTCAAAATCACATGATAAAAAAAGTATCCATGTCCTTTTTTTGGCTCCACGGGCAGTCTCAAAGGATTGTTTGGCCTATGTTTTATAAGGCCCTTGCTTAGGATATGTGGCCAATGTTTCATTGGGTATTTTAACGTGTTAGATAATATGACTGGCTGGATAGAAAACAAGCAAATATCATAGGAAATAATGTTCAAACACTCACACAGAGCAGTCAACAACTTACTTGCTGGTCTAATACAAGCTACCTATCATATGTGCCTATGGGAGTACAAAGCACACGATGAACTCTGTGTGATAACTCAAATGAAGTGAAAAAAAGGATAATAGACTCATGCACATTTGAGCTTTTCAATTTCATTAGTCTCATTTGTTGTGTATATTGTCCCTACTGTCCGTATTCTTATTTAACATTGTATTTGATCTGCACTCACTGAGTAATAATCTCAAATACCTCTTTGTCCTGTCACCGCGAGATGTACTGCATGGGAGGCATAGTATAAATAATGATAATACTTCATGATGGTGATGCTGATGTGATCACCAACCCCATCTGCAATGTGCCGGATTACGGGCCTTTGGTATGGTATCGGTAAACTCGGTTTGTGGTCAACGTTATTCGAGGGCTGTTGCCGGACAAAACGATCAGAGCGGGGCCAGCTCTGGGTCAGGGTTCACCACGGTGTGGCCAGCGCTGTTCGTCTTACCTTGTATCCGTCGCGTCCCGGAGGGCCCAGTGGGCCAGGCATCCCTCGGTCTCCCTTCATGCCTGGATAACCCGGAATGCCAGGATGACCTGCCATGCCTGGCTCGCATTTGTTGCACATGCCCTGGGAATGACGGCAGACACAGACCCACATCTGTCAGTGCGTATTAGTCACAGGCGTTTAACTCCCGATAGGTCTCGATGCAGGATTCTGATGTGCGCTTGACTGAATGGCTAATCTCTCGGACGTGTTTTCGTGTTGTTTGGCACGATGTCCGACGTTTCGCTCCAAGTTCCTGAAGAAGCTTCCAGCACGTGGAGCAAAACGTCGGACAAGCGGCACGACTAAACAACACGTCGGACAGCTATGCAGCACAACCGCGAAAACCTACAAAGTAGTGCTGTTTAAATTTTTAACAAAGCAGTTCAGCATAGCTGTGGCCGTATATTTGATGATCTCCACGAGTGGTGGTGCTCATCTACATCGTCGTCCCTGAGCCAGTTGGTGGAAAAAAATGGAACATTTTTACGTCAGGGGACAATATCACCATTGGAAAGCCACTGTTGGCTTCCCAACAGATTCGTCTTTCATAAGGAACTAAAACAAGACCCACTTGTTTTCGCAGCATATATATTTTTATTGCAAACTTTCACCGAACATTCCGAAATTAGGGCCAAAATGCACCAAATATGCCTGTTCGCAATGATTAAGTAAGGCATACATTTAAGATCAAGATGGTGTTTGAGAAAATGACAGTATTTCCTCTAACCACACTTACTTTGACCATATCTTGAATTTCCCGTTGAGTGGTGGTAGAATATGGTGCCTTAAAAGCAAAGGAAATAACACATTTACATTTTGCATATTGAATCACTTCTTTGTTGCCAAAATATAGTTTTAAAAAATAATAATATTATAGCAATATATATTTTTTTGCAAATTTTAAAAAAGGACATACAATTAAATATTTGCTGAAAGATTAAAACCAAAAGTTAGTTTTTAATGAAAATTCATGAGCTGTAACATTAACCAACTATCATTTGCTTTATCAGCATCATTTTGTATTGCCTTGCATTTTCTCAATAATGAACACATACTAACATGGCACGCAGCAGTAGCAGCAGACGTAGCAAGGAGCTGGGACCATTAAAAAAGAAAAGAGAATTGTATTTAATGGACAATGGCATGCTTACATTTGGCCCTGGTGAGCCCGGAGGACCAGGTTTTCCATCCCGCCCAGGAGAGCCCTAGAGAAGAATACACCCGGAAGGCAGTAAACGTTAACACGGTCTGAACTTGAGATGGTGACGGAGTGTCTTGTTTTGTTTGCTTACCCGAGATGTATTGAGAATCCGTGATCGTTAATGTGACTTGGGCTGTTCCCTTTTAAAAGGGGACATGTGCCGCCCAAAATGCACTGCACTCACGTTTATAGATTTTTTTTTGCTTTTATTTATTGTTGTTTGGCTTTTTTACAATAGGTACAATTACATCACTACTTATTTCCAAGTTGCGTTTAATAGCTCTAATTAATTTCATTTGGAAAGCATAAACACATTTCATGTCTGTCTGCTACATGTAATTGATTTGAGATATTGGAAAACTATTCGTGTGCCAATATTTTTTACAATGTGTTGCCTTTGTGGGTTATTACTGGTATGTTATACGATATTAATGCATGCGTTGGCAAAATGTACCAATGCAGAATGCTCCTGAAAAACAGTTTAGTGGGGCTTTCCTGGATAAATATTATATAAACATTCATTCGTGAATTTATTTTCTATTTGTCTAAGAGGTTAGATTTAAATGTGTCCTTCATTACACTTATAATGGACCTTAGTTGTTGTATTTCTCTATCGCTGATGTGAGGTATGGAAAAGTTCACGTTCTTCGCGTGAAGATTCGGATGATAGCAGGCAAAATACCCACGTTCATCATTAACACTACTGTACCTCATAAGATACAAATATATAGAAGGCTAAAAATGTAAAGAATAGAGAGAAGGCTGAAGGATTGACTGACATGGAGACCTCCTTCTATAGGGTGGCGCTTTGAAGTCGAAAATGGATTAATCCTGACATATGAACAATTTTGAATTAACATATGAACAGTTATCAATTACTAGATGTTGAGTAGAAAACACATCACTAACAAGTAAAGCATTAATGTATAAGTTGCCTTTGGTTTCAGGTTTCCACTGGGATTACGAGTTAATAAATCAGAGCCATAAAATGATTAAAAATAAAATTAGCTATAAGACCGAAGAGGTACATCATGGAATCCATGAAGGTATAAAATAAACAAATAAAAATATAGATTTACATTCATTAGCCAATGGGCTTGCTGAATCATTTGTTTAAGTAGGCAACATGGGGAAGTTTCAAATTTCTAAGTCTCATCAGCAAAGTTTTGCCTGTTAAACAAGTACTGCTGGGCTACCTGACGTTTAAAGTTAGAGCACTCCAGAAATACCGCGAGACTGATTTAGCGCAGTACAGCAATATTTAATCGTCGCATTATTTTATAAATGACGTTGGTTTGTATATAATACAGAGGCGGGGCGTTTCACTGGGTCAAAATAAATTCATAAAAACAACATTTTGGTTCATCAACCTATGAGTGCCAGCAATGTTATTGGGCAGAAGCAGTGAAGGCAATATTTGTTACGGTTGATGTGGCGCTTTAATATTGGCTACTTGTAACAGTGGTGGTTGGGCTGAATGAATGCAATCATGTGTGGAGGGGAACATATCACTCACATTCTGCCCAGCAGGACCGGGTGGCCCAGGTGGCCCAGGAAAGCCTCTTGGTCCCTGTGGAACGTTACAGTGGCATTTAATGAGGCAACACGACCAACCAAGATTGCACATACCAGGTTTCTATTAAGGAGTAGCACAAACAACATGAGAATATGAGTTAAACTGCATGAATACGCATTAAGTGAAATATATTGGCGTGGCCCTGCAATTTATTGCCGGCTCATTGACTGTATCCCAAATGCAGTTTTTGAAAAAAATATAGGGAAAACTAAATGTTTAGGTTCTCAGAAACTAGGATAAATTTAATTAGGGTGTATGCATTTTCATCACGTGCATTTTTTGGGTTGCTTTCTTCATTTAATCACAATGTATCTACCTGGCCCTTGTAAATAGTTTGAATGATTTAGATTTTTTTCATTTTGACCTACGTTTGTGAAACCTGGGCATAATGGTATTTGATATTCACTTGAACTTTCCATCATGGAATTGTTTTCATTTGACTGATGATAGAAAAGCCTTTTCTAAATATGGCTTGCTTACACGGTTTGCTGGCATGAAAATGATAAATTATTCTATTGTCATCGACCTTCATGAACAATTTAAGCAAATGTTATAGGATAAAAATTGGTCTGTAAGGGTCAAAAGTGGAGTCGGACACGCTTGCTTAACGAATAAATATATTTGTTGGGTGGGTGGGGGGGGGGCATAACTGCATAACATATGATAATACGTGAACGTTGGACAATTATTGAATGTGGAGCAAAATTAAGCGATAAGGAGGTGGTTCAGATTGCACTGCGTCCTGTCCGGCATGGTGCCCGACGTTCCACTTCATCTTGAGAAGCACCCGGCACACGGGGGCGAAATGCCGGACGCTGCACCGAAGAACGCGTGGTGCAAACCGAGCACTGTTTTAAAACCGTTTCTATTTTGCCAGCAAGGCCCACTGAGCTATCGAGGTATTTTGCAGAAGCGACCTGGTCTCAAATGATGACTCAACTAAGTGGCTAATCATCACGTGGAAATTTACAGCAGCCAAATACTCCGAACACATGATGTTGATTCCAAAATGTGGAGGGGAAAACCGGAAGATCCGAAGAAAAATCTAAGTGACCACGGGGAGAACATGCAAACTCCAAATATATAGGCATCATCAGGGTTGGAGTCGAACCCACGACCTCCTGCGTACCAGGCGAGGGAGATAACATCTCACCACCGCGGCGTTCCACATACGTGGGAGAGCTGTTCAGTGCAACCGAAAAAACCTGTACAGTAGACTTCAAATGTATTTTCAGTTATACATGCTTGCTTGTGAGAGAAAGTGCAATCTTTTTGCATGTGATTTTTAACCATGAGACTGTTTTACTTCCTCAAGCAACACGCGATATCATATGTAAAATGTTTACGGATGACATTGGATGTAAAAAATAATAATAATATATACTTTGCCCCGTTTCTTCAAGTAATTAAAATGAGTTTTTTTACGTGAGGGAAAATATATAAATAATACGAAGCACGCAATTTATTGAGTAAAATACACGAATAATACAATAAATAGGAAACGCTAAGTACCTCTTGTCCTTGCGTACCAGGTGAGCCACTAGATCCCTGTAAAAAAAAAAATCAGAACACAACGGCAGACAAAAATTAAACAATGCGTGACATTCAAAATAAGGACGTCGTCAACGTGGCCCAAGCCGTTGATGCCACCTTGTTGCCAACTCTCCCTACCCTCCGCCAGATCCCACGGTTGCTGCGCAGTTCAAATGCACCGCTCTTTGCAAATGATGAAAAAAGTAATCGCAACTATATTTACGAGTCCGAATGAGGGATGAAAACGGCCTCTTTGATTCATTGCTGCCCTCTTGGGATGGCCATGTCTTTCAACCCTTTGAGTTGATGGTCTCAACAATAATACGACCACAGACTCAACTCAAGATAATGGTGGACTGGACAAGGCTGAGACCATTGTACTGTGCATGAGATGCGGTGATCGCAGGACATGAGTGCAAAACACGACGGGCGTTGTGTCTCCTTGTTTGTTTGTGAGCACAACTTTGCACGTCATTACGGCTGCTTCACCAGTAGATGCGCGATCTCCAAGATCTGGCCTAACGTCATTATCCCACCATATAGTCACGGTGCTTTGCGTGATTGTGTGATTCAAGTCGAATGTAAAGATGCTGAAAATGATCAGCTGCGATTTACCGGCTGGCCATCGCGACCGATCCCAGGAGGACCCTTCATGCCGGGAGGCCCCAAAAGTCCAGGGAGGCCTCTCTCTCCCTAAAGATGAGTAAATAATAACAACTTTAAAATACAGCAATAACAAAAATTCCCACAGAATGTGACAGTGCACACTGTAATTACGAACATAACGAACGTAACCACCGCTTATGGCTGCAGGGGTGATGTGAACCCATTGCATGAAACATATAAAATAGAAAACGTTAGGTTAATGCGCATACAATATTACGCAAAATATGTGAGTTTAAGGATATATATTAATATATGCATTGTTAAATATTACCCACTATTTAATATATATGAAAACACGTACATTGTAAAACACGTACATTGCATTCATGGTGTGCATGCATAATGTATGTTGATTACCCTGAATAACCCAACCAGTAATGCACATCTATTGTAATTATATGCATATGTAGTGGATTCGAATCAGGTGCACACACACAACTCCTTGGGAGGCAACACTTATTTATTATAACGGTAAGTAATATAACACTGTACATAAGGTGGTGACCACCGACCTACTCTAGCTAACACACACTTCTCAGGTACTCTAGCGTGACCCAGCCAGGTGGGCTACTGCCAGGTCCGCTGACTGGAGGCTTGACTCCTCTTGGCGTCTTCACGATGCATCTTCGTTCTTGATACGGGCAGCAGCCTCGAACCTCGTGAGGAGGCTGCTTATATAGGCCTCGGCGTGCCCGGGCCCCGCCCCGGCCACGCCTCCCTTCGAGAACCCTCTCGAAGCCCCCCTGCTGTCCACGTGCCCCCCGAGGTGCCCCCTACTGGAGTCCAGTCACGTGTCCAGCCGGGGTCAGAGAGTGCCACGGCCTCACACCACCCTCGTGGCCTCCCGAGTCCAGAACCAGCCCTGACGTCATTCCCGCCTCCAGCCGGGATGACGTCATGTGTGTGTGTGTAGACCCGCGTGGTCATGACGCTCCCCCGCATAGTGACGTCACACTTGTGCGTGTGTACACAGTAGTGATGCTACCATCACTACACATACATTCACTCTCCCCCCACTCCTCTGGCCTTCGCACCTGATTGGCTCACGTGACGTGACGACATCACATTTATCAATGTATTTAAGACCGAAACAGGAGGATGTCTCTACAGCTCTGGCTGTCGCCTGATGATGCTGGTTGTAACTACTGGCGAAACGTCGTACTCGAATTGTAAATGTTGTGGGTTTACTCTCCAACACACCGGTGTGCTGTACTAGTAACGAATTGGCACGTTCTGTTTACGTGACAAATCTTACTAATTGGCTGTGTCGGGTGGTGGCGGATTTAACGAAACATTTATATTTACGCGATCTAACCCCCAAAAAACCTCTATTATGCGGTGTACCTATTTATACTGTTAGATGGACAATGGCGGGGAGGGGTGAATGCAGGTAGGGGGTGGGGGGGGTAATTTAAGATACCCACCGTATTGTTTCAACTGTGGCATTGTTTCAACTGTGGCATTGTTTCAACTGTGGCATTGTTTCAACTGTGGCATTGTTTCGACTGTGGCATTGTTTTGACTGTGGCATTGTTTCAACTGTGGCATTGTTTAGACTGTGGCATTGTTTCTACTGCCGCATTGTTTCGACTATGGCATTGTTTCAACTGTGGTATTGTTTTGACTGTCGAATTGTTTTGATTGTGGCATTGTTTCGACTGTAGCATTGTTTAAACTGTGGCATTGTTTCAATTGTGGCATTGTTTCAACTCTGGCATTGTTTCAAGTGTGGCACCGAGAAAATAAACCAGCGGCCACTGCGTTGCAAGTTGAGTGTGCAGAACCACTGCACCACAACACCCCAGAACCATTGTACCACAACACTTACTCAAAAACCTCTATTATTGATACATTATAAAAGGAAGTCATGTGAGACCGAAGGAAGTGAAGAAAATGAATGGACACTTACTGGCATTCCAGGGACACCAGACGGGCCTTGTTTTCCTGACTCACCCTGAAAAGAAAAGCCATCATAAGTATTCACGGGAGACTAACGGTGTTGTCCTACATTCAGTGTTGTGGATCTTTATGTTCTGACCAGATTATAGAGTATGAGAGTGAGGGGTAAAAAACACACGCAACAGGAAGATATCACATTTTTATGCTGAGCACTTAACCCTGGCTTGCACTTGACATTGCATGTGCCGGAACGCTTTCAAAAGGTTTCCTAAAATCTATGGCATCGAGGCACATATCCGCGAATCAAATCTGTGCAGATCTAAAAAAAACGATACCGCCAGTCCTGTAATGTCAAGAGATGGGTTTTGCTCATTGCATTTAAGACAAAAATCTAATTGCAGCCACTTGTGAATATTAATCACTGATTGATAATAATTTCGAGCTATTTCCTGCATATTCTGGCCATTTAGATGCACAGCAGCAAATATTGAGAGTGTGGGTAATCAGTGAATCTGATTAGATCACTCAGGCCATGGCTCATACGTTAATGAGAGAGCACAGCTACACCAGTTTAGCTGCAGCGCTCATTGAAAAGCATACATCACTGGGATGGCGAATGCTACCGTCAAATGTAGCGTTCGCCATTTTGTGGGATATAACGGTTCACAACAGCAGTTAGTAGCAACATAGCTGCAGAATCCAGTGGTTTTTGCTTACAAGACCAATGTATTGCAGCTTATCTCCGCCAAATGGATAGCCTGAAAAGACGAGGCGAAAATGTAAGTGCATGTACTCATTTGAGGTAAAACACAACATGTAGGGCACACCTCCAAAACTGTGACTGCCCACACATGTCTGACAATGGAATAATGCATTTCTGTGAATAAATTGCCGTGTACAACAGGCCAATGACTACACGAGGTAATGCACAGAGCCCACTCCCACACTCACGGACCATTCATCTCCTTCCACTCTCCTATGCTGATTCAAAGGAAGGCAGCAACATTTTGTGATAAATTGCTCAAGTGCCTTTGTTGGAAAATCTCACAGGCAATCCCTGAATCCCCTCTCCGATGGGGCCTTGCATTCCTGGAAGCCCAGGAGGTCCTCTGCTTCCAGAGTCTCCCCTGGATCCATCCAAACCCCGGTCCCCCTGTACAGGAAGGCAAAACACACGATACACACAAATACAAGCACATGTAGACACACAGACTCGCACACATATACACACTATCAGACACATACAGCAAAGAGAAAGCCAAGATGCCCCATATAGCCTTAATAATATTTTTGGGGCAAGTGCTGTAAGTTACCACCTGTTAAGGCCCGCACGGCACACAAGAGGGTGGGTGGTCAGCACCATACCTGGCTGTTTTTTTCGTCTCCACAGTGGTGATGTGTGTACACCACACCAAGTACTCAGTGAAGGCGAGGTCGACCGAGAGGAGTCGCAGGACCGGTTCAGATAATCGCGACTGATGTAAGACGTGGCTGGGAATCGAACTCAGGTGGCCACGTTCGCAGCATATTTTGCTAACCACAAACCTCCACTCCCCACACAAAGATCCCCCCTATAGCTTTTTAACAGTAGGCCAGCATAGCACATGTGGGAGTGGGTGGACAACACCATGCCTGGTTGCCCTTCTCTCCCAAGTGCTGATGTTTAGACACTGCTCCAAGTACAGTACTCATTTAAGAGAGGCACAGAACCAGGTCAAATTCTGTATTTGCCACTCTTATGGGTCGTGAACAGGAATTGAACTTGGGAAAGTGGGTTCATAGTGCAGTGCGCTCACTACTATGCTTCCGCTCCGCACACATAAAGACACCCAAGCAAAGACAAACACTCGCACCAACATGCGCGTTCATTCACACATCTATATTTGCACGCACGCATGTACTTCTAATAAATGAATGCCTCCCCAAGCCACATTGTTCATGGGGGTGTTTAGCCATACTTCACCACGTTGCTCAGTGCAGGTTTGTGAAGCAGGAGATCAAGGATCAGTTTAGATATCGCTGAATTAAACTCACCAGGTTCATAGGTCACCTGGTTCATTGCTCAGTGCAATAATTCATTGTGCCACCACTCCACACGCACGTGTGTTGCATGGCGCGAGAGAGAGGTTCAAGAACTCGCCTTGTCTCCTTTCAGTCCAGCAGGTCCCTGTGGTCCTTGTGGTCCCTGGAAACCCTGGGGATAAAATACAACACCCATGCAAACGAGCGAGTTTCACACCTCACTCGACTCAAACTGTGTCCGTTTCCTCTGTTGTGTGTCTTCCGCTCTGTTCTGATTGCATCCAACTCATGAGTGCCTTAGCCTTTTTCTGTAGAAAGAGGACACGTTTGTGTGAATGTGCAGACGCAAATGTGCATATAACGTAGGCCTGTTAGCGCCACACAATGTGTTTATAATTGTGACTCACTCGTGTTGTGCACTATATATATATAAAATGCAGCGATGAAGTGTTCTTGTTCCAGTGGCTATGGGCCAGTTTCAAATAATAAAATAAAAACCAACGGAAAACATTGTCTTGATAATTTGCCCAATTATTATTATTATTATGTATTGGAGACAGCCATATTCAGAAAAAAAGACAGAAAGGTACAGTCGATATATTATGGTAATTTTAGCTGATGGAACAGGACAGAATCGTGATTAAATGTATGTAAGTATACATTAATATAGTAGAAATAAAGTGTAAACAAGGGGAGTGTAATACAGTATCTATAAAGTATGAACAAACGGAGTGCTACATGAGACAGTTTATCTCTTGGACAAATCATACCAAAATAACGGGTACGTAATTCTTTAGGGTGATATTGCATCTAAGCTTATACGTTTTTTTCCCATGCGACTTAATGCGACATTAAACTAAGAACGTGTCAAGCTGTGGTCGCTGCGTAATTTATTCACAACTTACATATTCAGTGCATTTTCTAGAGAAAATGCGAAATGCAAATATATGAGCAAGGGACACTCACGTGAGGTCCAGGCACACCAGGAGGCCCCATAGGACCCTGAGATCCTGGCACACCCTGAACAAACACAGACGCAGCTTTAATGAAAAAAAGTATTGTATTTAAATGCCACACATTTATACATGTCAACCCATACGGCTTACCCCTATTCTTGTACAATACAGGAAACATGTTTTTTGTCTATTTGTGTTTCTCCCTTGTGATAGGACTCTGTAGGATGAACGTTGAGATTTACAAGGGCATGGAGTGACCAATGAGGTCTGAATTGGTCTTTAATAAGGTATGCACTGATAAGCGGCTGACAGATATGCACATTCGACCAGGCAAGGTAATTTTTTTTTTCAGTCAAAGTTCCTCAATGCTCAAGTGAGCATAAAACGACACTCTTTACAATTCGTTTTCTTGATTTTGTTGGTATAAATTCCAAGTCATTGTGGCAGGGACAGGCCTTCCATGGGACAACCACTGAGCCAGGCTGTGATCATTTTACTGACCCATGCCAGCACTTGAACCCATGAGCTCATTGCTGGAATCTCTGCTGTCCTATCCACCCGGCTCTGAATCACTATTTTGTAAGCAAAGCTAACAGATAACCAAAGGTCACCAGGATCTTTAAGCTATACGTTTAACTAATCTTCATTGTTAGCAGCCAACATAAGACGAGGGGCTGCAGTGTACATGAAATGCTCTTGAGATCCTGTTCTAAATAAGGCAGGAAGACCCTTATCACCGCCTGGCCTGCGGACGATACGTACGGCATTTGTCTAAACCTTCATTAAGAGAGGGTGACTCCTAACGGGCGTGAGAGCATGGTGACCCGAAGGAGGACGGCGAACATCCCAGACAACGCATTTGTGAGAACTCACGCAGTTGCCAAAAAATGTTTTCACATTCACCGGCATCGACGAGGTTCCCGATCGTGACACCAAGAGGCGAACACGCGAATTCTTCTACTCACCTGTGTCAGTTTACACTTGCATGCAATGTATTCCTATACCATTGCACAATGCAACACGCCCAGCTTTGTGCTTCTTTCGTTTGTCAAGGTGCACTTATGGACCTTGACGACGACTTAGATTGCGATGATGGTGATGATGATAATGAGGTGGAAAATAAAACACTTCTGAAAGCATTCCAAATCAGCCCGTGCGCATGTGCTGGGTGGCTTTTGTGTCCACGAGACCATGGGGGAGGACGACAGCTTGGGGAGGCCTTCATCCAGCAGTGGAATGATCATGGCCTTATGGTGATGTCGATGAAACATTGCATAATCCATGTGTATGCGTGCCTTGTCCATGTGCCTTATAGTTATACGACTCTCTGCTGTGGAGTCTGCTTTGTGTGCATTGTTTTGGTCAAAACTTATTGGAGAATAAGATGACGTAAACTCGAATATGATGACGTGGGACAGCAAAGGTTAGCCATTTTGGCACTAGCTATGATATGACTATGCAATACACAAGCCATTGAATAAATATATTCACTGCATCGCGTGCTTTCAGATGCGCTTCTGCGGCCGTCTGAAACGCTCTTCCTTCCGATATTAGGAAGCCATACACAAGCACAACCCAATTCAAGGCATGTTATTTATCTCTGATAGGTATTTCAACATGGCACTTGGGGCCAAGACGAGTTCAAGAGTGTCAGGACATCTCGCTGGCTGATTAAAATTTCTATCATGACCATTCGATGAGCCATTGCTTATTATAATTGGTACTGTATTTATGCAGACTCGGCCAAAGTATATGGTTGAGTAGTTATTCCCTAGCATGCAGTTCATGTCATCAGTGTAATTAAGCACACTAATGAACATTATTCAGAAAATTACAGCAACAACGTGGAGATGACCGGATGACCGCTGCAAAGTATTATCTGTATTTTGATTTAGTGTGCTGATCTTAAAGGTGCATTGAAAAATGTGATACTCCGACTGATGCTCCTGTTGTTTGTGGAGTGACTCATGCAGCCAGCTGTGGCTCTAGGGTTTGGTGTTACATGTTCTTTATGTAGTTTATTGTTAAAAATTCGGTCACAGTTCCTATGATCACTGTTACATTGCATTTATGGCTTTATTTTGGTGGTTTCTAAAAGTTTTTTGGTTTGGCCATGTTTTTGTTTATTGTCGTACGGAGTTAGACTGATGGCCTTAATCTAAGTTTTCTTGTTGTTGTTTGACTTGCATCCCACTGGGATTTTTGCACACAGCGTTGGTGTACGGTGCTATTTCAGGAATATTTTGATGTTTTTTCCTGGATTTTCTGTTTGCACATGCACAAAGTCACTTTAAGATGTTTTCTTGTTCATGTTTTTGTTTTTTTTGTTTGTTGCGGTTGCACCCAATTCAAGAGCCGAATGGCTCACAGGGCTATACCAACATAAATGAAACTATTAAACTATGAAGATACGGACGCAAGCCCTGATCCACTCCACCGCGGACAAAGCACCGTGCCCCAGCGTGGAGTGCCAGCACTCACATGGACCCCGTCGACCCCGAAATCAACAGAGCACTTCGCATCGTCAGCAGCGCACCCTGAAGTCCACTCCACTTCCGTGGCTTCCGGTGCCGGCGAACATCGCCCCGGCAGACATTCGGGCGCGATGCCGCGACGACCCGGGAGTAACCACAAGATTTATGGACATCACCGCTCTGCCGCTTCAACAAGACCTACAAGAACCCCACTCCCCGACGTCATCGGTTGAAATCCAGGAAACCGCGTTCGGACGCGACGTGGGAGATTAAAGGATCGCTGAACTGCGATTGCGATGAGGTCCAAACCGCACAGCGTCTAATGCTGCCTCATGGGAACGGGTGACGTCAGAAAAGAAGAATAAAGCACACACCATGTCTCCTCTATCTCCAGGGAGACCCGGGGAACCTGCTTCTCCTCGTTCGCCCTGGGAAAAGAAACATGTTTAAAGAAGAGCAAATCACCAGCATCATAATATATCGTAATGCGTACACCCTTGATTGCCTATTATTTGGAAACTGCAGCTATTCTGCTGTCCTTATTAAACGCCTTTTGTTTTAGATTGTTTCGGTTTTAAAATGCTTTAACATTTCCGTTTGCCCACTGTAATAACTTTCGGGGCAAGTTGCTGTGAGCGAGTACCTAACGAAGGCCAGCCAGGTGCCATACACAAAGACAACGAAGATCCCTCGTGTAGCCTTAACAGGCTGTTTGGGCAAGTGCTGTTAGCGAGCACCTATGAATGCCAGAACGACACACGAGGGGGTGGGTGGCCAGCACCACGTCCAGCCACCTTTGTCTCCCCAGTGGCAATGTTTTTACGCACCGCACCAGATACTCATTTGAGGCTGAATCGACCTAGGGGAGGCCCAGAACCGGTTCAGATAATCGCCACTGATTGTTGGCCATGAGCGGAATCGAATTCGGGCCACCAGGTTCGTAGCGCAGCGCGCTAACCACTACACCACCACTCCCCCCAATGAAGGGCAGCACAATGCAGGGCACGTGCGCCTTGGGACACGCGTGACTCTTCGGTGAAGCCACCAGGAGGTGGCACCCACGCTGCGTCGTACACGGAGCACGGCGGCGACAGGTACAGCTCAACACAAGGGGCTTTCTCGCACGGGCAAGTGGGGTGGGGAGCCACTGCACACACACAGAGGCTTACAAGGACACTAATGAAATCAATCGTCGTCTATTTAGTGATTAAACAAAAGCCTGACACAGAAGGAACGCTTTAGCCTTCAGCCCATTGGGTATTTTTCAAGAGGAGAAATCAAACATCACGCTAAGCATTTAGGAGGGGTGCACTTCAAATGACCTTCATAATCCAACGAACTGACATTCATAAAGCATAAAAACGAAGCCACATTGTGGGAGAAGATGCTTTAGGGTCATCGGTATCAGCGGTCAATTGCAAGCTTTTAATAAAGGTGAGACATGACGCTTTGATGGATATGCTGAGCTTTGTAATGTGTCACTGCTCTCACCTTCGGTCCGACAGGGCCCATTATGCCAGGGGAACCATCTCTTCCAGCATATCCCTACAACATTTCACGATAATACGTGCATAGTAAATTCATATATATACACACACACACATCATACATAAACATGCAATGCTGGCTTTTCACAAAGGCTCCATCTTAGAATCATGATGGACAGTAAACCTTTAACTAAGATCATAACCGGGGCCTCCTAACCCCCAAACTCCAGAGCTTCGGCTGAAATTGCGTTCTGATTAGGAACTCGCACCCTTCCAATTCTTAAGTTTAAAGTCATGCCCCTGGCATCACCTAGCCACATTATATTTACATTACAGTATTTAACATTGCAGTGAATAAACGTGTTGAGAGCAACAAAACAAGAAAAAAATGTTAAAATATTGACGCACTAAACGGTCATTTTCTATTAACACAGTTCAAAGTTCCGTCGTTTCTTTCGTTAATAATAATATACCAATTTTGTCACTAGCATAACAAGAAGTCCCCCATCAACAGCACAGCAACACGCCTTGACAGATAACAACCCTGAAAGCTGACACTCGTAAACTGGCCGAGTGTTCCAGCTTGCGACAAATTACGTGTTGCTGCTTCTTGGAATATTTTATTTATTTTATTCTCCAACGTGAATACAGCCTAATTAAATACGCCAATGCTATTTTTGCACAGTATTATGCGTGCAATCAATGGTACCTAAGCCGAGTTCACAAAACTCGCTGATAAAGATGTACCTAAGTTCCCAGGTGGTAACCCTGGGGGCTGGGACATAGAGGTGCAGCGGTTGAGAGTTGCCGGGGTCCTCGCTCAGAATTCCAACACAGTTTTTAGAAGAAGAAAAAATGTTGAATGTGAAATCACATTGGGAGATTAAGTGATCAGTATGAATCATCATCATCATCATTATTATTGTTGGTATTTTATTGACCTTGCTCATGGAAACACCAGTGATGTCATGAGGTGATGGCTGGGTACTGCTGTTGCTGCTCTACTTACCCTCTCGCCTGGCTCCCCTCGATCTCCCTTCTCTCCCCTCAGGCCTGGCACGCCCTGCATCCCATTGCACAAAGGTCACACTCCAGAATTTAAGACAATTTTGAGCCATCAACACGTGCAATTTAAGCAGGCGCGTGATAATTATGCAACAGAGTGGTGGGTGGAAGTGACATAGGATGTTTAATACTGTACTGGTAATCCTATGAGTTTTTAAAATTCCTGTTTTGAGATGCCTCCTAAAAAAAGTTTTGAGGTTCATTGAGCCTTTCCAAGACAAATAAAGGATTTTAAAAAAGTAAAAATGTCCCATTGCTCAAACGTAGATTGGACGGTGGAGAGTGAGCGTATCTCTGTTGATGGCTGTGAGAAAATGTTGGAAATTCCACATTGCCATGGTGGGAGCCAGTCTCCTCAACATAGTGAGATAGTTGTATCAGTCTCAGAGGAACACGTAAAAAAAATGATATTTGAATACACAACCTTACAATTGTGAGGCAAGTACTCTCGAAACAATGTTACCTGGCTGGATTTATAACTATCTGGGACAGATCACTGGGTGGCACAAAATGTGGAAACTTTTACCTATTCACATGTTTCAGACAAGTATAGACGAGGAAACATAATAGCCTTTGAAATAGATGCTTACTACTTGCCTTAGCATGCCGACTTTGCAATTACAATTTTCCCCCGTTAACACAGTCTCTATCCAGTGCTGGATGAATGCCTCCTCATGTTGGCACTGCCGAATCAGTATGTGAAATTGTGCACGACTGGAACCCTTCAAACTTTAACATTAGAAGCACAATTTACTTCTACTCAAAAGCATTTCGTGCCAAGCTAAGTCATTAGCATAACTATTGTATGTGTAAATCTGCGAGAGAGAAAATGACGCGAGACACTACATTTGTAAAACTACAAAAATATATTATAAGTGCCTGTAAAATTATCATATGCCAATTACATGTATTAATGTTAACAATAAAAAACCTGATGATGTGGTGGTTACATTTCGTGCCAATTGATTTAAGTCCCTGCAACATAATAATTGTCACCCAATTGTCAATTTGCTGCCAGTTGAAAGCTTCCCTATGCCACGTCGATTGTCAGAGTTGTTGAACAATGCTTCACGCTGATCAGCGCAGATTAGTCAAGAGGAAGAAAAAGAAAGGTTTTCTTTGGTTAGATCGCGTAAATATGAATGTGTCGTTAAACCACCACCATCTGACATAGTCAATAAGTAAGGTTTGTCACGTAATGTTGTGGGTTTATTCTCCAGCACACCAGTGTGTTGAAGTAATAACTAATTGGCATATTTTGTTTACGTGACAAACCTTACTAATTGGCTGTGTCGGGTGGTCGAGGGCTAACGACACATTTATATTTACGTGATCTAACCCAAAAAAGCCCTTTATGATGAATAATATTGGCCATGAAAACTTACGTGGTAAACTGATAAAGGAAGGTGGTGGCCTGGACTGATCCATATGTCACTATATGCTAACAATAACCATGGCGCCCCACGCTCAGAAATATATTTCTAGGCATTGGGGCGCCTGGATGGTGAGATGTTAACTCCCTTGCCTGGTATACAGGAAGCCGTGGGCTCAATCCTGACCCTGACGATGCCTGTATATTTGAAGTTTGCATGTTCTCCCCGTCGTTGCAATGATTTTTCACCAGGCCCTCCGTATTTCCCCTCCACATTTAGAAACATGTGTGAAGAGTATTTGCCTGATATACATTTCCACTTTGTTGACCTATAATTTGTGGCCAGGTCCCTTATGAAAAATGCTATACAGCTCAGTGGGCCTTACATGGTAAAATATGCATATTTTAGTTTAAATTTCGATTTAAAGCTTTCGTGACTGCAGGGATTCATCTTCTTGGTTCTATCGGTAAAGTCACGTAGAAGGGAAATAATAAAATAAAACAGAATAAAATAAAATTCTCAGGTTAATGGGTTCAGAGCACCCCATAACACAGTGCACAAATGACGGAGCCAGCATTCTCCCCATAGGCTTATGTTTGAGTGCTTAATTTAAATTAAATATGAGACAATAAATTCAAGAGCATAATGATTACCATATTCTTGTAGGCACATCCACAAACACACAAATGTTCAGACCTCAACTTGCATGAACAAAGATAAGTCGGCTAACACTTCAGGGACATAGAAGTTTAAAGATGTATTGCTACTACAAAGGACACTGCCATTCCAGTGTATGGGCACACACTGTTTAAATAATATGGTGGTTCTGTGGAGTAAAAAATCAATGCTACTTACGTGCATCCCACCGTCCATGTGGCTTGCCATTAAACCGTCTCCCTGAAGGCAATAATTATTTGAAACGGGTATAAAAAAAACACTCCATAACGAAAGCTTGGTGTCACAGAATCACATCCACAGATATGTTTCAACAAATAATAGACTTCCAACTTAATTTTAGATTCGTTATTAAATACATGGGATATTGTTTTGAGATTATTCATCGATAACTACGTATTTTGAAAGATTGCCACATAATGTGTGATACAATTTTTCAAATATATATTACAATAAAAAAAATATAAAGTTCGTAAAATATACATTTCACTTGAGTTTGGAAAATATGCAGACACTAAGTATGGTACTGGAAATAAGCGAAAGCATAAAGGTGCAATCCTCTCATTACTTGCTCACACCACTGTTGGCATACATGTATACCTTTTAATGCTCTGAAAATGTGTGACGCAAATTAAACAAAATAATTATTTTCATTTATTTCCAAGAGCCGAAACTTCGTGCCAAACTATAAAGTGAAACTCCCAAATGTAATATCATGGGATTTCTGTGCAGTCGTTGTGACCATGCTTGATGCCATCAACTCGATAAAATGAGGTTCAGGGTAAATGTGCAGTCATCCGGTTGTCTCAAGTCACTGGTGGCCCAGGGGGCGTCCACTGGCCAGCTCTCCAGATCCCCTCTGGAGGGCACTTGGATTGCTCTTCCATGCCGGCCAAACATTTTTCAAGAGGGTGGGGGGTACCCACACTTTACCGCGGCACACGCGACCTGTCCATAGACACACTGTGGTGAACCAACACGGGGGAGGCTTTCGCGACCAATATTGTTCATAATAAAGGTTTTTGGGTTAGATCGCGTTATTTATAAATGTGTCGTAACCCTCCACCACCCGACACGGCCAAACAGTAAAAAAATGTGTCACGTTTACAAAGGACAAATAGTTCACTACTTTAGCCCACCGGTGTGTTGAAGAGTGAATCCACATCATTTACAGTTTGAGTAGTACGACGTTTCGCTGGTAATCACCTCCAGCATCATCGGGCAATTCGCCAGAATGGTAAAGCCCTCTCCACTTGCTCCCGGTCTTAAATAGAGCAGCAGGGTGACGTCATCATTTAACTCATTCAGGTGCAGTGATTTGAGGCGGAGGGGGGTTATTGTAATTATATAATCGATTGGTATAAGTCAATGGTTATGATTAGTAATGAGTTGTAGATTAGTAATTAGTTGTAATGTGTGTTATTGTGATTATATGCTACGTTAGTAATCCGTTAATTAGTATGTGTTTCCCCTATAAGGAATTGTAATATGTATTATTTAATAATACGCTTCCAAGCCGCACTAAGCCTGTAGCTGTCAGAGCGATTAAAGTTATTTCTATTTCTCTCAATTTCAATGGATTCTCTAATTAGTCTTTGCCAGTAATAATTCGTTTTACACAACACTTCAACGTTATCAAAGTCAATTGAGTGTCCTTGTTGACAAGCATGTTCTGCCACTGCCGACAGTTGTGTTTGAGCACCACCCGTATGCACTGTTGAGTAGACAGAGACGCAGGGGCATTGAAGAAGTTTGTCCCATTGTTTTAACTGCCGTGCGCACGAAAGAATGAACCAGCGACCTCTGGATTTTCAAGTCCAGTGTGCTGACCATTACACCATGGGAGCAGCATCTCTTAAGGCGAACAGATTAGATTACATCTTCAAGAATAGAGTTCTGAAACCCATTTCCAACAAAAAGAATCATACTCGCACAACGTATGAATAAAGGCATACAAATACCCTTTACAATGGGCACACATTAAAATGGATATAAAAAAGGTTATTCAGCAAGCATGAAAATATCCATATATGAAATATAATCTCCATTTATTAATATTTGGTCCTAATAATATGACTTTTTTTTTCCAAACGAAAGCCTGGGGGTAGCGGGAAATACATATTTAGTTATTAATACATTTTTATTAACTCATTTGCAGTATTTTTTTAAACGTGGGATTGGGGCTCTGATATGACAGGAACAACTTTTGTGAAAGGCAGCAGAGGGTCAGCTACATTTACTTCCCAGCAGATAATGAGCTTTGACAACGACCATTTATCCAATGAACGCTATCCTCCACTTGCTTAATACACGCATTGTTAAGCAATTAAAGGATTTGAACGATTGAACACATACAAATGAGCCCATTGGCAAATAATTGCTTTCAAGCCATGTAACCCTGTACCTGAGGATATAAAAATAAACAATAACTATGACTCAAGAGCTATTCTGTGCCTGAGGCAAAGAATATTATTTAAATATCAATTTTAAACACTCACGATTCCTGGGTAGCCTGGAGGTCCTCTCGGTCCCGCATCCCCCTAAGAAATATAATTACAGGGCAAGATTAGTGACATGTTGTTAGCAATTCATTTGTCTGCACCAATACACATATAATGTAAAGCTATGTTGTCAGGCAACAATTCTTCATGGTAATTGCGTTGCCAATACAGTATTTACAAGCACATTATAAATGTATGTCCCATGAACATCGCAGCTGATGCATTACTTGTAGAGTTATACCAACATGCTCAACTTTAGAGCCGGTAAGCTATGCAGAATTAAACAACGAAATCCCAAATTGGAGATCTCCACAGAGTGGATTCATGTAAGAATACATACGAGCAATAGTAGAGTAATCTAAAAGCGTCATAGAAAAACTTCAAAGGGCATTCATAATAGAAGCCTCGTGAAGAAGCCTCACGGTGAACTCTCAAAGAGGGGGAACGGCAGCGAATGCCCGGAGAGAAGCGTCAAAGCCCCTTAAGGGGGGGTCCATCGAAGGGAACAACAAATAACATCACGACACAAGAAGCTCAGATAAGAACCCCATGGAGGAGCCTGGCAATGAACTCATAAGAAGAGGCCCATAGAGCCTGAGGTGAAGCACCTCAGAGCAGTATTCTATAAAAAAAAAAGCCACGTAGGCATCAGTCATGGTCATAACGAAGAGTTGTGAAGAAATTTTACAGCGCTCAATAAAAGAGAGAGAGAGAGAAGCTTCACAACAGCCTGAGGAGTCTCACGCCTTCTCTCAAACATTTTCCCGGTCCCTCACAATGACATTTTTTTGACAAGAGTCTGTACAGTGAGGGAAAAAAGTATTTGATCCCCTGCTGATTTTGTACGTTTGCCCACTGACAAAGAAATTAACAGTCTATAATTTTAATGGTAGGTTTATTTGAACAGTGAGAGACAGAATAACAGCAAAAAAAAATCAAGAAAAACGCATGTCAAAAATGTTATAAATTGATTTGCATTTTAATAAGGGAAATAAGTATTTGACCCCTCTGCAAAACATGACTTAGTACTTGGTGGCAAAGCCCTTGTTGGCAATCACAGAGGTCAGACGTTTCTTGTAATTGGCTTACGTCTTCATGTCGAACAGTAAAGGACATTCTAATGGAATGTGGTCTTGCGTTGTGTGAGTGAATGGCAATGGGGCATAGGGCAAAGAACCTCACCCTTTCTCCTCGGTCCCCTTTGTCTCCTTTAAGTCCTGCATATCCAGGGGCCCCCTGTTACACACAAAAAAAACAACAATAGTTAAAGATCACAGAGCAGTGTAAAAATATATAATTATCATTATGCCAGGTGGTTCAATGATAGAGCTCACAGCTTGCAATCAGAAAAGTTGCGAATTCAAAGCCAGGGTGAGAGTTGATTCTGCCCATCATATTTATGAGGTCGATAAACGAATACCACTTTTGATTTAAAGCTTTCGTGACTGCAGGGATTCATATTCTTGGTTCTTTCGGTGAAGTCACGTAGAAGGGAAACAATAAAATAATAAAAAAATATCTTTTTGAATTGTTTTATATTTTTATTGTTTTATTGTTTCCCTTCTCCGTGACTTTACCGAAAGAACCAAGAATATGAATACCACTTTGTGGAGAAGTCCTATGAGTAGACTTGCCCCTGCCACAGGAAACTTAAATTTCCACCAATGTAACAGCAACGTTTACCTGTTCCCCCTTCTCTCCTGTGATCCCCTGGCTTCCAGGGATTCCAGGGGTGCCCCTTTCTCCCTAAACACACACACACACACACAGGGTATCTTCCATGAGCACAGCCTATGAGGTCGTGCTGCCATATGGTGAGACGACTATATATTGTACGATAAAAGGTCCACGGTTAACCAAAGTGTTTGGTTATATGTCAAGCAAAAATATTTCCCAACCATAATTATCTTTGCTCATTCTTTTATTTAAACGTAATAGACGAACATAATTTCATGCAATTACAAATAAAGTCATTAAACGACTAAATAAATAGCTACTTTACCCGTAAAATTAGTGCTTTATAAAACATTTCATGGGGTGATTGTTATACGACGTTATTGTGTTTGAATTTAATGTAATCGATTGATGAATTGTACGAGTAACTGACAGCGTGAGTGTTATGCAGTATTGTTTTTAAAGGTGCGATGATTGGAAGACTCGTGGCAGGTTTATGCTTAGTGAACTGCAGTGAAAGAACTATGTAGAAATCGTTGATGAAGCTAGTTGTAATTACTGGCGAAACGTCGTACTCAGATTGTAAATGTTATGGCTTGGCTCTCCAACACACCGGTGTGCTGTACTAGTGACGAATTTGCATGTTCTGTCTACGTGAAAAACCTTACTAATTGGCCGTGTCGGGTGGTGGCAGGTTTAACGACACATTTAAATATTTATGCAATATAACCCAAAACAACTCTGTATTATGGATATTGGTCGCAAAAGCCTCCGTGTTAAACAATTTGTTCTCAGCTGGAAGTACAGCAAATCAGAAAGACAATACAATAATTTAAAATATAATTACAAATATGGGAAACTGACATTGTCATGATCGTCAAGTACTGAAATTGTATATTGCATGGTAATGTATTCTAAAATAAGATTCTGCTGCAAGCTTAATGTTAAGACTGTCATGGCATATTAAGAGGTGGTATGGTCAGTACAAAGCTTACCAAGCCCCCTTTGTCTCTCCCGTGCTGCCTTCCACCATACAACTCCATTAAATATTAACTCAATATAGGAGAGGTGCGTATTATGTTAAGATATCAAACTACCATTGGTGGGTGATGTGTCTGGCCAGGAATCAATCCAGTCAGTAGTGCCATAACCGTTAGGATCCACACAAATAAACACACAAAGATCCCCTGTATAGCCTTTAACAGACTGTTGGGGCAAGTGCTGTTAACGAGCACCTATTCATGAGGGGGCAAGTGGCCAGGACCATGCCTGGCCGCCTTTGTCTTCCCAGTGCTGATGATTGTACACTGCACGAGGTACTCATTTAAGGCTCAGGACATGTTCAGATATTTGTCACTGATGTTGGCCGTGTGCGAGAATCGAATTCGGGTCTCCTGTTTCATAACACAGTGTGCTAACACACCACAGGAGCACATGCGCACACACATATACTGCACATATAATTTTCTGAAAATAAATCAAACATGGCTTATTTTATTTGAAGGCACATCTAACAGCTATATAAATGTCGGTGCATTTCTAAACTATAGAAATATTACATCTAATCAAGTGAGGTAAGTCCGTCAGAGGGTTAAGACAACCACAGTAATGAGGCAAACAAAACAAACGAAATCCTGGGGAAAAAAAAACAGTAACTCGGGCATAAATATAAAAGGAAACAATATAAACAAAACTAAGCACACACCCTTTAGCTATAAAGAACAATTCTGGGAATGTAGACACATTCAAACATCCATCACAAATGTGGCCAGATCAAACAGCAGAGAAATGGTTCAGATTTGGGCCACGTGTTCATCAAGTGCTCCTCTATGCTAATGGGATGAGGATGGGGGAAGAATCAAAGGCCATAAAACACCTCCACTTTAATGAGAGAGAGAGAGAGAACATTCCACTCCCAGGGCAAGAAATAAGATGGGGCCTAAACGCAGTGGAACGCCTGGGGAGAGAACAGTCTATCTTAACACAATATGGTGCCGACCTTTAATACAGGTTAATATTATCATATTGAAAAAAGCGGATAGAATCATATTTTTTCTAGAATTTAAAAGCAGTATCATACCCTCTGATTCAAGCACAGGATAATTTAAAGTACTTTTATTACTTTTTTTAAAGTCAAAGATCTCATGCTCAAATGAGATTCTACATGCATATGGCAGGAACAAACACTTCTATAGGATATTATTGGTTCTTCCGGTAAAGTCACGTAGATAGAAAATAAAATAAAATTATAATTTTTGATGATTTAAATTGTATTTTCTATCTACGTGACTTTACCGAAAGAACCAAGAATATGAATTCCTGCAGTCACGAAAGTTTTAAGTCAAAACTTCTAAAAAATAGATGCGACGAACATCCCCACAAGCGGTGGCGCCTCACCAGGTGGTGCTCATTTTACCCATCCGAGATCCGGTGACGGACGTGATAGGCCAGGTTGATCCTAGTTGAGAGATAAACTCATGCTTTGATTTTTTAGAAACCTTGCTTCTCTAACCAACTCCTCAACATGTCAGGATTATCGGGCAATTTTTTTTAAATTGCATTCAAAAGAAAGAAGCATAATCAATGCTTATGCTTTGGGTTTTTCAGTAAAGTCACGTAGATAGGTTCAAAGAAAATAACAAAGAAACAAAAACTAAGACGTTTCGATTGCAAAACAAGCGGTCGTCGATCGCAACACAAGACGTGACTTTACCAAAAGACCCAAAGAATATGAATTCCTGCAGTCACGAAAGCTTTAAGTCAAGAAGTAACCAATGCATTTATAGAATGCCAACATGTCCATGAATGCCGATTTGTTTCCGAAGTCCAAATTACAGCTGGGGTGAAATTCATTTCAAATTTGTAGCTTCGCTATAACAATCAGAAGAAAAAAAAAGTCCTGAACTGTGCTGAGATCAAAGCGTGAACTCGCCAAGTCATGCCTTGACGCTCACCATGGGCACAGGCACACTTTAGAAGTGAATTGGTTTCCGGTGGTTATTGGTTGGAACACACCGGACGTGCAGTGACTCATTATTTGCAAATGCTATGATTCCGTTACTATTCCCATGCTGTATGTAGTAATGACAAATCCTATTAAACAGATCCTTGACCAGGGCCGCAATATTTTGTCGGCGTCTCTTAGCCACATCCGGACCCCCACGTTGGCTGCACCCCTGACATGCATTCCAAGTGAAGTTCAGATTCAATGGGAAAGTGAGAGTTAGCCCCTGCCCATGGGCCAATGTGCAATGAGAAGCAATCGAATAGGGACTTCACGTCAGCATACGAGCACGTGAATTGGTGCTGTTGTGACGGCTGCTACGTGAAAATGAAATAAATAAAACGTTTAGATTTTGGTGTGTAGAAGAATAGACACACACACACACAACTAAACATGTTTTTGTTTATTTTACCATCAAGTGCACACACACACACAGCAGCCACACACGTACTCATACTGCACATCGTGACACCATCTCACACACTCCACTCATCAAGTATCACAACTTTCACCGTGGGAGGTCGGGTACATTTTTTTAATAAAGTAGCAGCTTACAGCTGCTAGATAAAATATAAGACCGGTAGGCCCTGAGAGCAATGATGTAATAAAACACAAAAGTACAGAGTGCTGTTGAGGTCTCATCTCACCTTCTCACCTGGGAGTCCATTCCTCCCAGTCTGGCCGGCCTCTCCCTGTCACATTGTAAACCACACGCGATGAGACAGGGGGCACCACATACTTCTCCCGCGTGCTCACAGCATGGGATGAGCCGAAACCGTGTTCCAATCGGACCGCGTGCACATGTAACCGTGACGAGCGTTCTAATGAGGGCTTTGCAAGCCACACGAGCGGCAGCGTATCCGGGGCCATTAACACGCGCACACGTGCTCATTTGAAAAATGCTGGCATTTTGTCTTAACCCTGCGTCGAGGCCTCCCCGCCCTCCCCCCCCACCCCCCGATTGTATCGCCAGGCTGAAGGGAGCTTTCATAGGGCAGGAGGGGAAGTGGATTGTCGACAGGTTCAATTTAGGAGCGAATGGGGCACGGCACCCCGGAGTAGAGGTTACGGGGTGTGAGGTATCGTGACAATGATGACTCACAACCTCGATCCCCGGTAAATACGCCACCGCAGGTGTGAAACAATTAAAAATGTAGCCACCTAAAGCAACAGACGCACTTCTTATGCACGGGCTTCTAGAGAAGCATTAAAAAAAAGCGTTGTATTACTGCACACAAGCCATGTGTGGGTGTGTTATCCCACATGGCTTTTGCTTTTTTTTTTCTGCTTTGTACATTTCCTATTTATCATTGCGATTCGGCCTGGGTAAGGAACTGCTGTAGTTACCGTTAAGCCAGGTTTTCCAGGAAAACCATCCGCCCCCGGCTGACCTGCCTCACCCTAGAAAGACATACAAACAGGACAAGGACCATGCTGTTTACAGTATTTTATTTATCTATTTTATTTTGTTAGCTGTTTTTTTTATTTTAACCCTTTCACCAGATGGGGACAGTGACCGTGTCATTTGCAATGTTATGAAATGTGTGTTTTTTTTTTTCATTGGTTTTAGACCTGTTCTGAATTGCTGTGGGAGATTCTCACAGAGATTATGATGGCGTCTGGTTGTGACTGCATCGGTGTGCAGGGAAATTAATTGTAAAACATGATATTGAGCCCAAAAACAAGTTCAGGGACTTCAATGGCAGTAGTGTAGACAAAGACTGAACACCAGACCACTATAATCCATAACATTCAATCTTATATTAAAATAAAAGGCATTTAAGAAATGGGAAATTGCTACATTTTCAAATCAATGGCACTTCTGTTTCCAAGAAGAGTCAATGGCAGCAACATCGGTCTCATGTATAATTTCAAGTCAGTTAATGGCATTATTAGTTCACGATAACCTTTGCAAAGTATTCTCAGCTTGTTACGAAGCAATTATTCAAATTCACTGTTGTGTTTACATGACTGCAGGTGAAAGGGTTACTTAAACAGATATATATAAAAAAAATACGCAATTTGGTCACGTTTATAGTTGACATTTACAATTCAGATTGGAATTTGGAATTTTGTGCAGAATATATTCAAGAAAACATTTTGCCTTTTGTCACTCAATCATGCAGGAATACAAGCCGCATAATGGCACTGCAACAGAAGCAAGCAAATTAAAACACTAAGGCAAAGCCTAAATATCGCAGCTGAAAAAAAGAAACACGCTCACATACAAAAGAAGACCAAAATGTTAAAAATAAACCAAAAACAATGAAATGCAAACTCAGCATTCAGTAGAATCTGCTCAACACCACTACATTCGGCAAAACATATCAAACTGCGGACGTGAAAATCGATTGGACAAGTCATTTTCTTAAGTGGGTTAGGTTTGTTTACAGATGTTATTGTCAGCATGGGGTGAACCATTCTTAAAATGAGAACTTTAACAAAACACAAACCAAACCGTGCCGTTGTTATAATGAGCTAGTGTACCACAGGGAGGAGGAAGGAATTGAACTGTTGACCTTTACATTTAGGAAGCCAGTTTATAACCCTCATATTACCTAGCAACCAAATATCAACGGTCAGCGGTGCTTATTATCCACCATGCAGCATTTTTGTATTGCAAAAAGCAGCACGTATTAAGCTGATTCCACTGTATTGTTTTTTTTTTGTTCAACAGGTACATGATTTTGATTTAAAGCTTTCGTGACTGCAATAATTCATATTCTTAGCTCTTTCGGTAAAGTCACGTCATCACCTGATGACGACCGTTTATGTTATGGTCGAAACGTCGTGAGAATTTTTTATTATTTTATATATATTTTATTATTTTATTGTTTCCCTTCAACGTGACTTTACCGAAAGAGCTAAGAATAGGTACATGATTGTGGATGTCAAGTGTCTTGATTATAAGTACATTTACAGAGTATTCAGATGTGGTTGATGTTAGTGAATAGGAATCACCTTAGCTGGTACATTGCACGCATTCCACATCAGCGAACACACATGTTTTGCATCAGTCTTTGGATGAACACATTCTTAGCTTGTACAAGTTTGTATCACAGACTCATCTACACAAAAAATTTCCCTACAGATCAAAGTTTCTTCAATGTATGTCCGCATATTTCAACCAAGCTTTACATGCATTTTAGATCATCATAAATACACAATTTATTAAAGCCTTATTTGAATCATCTGCTTCATGACGGTTTCTCATTGCCGTGTTTTTCATTGAGGTTGTTTGACCATACTTCACCACACCCGTCAGTGTGGCTTGGTGAAGTGGGGAGACCAGCATCGGTTCAGATAAAACTTTACCACAGATGGTTAGCCATGGCAGCAATTGTACTTGGGTCACTGGGTTTCTCATGCAGTGCGAAAACGCATGTGCCACTGCTCCACCCAAGCTCACAGTGTCGAATTCTCCTTTAAAGCCATTTTATCTGACTAGTTTCCACAAATGGGACTGTTCACAACCTCAATTCGTAACAATGCCAATCAGCAGCTTAAGTTGAGACTAATTTGTATTTTGTTTGCCAAACAATTTGAAAGGCAGATTACACACTCAAAATAATTTAAATGCATTATGACTGTAACATTTCCTACATGTGCAGAACAACACTGCTGCAAGGCAGGCTTTTCTAACAAAACAAAAGGAATGTAATTATGTTGGGGTATACACAAAAACAATGTTTTTTTACATCACGGGCACATTCATTTCTGGACAGAGCAGCGGGTAAGAATATTAATGCTTTCGAGATAAACAATGGAAACTTTGTCAAAAAAAGTAATTATCAAAATTACAGGTTAAAAATAACATTAACGACTAAGGCCAACAAATAAGAGGGGTTTTGTGTGCCCATTATGGGAAGTACCTTCATGCCAGGTACCCCGTGATCTCCTGGTCTTCCGCTCATGCCAGGCTGTCCCTGTAACAAGGGAACTCATTACTGCTTAATTAGAGCATTTATGGATACAGATAAAGGCTACTCGGTTAATAAGTAAGCAGACACAGTAGACCATTTTTTTTTCTACCTGAAGTTCAAAGTGTTCACGATTTTCGGCAACTGCTGTACAAAAAGGAACTGGAACTAGAAAAGACAAATATGTTGAATTTAATTATAGTCTGCACTGTAATTCTGACGTGAGAAATCAGCATATGCATTTTAAACGGATTATTACTGCACATCGTTTATGAGCGCTAAACACTGGGGTTTGTGGTAGAGCAGGCGGCTCGCAAAGTGAAAGGTTGCAGGTTAATATTCTGGTTGGGGATTTACTCGGCCCATCATCTCCGTGAGGTCGATAAAACGAGTACCACTTCGTGGGAAGTCAACAGTTGTTGTCTCCTATGGATAAACTCTCCCCTGCCATAGGAAAGTGGAATTTCCAACATTGTCTCAGGGTTGTAAAATGGAGATGAGCAAAGCATACATGCTCATTTGAGCCAGAAATCTCTTTGCATTTGAGAGTGTGCTATCCACACAGAGGCAAATATTAAGATGGCCAATTTGTACGACGCAGAATGTTAGTGGAATTTCTGTTTGCGAGTGGCTGTTAATGGTGTTGTAAACACCTTTTGCTGTGAGTGGGAGGTTGCGTCCAGCACCACACTTCACCATGCTTATGTTAAATGTCAGCGTTAAATTATCTTTCAAAGATGTCTTATATGACTCGTTTCCACGAACAGAGCTGATGTTCATATACTGCACTAATGACTCATTTTTGGCGAAGTTTAACTAAGACCCAAGCCAACTTTCAAATATCAATGACTATGAGTGCCGTGTGTGAACATCACGACAAGGAAATGTGCCATGCACACACAGTAACATGCCAATCCATCCTTGTCTCTCCACTGCTGATGTTTGCATACCACCGCATTAATTAATTTAAGTCCGAGTGAACCTAGGGGAAGACTAAGACAGGTTCACAAACCGCTTGCCACCAACGTTGTTTTTCCACTCCGCTTACGTCAAACTCAACGAACAGGTCGAGTCACGTCGTACGACGAAAACGATAAACCGTACCCGCTGGATTTTCGATTTAAAGGGATTCATGTTCTTGGTTCTTTCGGTAAAGTCACGCTGTCTTACCGACAGCTCTGTTATTCACCTGAGGACGGCTGCTTGCGTTGTGGCCGAAACGTCGTGAGAATTCTATTTTATTATGTTTAATTTTTACTATTTTATTATTTCCCTTCTACATGACTTTACCGAAAGAACCAAGAATACGTACCCGCTGGCTCTGCTTAGCTCTGAGCCAGATTCAGACATTCACGGTTTGGTTCGAGTTCATGTTAACAGCCAGTGGAAAACCACCAGTACTGTGCGGGCCGTGTGCTGGCATTAGGCTCAGATGTGTCAGTAGAAAACGGGTAGGGGGTCGTCCATAAATGACGTCACGCGATTTTGGACGATTTTTTACCCCCCTTTGTCACACGGCATCACAAAAAGTCAGGCCCCCCCCCAAATATGACGTCACAAAGCCCTGCCCCCCCCCAAATAAAATATGCTTCAAATCGCTATAAATTATTGTCATTGTAGTGCTTATTTAATGTGGCGCTGCACTCTGTTGTAGGAGAAAACATTGATTTAATAGTCTATTTAATTAAGTAGAACGTGTCGTCTATATTTATTTAAAGTTGCGCATTTTGATGTGACGTCACATTTCTCAACCCCGCCCCCCCCCTCGTCACACATCGTCACAAATGTCTGACCCCCCCCCCCCAGGTGCGTGACGTCATTTATGGACGGCCCCCTAGGATATTCTGTGGCTGGAAATTTAAGTCAGGCCACTGAGTTCATTGTACAGCAACTCTAACCCACTTATGCCATGCCTCTCCACAGCACACACACACACACCCAACATCTGTACACAGACACAATAGATAGACAGAGCAAGTTGAATTGGCATGAAATTGAACTAACTGGTGGTCCAGAACTTCCTGGGATGCCCGGCTTGCCAGTTTCTCCTGGGAAACCCTACAAGGGGGCACCACACAAATTTCAAATAAATCAAAACATACACCGACACAGCTTGCAATATGAGAACAGAAATTACAGTGAACAAGCTATGATACAACACTACACCAATGTAAACACCTAACACATATACGTGACCATACAATGGAAACAATCACCAATGTGATATTGTGATATGCCATATACACTCGCGGCACGGGAACAATTTGGAAGTGAAGGGCAATTATATTACCATGCATAGGGGCTCATGAAGGCTGTTTATGGGGTAACATGGATTTGAACTCAGGTTCAAATATCTTCCTGTCTTGTTGTTGCTAAAAATGGTGACAGTAAGCAAGCTAATCAAGTTTGAACCACCTCTACGGGGAGGATTTGAGTTTGTTTTCTCTCTCTCTCTCTCTGTGTGTCTCTGTGTTGTCTCTCTCTCTCTGCGTATGTGTCTCTCTGTGTGTCTCCGTGTCTGTGTTTTGTCTCTCTCTCAACTTGAGCAATCTTTGGAAGAACGTAATCAACCAGGTAGGGTGTTGACTGTTGTGTTAGCCGACTCTCTGCGTTGTATTGCATTATATTTCTAAGTTTACTCGGTTTGTTTGCTCATTCTTTCTTACCTAATGACGATTGCTTGTGTTGCAATCTAAACGTCGTGGCATATTATTTATTTATTTCCCCTACGTGACTTTACCGAAAGAACCAAAGCGTAATGGTCATGGTGGTTTTTGTGATGTTGGTGTGGCAGTGTGGTTATAATGGCCGTAGCTGTGGTGCTGTTGCTGCTGATGGTAGTGGTGCTCGTGGTTGTATTGGTGTCTGTGGTGGCTTTGGTTATGGTGTTTGATGGTTGCGGCTGTAGAAGTTGCTCGTTTGTAGAGGTATTGCTCTCATGCTGAATGTGGTGATGAGTATTGTTATGGTTGTGGTGATGCTGTTGATGGTTGTGGTGGTAATGGTTGTGATGTGATGCTGGTAGTGATTTTGATAGTCGTAGTAATTGTGGTGGTGGTTGAGCGTAATGTTGTGTATGGTATTGCTGATGGTCAAGGTAGTTGTGGTATTTATTATGGTTGTAATAAAAATGAATGGTGATGGTGGTATTAGTCGTGGTGGTGGTGGTCGTTGTTATAGTGTTATATTTTGTTGTTGTACTTCTGGTGATGATGGTGGTGTTGGCGGTAGGGGTGTCAGGGGTAACATTGTTGATGGTTATGGTGGTTGTGGTTATTCTTTGGTTCTTTCGGTAAAGTCACGTAGAAATAGAAAATAATAAATTACATTATTTTCTATTTCTACGTGACTTTACCGAAAGAACCAAATAATAATTCCTGCAGTCACGAGAGCGTCAAATCAAGTTGTGGTTATTGTTGGTGGTGACGGTCTTGATCTTGTAGCATAACTCTGGCTCCGCTCATAGGATGCGCATTCCACTCTCTCTGTCCGTGATCGTCTCAGGCACAGCATGTGCCATGCGACTCTGGCACATAGCTGTCAGATTGGAAGTTTTTACTCACAGGTAAACAAAAAAAACGACGTTCATTTTCTTTTTAGGAAACCAAATTAAAACATGTTCTCGGTATGAGTTGGAAGCAAAAGAGATGGGAGACCATGGGCACCCATTGGTTAGCCAAGGGTGGAGGAGGAGGACATAATTGTGGGGAGCACTGAGGGGCGGGCACACCATATAGCTTGCTCCTCCGGTTCAGATATCCGAGGAACAATGTATATATGTTGAACTTCTTTCACACTGTACATAGCCAACCGTGTTAACTGGAGGTGCAGGTGTAAGGACACCAAACTAAACACAAAAAGCAGTTCTAAAGAAATGAGTTTTCAATATAGATCATTTAAAAGTGCATAGCTCCAGTGGCTTCCTAATATCGGAAGGAAGAGCGTTCCAGATAGCCGTGGAAGTACATCTGAAAGCACGCGATGCAGTGAACGTATTTTTACGATGGCGAGCCAAAAGCTACTGCGAGTAGCTGCATGTAGCTGCATTACCTCTGCATTCCGTGTTTCAATGGCAATTATCAAAGTGTTATTAGAATAGTAAAGATGAAAAATTGTAAAAATTTAATAAAAATGTACTTCTTTTTAGTTTGGCTATTATGCTGTCCCTCTTACCCAACATGCTAGGCCATGCTTGTTTATGTTCTGTAAAGAATATATCACTGAAACGTTAATGTTCATGATGCAGCTCTGTCGACGTATGGAAAAAATATATATAAAGACGATTTTATTAATTCAGCGACATTAACAGCGCACAAATTATGTGGTGGTCCTGTGTTGGTCGTGGAGCACAAGCGCAATTAACAAAAAAAAACACTCAACACATTCGTCAATAACAAGCTGTTGAGAGTAAAAACATATAATCCGTGACATATTTGAAAATGGTCCTTCTCCTGAAACGGTGATTGAATCCAGCAATACAATGCAACGTGTATTTTGCCCTATGCCTACAGGAACATATGTTCCCACAATGCAATGTGCAAGCAACATTTGTGTAATTTAACCTTCAATAAAAATTGTTGATTTCATCATACAGTGAGGGAAAAAAGTATTTGATCCCGTGCTGATTTTGTACGTTTGCCCACTGACAAAGAAATGATCAGTCTAAAATTTTAATGGTAGGTTTATTTGAACAGTGAGAGACAGAATAACAACAAAATCCAGAAAAACGCATGTCAAAAATGTTATAAGTTGATTTGCATTTTAATGAGGGAAATAAGTATTTGACCCCCTCTCAATCAGAAAGATTTCTGGCTCCCAGGTGTCTTTTATAACAGGTAATGAGCTGAGATTAGGAGCACACTCTTAAAGGGAGTGCTCTTAATCTCAGCTTGTTACCTGTATAAAAGACACCTGTCCACAGAAGCAATCAATCAATCAGATTCCAAACTCTCCACCATGGCCAAGACCAAAGAGCTCTCCAAGGATGTCAGGGACAAGATTGTAGACCTACACAAGGCTGGAATGGGCTACAAGACCAATGCCAAGCAGCTTGGTGAGAAGGTGACAACAGTTGGTGCGATTATTCGCAAATGGAAGAAACACAAAAGAACTGTCAATCTCCCTCGGCCTGGGGCTCCATGCAAGATCTCACCTCGTGGAGTTGCAATGATCATGAGAACGGTAAGGAATCAGCCCAGAACTACACAGGAGGATCTTGTCAATGATCTCAAGGCAGCTGGGACCATAGTCACCAAGAAAACAATTGGTAACACACTACACCGTGAAGGACTGAAATCCTGCAGCACCCGCAATGTCCCCCTGCTCAAGAAAGCACATATACATGCTCGTCTGAAGTTTGTAAATGAACATCTGAATGATTCAGAGGACAACTTGGTGAAAGTGTTGTGGTCAGATGAGACCAAAATGGAGCTCTTTGGCATCAACTCAACTCGCCGTGTTTGGAGGAGGAGGAATGCTGCCTATGACCCCAAGAACACCATCCCCCACCGTCAAACATGGAGGTGGAAACATTATGTTTGGGGGTGTTTTTCTGCTAAGGGGACAGGACAACTTCACCGCATCAAAGGGACGATGGACGGGGCCATGTACCGTCAAATCTTGGGTGAGAACCTCCTTCCCTCAGCCAGGGCATTGAAAATGGGTCGTGGATGGGTATTCCAGCATGACAATGACCCAAAACACACGGCCAAGGCAACAAAGGAGTGGCTCAAGAAGAAGCACATTAAGGTCCTGGAGTGGCCTAGCCAGTCTCCAGACCTTAATCCCATAGAAAATCTGTGGAGGGAGCTGAAAGTTCGAGTTGCCAAACGTCAGCCTCGAAACCTTAATGCCTTGGAGAAGATCTGCAAAGAAGAGTGGGACAAAATCCCTCTAGAGATGTGTGCAAACCTGGTGGCCAACTACAAGAAACGTCTGACCTCTGTGATTGCCAACAATGGTTTTGCCACCAAGTACTAAGTCATGTTTTGCAGAGGGGTCAAATACTTATTTCCCTCATTAAAATGCAAATCAATTTATAACATTTTTGGCATGCGTTTTTCTGGATTTTTTTGTTGTTATTCTGTCTCTCACTGTTCAAATCAACCTAACATTAAAATTATAGACTGATCATTTCTTTGTCAGTGGGCAAACGTACAAAATCAGCAAGGGATCAAATACTTTTTTCCCTCTCTGTAAATACTTTTTAATAATCGAAGGCTTTGCCTGTTACCCAATAGCTAACATTAGTTCACTATTCATATTACAATACAAAAAAAACTACTCATCATAAAACATAAAAAAATTATCTTCAGGTCCCATGGAATCCAGTGCCGTCTCCAACTGTGATTATCCACTCTATCTGTATTGTCTCTTTATTTGCGTGCGATGAAGAAGGGCAAAAGCCTAAATGAAACCTATTATTTTATTAGGGCTACAGTGTTATTTACCCATGTGCCGGGTTAACAGTGATGTATTACGAAAGCATGCTAATCTTGACGTTACCTATGTGGCTTATCACATTTCAACTCATGACCTCAATGGTGCTAAATAAATGTTCCCGATGTGATGATGCAATCGTTGACTTGCCCAACCACCATTTTTTTTGTAAATGCGAGAGCATGCATAGACCAAAAGAAAATTAAAACGTTTAAATGCCCTGCACAGATCGCAAGACTTTCGTGTGTGAAAGGGTTATTGTTAACACGTGGGTGTGCATACCATCGGGCCGGCTAAACCAGGAGGCCCAGGAAATCCAGGGGGGCCCTACGTGAAACAAACAACGGAGACATTAGCTGGTGCGGCAAAAATAATAATCAATGCACAGGGCAAACACATAACATATGTTAAGATTATTGAACACACTTTATTTTCCACGTAGGTTCATAAAAATCAACCGGAATCAAATAATATTGTCCCTATACGTTTGGATACAGGCGTTTAGCACAATGCAGAACCATGGGTCAACAAATGATTGTGCCACGGGGAAGCTTTGTTACCCACCGGAGGAATGCCGATTGTTTTCGCGTCTACCAACAGGGAAGGAGAGACTCCCCTGGTGTGACGGCCAGCACACACCCCACTTGCAATCCGGAGGTCGCCGGTTCGATTTGAACTCCCGGCGGGGCAGTTGAAACATTGGTGCAAGTTTCTTAAATCCTGTCCTCCCAGCAGCGTATACATGGGTACGTACGTGAATGGTTGGTCGCGTACATGGGTATGGGGACGGTTAGTCATATACATGGGTATGGATTGGTTAGGCGTATATATGGGTATGGGAAGGGTTAGTCATATAAATGGGTACGTCATTGTTAGTCGTATACATTGGTACGGGAATGGTTAGTCGTATATGTGGGTACGTGACTGTTAGTCGTATTCATTGGTACGGGAATGGTTAGTCGTATGTGTGGGTACGTGACTGTTAGTCGTATTCATTGGTACGGGAATGGTTAGTCGTATGTGTGGGTACGTGACTGTTAGTCGTATTCATTGGTATGGGAATGGTAAGTCGTATGTGTGGGTACGTGACTGTTAGTCGTATTCATTGGTATGGGAATGGTAAGTCGTATGTGTGGGTATGTGACTGTTAGTCGTATTCATTGGTACGGGAATGGTTAGTCGTATGTGTGGGTACGTGACTGTTAGTCGTATTCATTGGTACGGGAATGGTAAGTCGTATGTGTGGGTACGTGACTGCTAGTCATATTCATTGGTATGGGAATGGTTAGTCGTATGTGTGGGTACGTGACTGTTAGTCGTATTCATTGGTACGGGAATGGTTAGTCGTATGTGTGGGTACGTGACTGTTAGTCGTATTCATTGGTATGGGAATGGTAAGTCGTATGTGTGGGTATGTGACTGTTAGTCGTATTCATGGGTACAAGTGGAGGTCCTTTTGATCAAGGCATGTCAGGGCTGCACCTTAACATTTTACTAACAGAGCTCTGCACTCTCGTGAGCAGGGAGACCCTCGCAGACAGATTCACATCTGAATTAAATTGTCATCACCTCGGCATTTCTCTTTTGATCATGCCGTATGGATCAGCAAGTTCGTTATCAGATAAAAATGGACATTAGTAAAGACGTGAATTGGGGGCCTCAGTGTGAATTAAGAGAAAGAGGCAATTATAAGCCCCCACAAAAAAGCACATTCAACTACATACATTTTCATCAAATAATACGAACCTCACATTTTGAATAGATTAAATATAATTGCTTACAAATTCTAAGAATATTAATTTGTCATTAGACTACGCTAATGCATTTAACTGTCATTAGACTATGTTAATGACATAATTAAAATGGACGCTTGTATTGCAGCATAATTAGAAGATATGATATTGCACAAATGTATAAGCATACATTTGCCACCATTACACACTAACATCTATATATCACATACTGCACAACAATTAATGTAATTGTCACTCCTTTGCAACACTGTATAATAATCCAATACAGTATAAGAAAACCTGTTCATGTACTATAACTATCTATCAATCAATCAGGAAATACATTTTCCTTAGATCATATCAAAAGTAATATACTATACAACATTTTTATATATAAATCAAAGTCTGTCTGTTCCGAATACAAAGTCACACCGTTGAATCTACCGCCGCCAAATTTGGCAAGGTTACCTTTGAAAACCACACGGAAAAACTTAAGTACATGGCGTGCCAACATTCTATATGTGGGGGCTCAGAGCCTCCCAAACGGCACCCCGCACGCTCCCAGCGATGTCACCATCCCTAACCCAGCACGCATTAACCTGGCCCCGCAAATCTAACAGTTACATAATGACCCCCTTTCCGCCCATAAAGTTAGCCTAACAATTGCCGTTGATTGTAGCAGCCAAAACCCCGTTGGATGGTGAGTCCAATTAACGGTCAAGCTCCGTGAGCACGCCCTTCGTCTTTCTGTGCGAGATAAGCGGCATCGTTCGCTCTTCAAAAAAACAAAGCTCCACTATATCATTGTGTACCCCATTGTGGACACGCTATACTACATTTATTACAGGCCCCATGGCACAGCAAAATCTTAACAGTTGCTGTAACGCCATTGATCGCCCGCCCCCCCACCTCCTCCTCCTTCTGAATACAGCGATTTAGCCACTCTACATTTCGCAATGCCGGGCAAGTGCCCGGGCAATGCCTTGTATTTCCCCGCTTGTGTTAAATATACAATTAGCTTCATAATGTGCCACTTACAATTAAAATTATACATTCAAAACTGCTGAAGATGCAAAGTAACGACAGAGATTTAATAACGTGTTTTTTTGTACCTTGCACGAACCCAATATGGGGTGGAACAATTTTCGTATTATTCCCGTGTTCAATATACAAACCACTTAAGTATAGTAATGCTAAATGTGATGTCTAAATATATTATGATGTTGGCTCATTAATGTCACGTAAGCAATATTTTTCAAAACAATTATCTTATAATCTGTGGCAATAGTAAACTGCAGTACGTATTGAATAGTTGTAACCATTACATTTTTATGTTTGCAGTTACACAGGTGAACACTGGAGGGCCGTCTAACACCGCGGATTCAAGGAGCTGCTAGTGCCGATTCAAGACATGGATGATTCCTGTTGCAGTTGACAGCACACAATGCTCGTCCATGTTGTACGAGGCACCATCCAGCAATGCGTTTGTATAGAAAGTGTCTTCCATTGCACACACACACATCTCTTCATATGAATGTCAGCAAATTGAGTGATCATTGATTTGATTGATCTCCCGCAGGGCCTTTCTTTAGGTCTCGATTGATCTTAGATTGTAGATCAAATAGGGTACCCTATTTTCTCAGCATCCAGCTGAAATTGAAAACCAATGCCAGGGACTGCAAACAACTCATGACTTTTTTTAATGTAACAGTTCTATATGAAAATTGCACTGTTACTGGTTCAGCTTTTTTTTAATCAATGGGCGATTCGAATATTTTGGCTCAATCGACCTAAGTGAGGTTTTGGAATTCGTTTTCTCGCTCTCTAAAACATGTCTTTCTTCGAATTTCTACTTCGATTAATTTTATTCCTACGTTGCTAATTTATGTCAAGGCGCAGAGCATTATGCGAGCTTTGGATGTGCCCCTTGAAAAAAAAAGAGACTGCAGAAATACTATCCGGTACTTATACAGATGCCCTCTATTTTACCACAACCATACAACAACAATATTCCTTCATCTCTACAGATGCGTGGTATGGTTGTATCTATCTGACAATGCGCTCTACTGCTTACAAAGAGAACATTCATTCTGTGCTATTAACTGCTGGGGGCAAATGCTGTTCGTATGTATGTTGCATGTCTGTACGTTGAACTTCTTTCGCACCGTACTACAGCCAACCCTGCTAATCGAAGGTCCGGAGTGTAGTATGACCAGTGCCATGTCTGGTCACCTATCTTTCCTCAATGATAACGTTTTTACACATTGCAACCGATAACCATATAAAGCGGAGCCATTAAATCGGGCTCAGGGCAGGATCAATTGCCACTCATGCTACAAATAAACAGAAATCAAACCCAGGTAACCGTAATCGCAATGTTGCATGGTAGCCGCTGTGCCACTGCTCCCCAAAATACAAAGATCCACCATGTAGCCTAAACAGACGATTTGGGTAAGTGATGTTAGCGAGCACGTGTGAAGGCCAGGATGGTACACGAGAGAGTGGGTAGCCAGCACCACGCCCAGGTGCTTTTTGCCTCCCGAATGGCCATTTATACACATTGCACCAGGCACTCATTTGAGGTTGAGTCGACCTAAGAAAGGCACAGGACTGGTTCAAATAGTAGTCACTGGTGTTGGCCATGAGTGGGAAACGCACTTGGGTCACCGGGTTTGTAACGCAGTGTGCTCACCATTACATTGGCTCTCCCCATTAAATGCACACTCACATAGTGTGCCTTTGAGAGTTGCGATGAATCCAATTGTTTGCAGAACCAAGGTGCATTTCTAATGTGAAATGTGAAAATGCTGAAACTATAGAACTCACAATGCATATATCTGTCTTACCTGAGGTGGTTACTCCACGATCTCGGTGATTATGGTTTCGTACTATTGGACTGGCTTAAGCGCCCTAAGCCAGTTGACCAACTAAAGAATTGTGTTTTTTTTAGTCAGCCAAGAAATTAATAAACGTATATATTACGTTTATTAAGCAGCCTGCGATTAAACTGTGTTCTCAAGTGCACTATGTCATCAATCAATGCACGCAAAAAAACATGTAACATTAAAATTGTTTCTTCACTTAAATTTGGTTCAATTCCAGCTCTGAGAATTACAAATATTGGTTTGACTGTTAGTGGGTAAGTGCTGCCTCCTACTGCGTGGTCTTGAGGTCACTTGAAGGGAACTCAAGAGCTACCTCTGTGGTGTCTGCTTCTTTGGGTCGTTAACTAACGCGAAGGGAAGTACGGATTTCCATTCATGAGTGGTTGGCATGTGGGAGAATACTAGATTATACTGGAAAATGAAGGGCTAACGTCCAAAGCTCCGCACAGATGGATTCAATCCAACCCACGCCTCCCAAGTGCAGCATTACAGCCATTTGCCACTGCCCCTGGCTATATGATCATCTAAATATTATTTAAATCTAAATACAAAAGAAACTAAAACTAAACCATAAACTATGTTTTTATTTTAGCAGGTAAGGCCCACTGAGTTAAATAGCTCTTTTTCAGAAGCGACCTGACTACAAAAGATAGCTCATCAAAGTGACTTATCACGTCGAAATTTACTGCAGTAAAATACTCGAAACACATGTTTTTACATCTGGAGGGAAAAATCGGAGTATCCGGAGAAAAATCCATGCGACCACGGGGAGAACATGCAAACTCCAAGTATACAGGCGTCAGAGTCGATATCAAACCCACGACCTCCTGCATACCAGGTGAGGGAGTTAACATCTCAGCACCGCGGTGCCCCAAAAATATACATTGTATCTGAACAGTTATCGTACATGGCAAACAACGCATTTGTTATACATGTGAATAACCGTTTACAGAAAAATGGTATGAACTTGTAGACAAAATCATGATTTGAGGAATTAAGGGTATTAAAACTAATTTTTGCCAGCCTTGCTCATGCCACGACTGGCAAAGGGCCACCAATTGGTGGCTACTCGAGAAGGTATTCGGCCTACTCTTCCACTGTGACGAGATGTCATGGAAGGGGTTTCTATTACCCCACACTCTATGCAATCACACATGACCTCCTGATCGAGTCAATTTACCAAAAAAAAAAGTTACCCCAATCTCACCTGAGGTCCCCTCGGTCCCTCGTTGCCCGGGGGTCCTGTTTCTCCCCTCCTGCCCTGCGGATGGAACAGCAAAGAGCAGGAACATCGGTACTGTTCAGCATATTTGAACAAAAACGCAACACAGGTATGCACGTGACCTCATACTCATGACACTCAGCAATAAAAATCCAAACCATAGGCAACAAAACAAAGTGATGCGAACATTACGACTGTGCCCAAAAAAAAATGTTTTTTTTTTACCAGCTAACCTTCATTGAAACAAGAAAATCTGCTACGCTCTCAGCTTCTCGCCCTTAAGAGCATTTCTCATCCACTGTTCCCATTTCATGACACAAGCTGACAAACCAATTCACAAAAAGCACAATTTGCAACAAAAACAGACTGACAGTCAGTAAAATGCTTATGTCCCAATCATGTTTGGACCTTTTTAACATAATGCTCTGCAGAATGTGCAAAGAGCTGTGCAAATCATGTGGAATTAGGTACACACAGAACCATTCCATAATCCGTAATAACAAGGGATGAGGGTGGTTTAAAAGTGTATGGCAACATATTACGTTTTTATTATCTGTGTTACAAAAGGAAATAAATTGGTCAAACATAGCAATAATATTGTTATTATTACTATTTTAGAGAAAGGCACTGGTTTGACTTTAAGACCAAATGACAGGTGTTACACTTCAATGTCTTTCCATATCCTTAAGTGCATTTACACAAATTTAGTAGCCTGTGAATAACAGATGGCATCCTTTGGCTATACTTCACAGTTGTATGCAGCAGTGACGAATGCACGTCATAGATGGCTGCATATTGCTGATGGATGCATGTGAATGTAAACGGGCGACGAAATTCACTTTGTTTCACAATTGGCGAGACTGTTGTCCAAAGTGAAGTGTACAAACTCCGTGCTCTGCACATTTCGCTGACTTAATTAGCATTCTTATTCCACATATGTACAAGTGGATGGGTGTTTTCAATAAAAATGAAGTGCATTGTACACTGTGGCCAAACCTTTGCATGCAATACGAGTGTTCCACTTGCGCGCATTACCGAGTGCAATCCAACATGTCAATAGCGCAGGGGGTGAATGTTACATCTAAATTATAATTTTCACTGGTCTTCTTTTTTTTAAAGGCAATTGCTAAGTACAGGCCCAAAGAACCAAAACTTCAATCGGACAGCAACAAACAGCACCATTATCAACGTTGTAATTGAACATATGTAACATGCTTATTGTATTGGGAAAGGTCACAATGGCTTGGTAAAAAGCAAACGAGAATGTGTGGGGGGAATTCCAACGTCAAGCTGTGCAAGGAAAAGATGCACACAATTTAATTGTTGTGACCTGCAGTGTGGCGAGCGGGTATGTGAGTGGGTGAGTGATTGGGTGAATGAATGAGTGTATATATGGGACCAACTCGAACTATTGCAACTTTTCACTTGCATTGCGTTTGTACTGTTCGCCTTTTGGCGTTCTCTGCTCTAACACTAGTGAGACAAGGCCAATCAGTTTCAGGTACAATGCATATATTATCAGAGCACGTTTGTTTGAATGTCTACAGACTTGATGCCTTGCAATAGGTATCTATTTGGTGCTTGAACATCTAACACCTGTTTTATTGTCAGAAAGGGTAAAGTCTATTGTGTCGTGGTAGCTGGACATGGTGTGGATGAGATGAAACAGTCAGCCTGGTAGACCAAGTCCTCCATAAGGAGTGCAGGAATCAATGATTGAGGTTCACTGGAACAGACGCCATGTTAGCAGTGATAAAAACAGAAGCATGTCTATAAGTGGCACATTGTTATCCCACGTGAGTCAATGGTTGTGATAATACATCGAGCTTGAGCACACTGGCTGGTGTCCTCTTGGGCATATTCATCCCTTTGGCTGCCACTCCAGTCTCAGCCTCACCCACCGGCCATCATCCCTTCTATCAACGGGCCCTGCCCAAGCCTATTTGATCCATTTACATTTCTTAACAGTTAATATGTCTCTAACATTGCATTTGTGCTCTGATCAATGTGTTCCTCTTTCTGCCTCGCAATGTAATGCTAAGCATGTGTCTCTCCATGCCTCTTTAGATACCTCTCAGCTTTTGCTCCACAGTCTGTCTGTGTCCATGTTGCTGATCCGTATGTCACAGCAGGTAATACGTACTGATTGAAACCGTTTTTAGGCACATTGGAATTTTGCTTTTCATTACAAAGTAATTTTTTTTCCAAACGCACTTCAGAGTGATATTGTGTGTCTTTTTACTGTTCGTCATAATTTTGATTGCAGTCTGCATTCAATAGCTGCCTTAAATATATACTCTGATGTGTTTTCCTTTGTTTCCCTCCAGCAGGTACCTTCAATTGTTTAGATTACTTTTTGTACTAGACATTTATCTTGAGTCCAAATTTGCAGCCTTGTTTATAACGTTCAATTATTTTCAGGAGTTAATTACATTTGCTATTATGACGATGACATCAGCAAATGTGACATCGTTAATATGGTTTACTTTTATGTTTATGCATTTAGTTCTCAATACAATTTTCAAAAAAAATCTTTAAATGTCTTTATGAATAAGTTTAGTAAAATAATGTCACTTTAGTTAGATTGCCATTCTTATAAATATCATGCTACTTTCTTCATGGAATCTCAGTATGGCTCTTCTCATTTTTGTAAATGTTTTTTTTATGAACATAAAGATATATCACATTTGTATTATTTGTTCATTTGTAACAGCTTGGATGACTACATAATTTCCCACAGAGTCAAAATATGCGTTATGCTCTTATGCAGGCTAGGCACAATGGTTATGCATATTATTACGACTTTTAAATAATATTTTGGATCGATACTCGAGAAACCTTTCCAAACATCCCCTAGACAATATAGCATTCATGTTATTTAAATCAAAAATCCTGAAGTATTTATATACATACGATAAGAGGATAATGGGTCAGCAATATTTCAAGGCAGGTTTATCACCATTAAAAAAAATGCTTAGGGTTAATTATTCTGTGTAAACATTTGATAAAGTCCACTAATCCTGTCCTGCTTATTTAATAGTTATATCATCTGCACCAGGGAGCTTTCACTCTTTTCATACCAAGAAGGGCAAAGACGACTTCTTAAAGTGTAACATGGAATATTTTCCCTTCATCTGACAAACGGTTTAATTCGTTGGGTGTATGATATTAATGAGATATAGACATGCTTAACATTTCTGCACTTATTTTAATATTATATCTCGATGATCTTTAATGGTTATATCTCTTGCCTTGGGGGCATTTGTAAAGTTGACAATAATGCACTTCATTCTCGCTGCTTGCTCCAATATTTTTGTTTTAATCCCATTGCTCGCTTGCTATGGCATTGTGATAAATGTTTACGGCGTGTTCTCCAATTTCTTTTCTCACCCATTTCGTAATCGTCTTACAGGGTTCTGTGCTTTCCATATTTTGTTTAGCAACTCCATCTCCCTTCATAGCTCCCTCTTCCTCAACATGTCTCTCACGATTTCCGATACATTTGTTCTCCGTCTATCTTTCAACATACCCCCCCTCACTCCCCCACTACTATGCTAGTTTTTTGTATTGTTTCAACTCGTAACATCCTGTTCAGTACTGAGAACAGGTCCCTGCAGGGTGGGCTGGTAGGACACGTCTCTGCGCTGTCTATGGCTGATTTTACACCCAACAGCACGAGATTTCACTTCGTTAAAGTATTGAAAGGGGACGGACGGACGGACACATTAATCTATTGCAGGCTGGTACACTCAGTTTACAACTTCGTTCCTACCAGTATAATCTACCTCAAAATCAAGAGAAATAATGCTATGTAAATATACGTCTCGGCAATTGAATCTGTTCTTTATAGTTAGTCTAGAATCAGCTACATCTTGACCGCGATTTTAGATGTTAATTATCTCGTTCCCCCACCCGCCTGTAATTAGCGTTGCCCTCTCTTTGGCGATGATGAAGTGCGACTAACATCACACCAGCCTCTGATGTCATCCCAGGCTGTGCTGTATCCATTAGCTGTAATGTATACTGTGCACCTTGCCAAACTAGATTAACAATAAGAAAAAAAGGGTACATTGGATGCTGCTATATAATGGGTACAAGGCGATAATAATTTTTTGTATAAAATATTTCACGACATTTTTTTAATACTGTGACCGTAATCATATGGCAGTGTGAAGATTTAATTTCAGGGCTGGTAAATAATGGGTATTAAAGGCATTTGCTGACATTTCAGACTGTAGTAAAATAATAATATACCATTCCTTCTCCAATGCAGGATTCAGAAGAATGCATTGTAACTCCCAGAATTAAAATGTGCTATTGGAGGAAGGTGTACAAATATGTGCATGTGAAAAGCTACAATGATATTTCGTTTTTGACCTTTGTAATATGACCAGTTAATATTTGTAATAATTTGGTGGAAAGTTTATCCCGTATCAAATGCATGGTAAACAAACAAAAAACCCCACATATTTTGCTTCTAATCTAAGACTTTGGTAATTACAGTATACAGAAGAGCAACTCTTTTTGATACACTCTTGCATGAACTTTCAGAAACTGTTACTCTTCCAGCCACAAAGCTCGGGATTAATGTTAAAGGTTGACATTAGGAAAATCTGCTTCACATAAAAAAGAATATGTGCTAATGGAAACCCTTAAGTATATACCCTTTTCATATTAAAGCTGACAGTTGGGTTTGTTTGTTTATTTATATATATTTCAAATTGCATTCGGGTCCACTCACTCACATCTCTAAATAGCCTGCATGTCACGTCTATAGAGTGGTCAAGTGAATGTTTATGGTTCTGCAAAAATTATCCTCCAAAAATAAATTGCATGAAATGTCTTGAGAACTATGCGCTACGTAGGTGGTATTCTTGTTTCTTTCGGTAAAGTCACGTGATGATGACTGCTTGTGTTGCAGTCAAAACGTCGTGAGAATTTAATTGTTTTATATTTTTATTATTTTATTGTTTACCTTCTACGTGACTTTACCGAAAGAACAAAGAATATGAATCCCTGCAGTCACGAAAGCTTTAAAT